ATGGCCTAATAGATTCCCTCTGGCAGAAAGTGTCCGGAACCTCGTCTTTCCATATGACCTAATGGATTCCCTCTGGCAGAAAGTGTCCGGAACCTCGTTTTTCCATATGGCCTAATGGATTCCCTCTGGCAGAAAGTGTCCGGAACCTCGTTTTTCCATAGGGCCCAATGGGTTCCTGTGGCAGAAAGTGTCCGGAACCTCGTTTTTTCATATGGCCTAATGGATTCCTTATGACCTATCCTATGGCCTAACCTATGGCCTAATACACCTTCCCTATGACCTAATCATTTCCGTGTGGGAAAAGAAAAGATTGTATTCCTAAAACGCGAAAATGATTAGGTCATAGGGAAGGTGTATTAGGCCATAGGTTAGGCAATAGGATAGGTCATAAGGAATCCATTAGGCCATATAAAAAAACGAGGTTCCAGGCACTTTCTGCCACAGGAATCAATTAGGCCATATGGAAAAACGAGGTTCCTGACACTTTCTGCCAGAGGGAATCCATTAGGCCATATGGAAAAACGAAGTTCCGGACACTTTCTGCCATCGGGAATCCATTAGGCCATATGGAAAAACAAGGTTCGGGACACTTTCTGCCGGAGGGAACCCATTAGGCCATATGGAAAAACGAGGTTCCTGATTTTTTCTGCCACAGGGAATCGATTAGGCCATATAAGGAACAACGAGGTTCCGGACACTTTCTGCCAGAGAGAATCCATTAGGCAAGAAAGTTCCGGACAGGTCCTGCTACGCAGAGGACATCCAGTAGGCAGATAGAGAAACGACACTCCAGGCTCCTTCGGCCTGGGAACCCATAGGCCATCAGCAAACCCAAGCAGGCAGCCTTTAAAGGCGTTTTGAAAGACAGAAAGAAGATGAATATGGCTGGTGGCCTCCTTTTTGGCAGCATTCAAAGCTTTTCGTTCCTGCTTATGAGTCGCTCCACTCGATCCACCAAGGAGTTCTCCATATGATCAGAGGAGGGCGAAAGCACAACAACGTCGAGCCACGAACAGAAAGAAGATGAACATGGCCCATCCGCAAGGACACAATGCTAGAACTCCAGAAGACTACTGTGGCGATGGTGTGGAAACCTAGACCAGGCTCCAGCAGACTTTGCGAAGACACATCACAGTTCCTGTGCAGTACAGAGAGTCTGCATGGCTTGATCTGCTGTATTCAGAAACGCTGGAGTCACCTCTGGAAAAATTTCCCTGTCTTTGTACGATCTCTGTTTTAGTTACCTCCATAAAGCTGCATAGTCTGGCCGACGAGTTTGCAAAACCAAAAGGGAAACGTTGAAGCCACGTCGGTCAACTTCCCAGAGCTTGAACTACGACTCCCATCCACAGAAAGAACACCAAAAATCCGCGCGGGTCAACTGGCGAGCCCGCTGCACTGCCAGTACGAAGCCCACGTTATGGGGCTGTCGGGCGACCCCATTTCCAGGCCCGCAAAACACAAGCAATTCTGGCTTCGCCAGGTCGGCCCTCCACAGTATCTGAATTTAGTCGGACGAACCGAGTTTGACAAACAAGGTCCTATATCAACCCCTTGACCGCTAGCTTAATTTACTTCGGTTGTCATTCCGATTGAGCCAGAAACGGCAGCGCAAAAGCAAAGTATTTATCCATTTATTTGCAAATCGCCACTGATATATTGCATAAATTCAATCACCCTTAGCAATCGCAGAGCTTCGTTTTCACTGGTGACGTTGGGCAGTACGCGATCCTCGGATGATGTGCCCAGCTTGCATACCGCATGCTGAGGCACTAAGTTCGGCCGCTCCCTGGAGCTCTAGATGAGACAAGGGGCTAGATATACGGCTGACAAAAGCAGCTCCACTAGAAACCTGCCCATCGAGTTTCTTGCACGGCCGGATACGCAAACGTTCAGCCTCGAATATGATCGTCTTTTGGCAGCACGACTACCTAGCTTTGCCAGCTGTCGATTCAACTCGTTCGAAAAAAGAAGTGCAGCATGTTGCCTTCATATTGTGAAGGATTTCCCCTACACCATTCTTGGCACCCAGCACGTCCTGTCCAAGATGTGTTTCACGTCCAACTCTTTGAGATGGAGCTTGCTGGAGCGGCAAAAACTTGGCCGTCGAAAAGTATTTATCAATTCATTAGATTTAGAAGGTTGCCCGGTGCTAGCTGCGCTTCGCTCCAGTTTTCTGAAAGCTTGTCTTACTTCAGGTTCTGAGAAGCGTGGACGCTGCCAAGACCTGTTTTTTCTTGCCTAAGTTGCACAGAGTTGCTGCACCGCCGCCGCAGAGTGTACCTCCGAAAAACATGTTTCGCCCAGGCATTCAAAATGCAGAGTTAATGCTTTGGAATGACCCAACCGAATCCGAGACGAACCATGTTCTTCATGTGGCTTCTTTATCTCGGACGTTGTTTGCTTGCATTCCATTTTAGATCAAGTTGCGGCGAAGTCGCTTCGCAATTTTGATTTTGGGCTCTCTAGAGTCTTGGTAGGTGCTCTAACAGGTCCCGGGGGCTAATTCCAAGGCTTCTAGCTTCTCGCGGCCTGGGTAGTGCGATCCCCTGCAGAGGAGGTGCATGGCAGGCACCTCTTGCCTCTCTTGAGTGAGCCGTCATTCTTGCATGGTGTCCAGAGCAGAACTTGAAGAGTTCCGTCAGTACTTTGAGTGCTCACTTCTCACGCCAGGAAGGACGTGGATAGTGCTAGGACTGCTAGGACTGACTTCATTGACGCATTGCAATCCTTCCGGGACGACACTCTCGAGGCTCTGACAGCTCTGCACGAGCGCACCAACACCTTGCTTGAGAATCAGTATAGGCTTCAAGCCCAGTTTGTGATTTTGCAACAGCGGATCACTTTGCTTGAGGGTAAACCGGATTGCACAGACGGGCCGAGCTGCACAGACGCGTCGAGTTCTTGATTCCTTGGATTAGACTGTTTTGCTTGGCGACATGTCCTCCAGGCCCACTGCCCCTGATGACAGATCTCGCTCGGGCAGGTCGCGTTGCGGCCCATATGCTGCTCCTGTGCTGCCTGCTAGGCCTAGTCCCCCTCCCTCCTTCGGTTTAGGACCGCACCGCCTCCCCGAACCCGGCTTCCTTGCCCGCCTGTGAAGCGGCATGTGCATTTGAGGCCCCCGGCACTGCCGGCCTTTCCCGCCGTTTCAAGCCTCGCCTGAGTTTCAGGCTGCGTCCCCGCTGCCCAATCCGCAAGGAATGGTGGGGTCCGTATCGAACAAGCGCCCGCGCGCCAGCAAGCAAGATGGTCGTGGGATGCAGGCCATTCGAGCACACTCGGCGGCTTGCTCTCAGGTGGCTGTGAACCTCATGCTGCAGCTTCTTGCCTTCTTGGAATCTGAATCCAGCTTTTTCTCCGCCATCCATTCAGCAGTGCATTTCGATGCACACGTGCGCCGTGTACTTGCAGGTCTTGCCGCAACGACTGTCATCAGGTACATCACTACCTTCAACTCCTTTGCTAAGGCTTGTGAGGACTTGGATGTGTGTCTTCTTCAGATTACTGCTGTGCAAGCGGCCGACATCTTGGTGACTTTGCAGCTTCAAAGGCAGGAAGATCCGACTGTCGGATCATCGGCAATCACTTGCATCAAAGCCGTGCGGTGGGTTTGCAAGAACACCCAGTGCATTGTGTTTGAGGTCTTTTATGGCGAGCTGATTTCATCCTTCTTGAAGACCAAACTGCCGAAGGACCGCAGGGAGAGCTTGCCCCTGCCGCTATATGCTCTTGTGCAGTGGGAACGGCGCATCCTCCAGCGCTCCACCCCATTGGTGGACGTCGTGCTGCTCGGTGCCTACCTCGTCACATGTTGGTCGAGTCTTCGATTTGCAGACAGCCAGCGCATTGAATGGAGCTCATTTGCCTTTGACGTGGTTTCGCTTCGGGCCATTGCATACCAGACGAAAACCTCGCATCAGGGCCAACCCTTCGGCCTAATCACTCAAGGCTTTTTGCATCATGGCACATATTCCTGGGTGGCTAAGTGGCTCCGGGTCCTTGATTCCATCGCCTCGCAGGAGATGCGCGACTTTGGGGTTGCTCCTAGTTTTCTGTTTCCGACACTTGGCGATGATGCCGAGTTGCTTCGGCCCCTTGAGCCGATGAGTTACCCTTCATGCTTGCGTTGGTTACGCTATTTCCTGCAGTTTCCTTGGATGGGGTCTCCTCCCTCGGTGCCCGTGTCCAACTATACTATACGGTGCACTCCATGAAGTGCAGCCTCTTAAGTTATATGCTTGAGGTGCCGGACATCCGCGGCCCCGACAGGGACGCTCAAGGACATCATAGGGGGAGTAGCAGGGAACTTTACAGCAGAGACGATGTGCTAGGGGCGCTCCGCGCTCAGACACAATTGAGGTCTGCAGTCTTGGCGGGCTTTCGCCCGAGGACGCCATTGCACCGTGGAGCACAGCTCCCCATGGCACCGATTCCCTTCACTTTGGAAGCCTTCAGCAAAGAGATTGATCCTGCGCCCTGGGGTTTCTTCTCCTTCGATGTTAGTGTTTATGGCTCGCTGTTGTGGGTTCCCGGACAATCTTCTGCATGCACTGAGGACGCTCCCGCTTTGGAGGAGCACACCGAGGCTGCCGGCCCCTCTTTGAACGACTCTGCATCGGAGGCTGGGTCTGAGTCCAGTCTTGAGTTCGGGGCGGGGCCCGAATCACTCGGCCCCCCAGATGAAGTGCACATGGTCGCCGCAACAGGCGTTGTACATGCAGCATGCCCGTCAGGGGAAAGGACACTTTGTGGCATCGGTATGTCGGGCCCACGTTGGCAGTCGGTCCACTCGCTTAATGCCAACATGTTCTCTGCAGGCGAACCGCCTGTGTCAACGCATTCGCAGCTCTGGAAGCCTAGTAAAAATGCATCTTGAAGCTTTTGTCTTTGGTCGGTCTGCGCTCGCATTTCAGCTTGCACATGTTTCTTCTTGCATGCCACATTCTTTGAATTGAGCCTGCCAGGACACTGGTCTCCTCTCGCATCCGTCGCTTCAGGCCAGGACTGTTAGTTTTGCTAGCCTCTGCTCTCGCACCATGGTGGATGCAATGTTCGATGATAAATCCGTGGATGGATCATTAATCTGGTGAATCCTTCACCCTACCAGCTTAAAGCAGAGGGAGCCTGAGCCTCAGGCTTCCATCAGCTCCTTCAGGATCACGGCATCAGCCAGGAGCTCACGGATCGGCTGCTCGCCGACGGTTGGGATGCGAAAACTTTTCGCCATGTTGTCTGCCAGGAATCTGAGCTTGCGGGGGTCTTCCCTGAGATGTTCCCGGACACTGAAGTGTCCTTGATGCAGCGTGCCAAGCTGCGAGCCGTGTGGTCGTCGCTGCAGCGACGGAGCAATGCAGAGACTGCCTCTGCAGAACCGTTGGGTTCCCCGGCCAAACAAGGCTCGGGCTGGTCGGAAGCCTTCGCCCCTAAGCTTGATGCCTCACGTGTTGCCACGCTTAAAAAACGATTCTTGGAAGCCTTCCCTTCCGAAATCTTGACTGCCATGAACACCCCATCGCTTCGCCTCCTGAGCACTGCTGTGGACGCTGAGTGAGGTTAAGCGGAACTGGTCCTGGATCCCGTGGAAGAGTCGCATGACACAAAAAATGTATGAGGATTCCCTCATGCAGAAGCCTGCCAAAAGGGCCAGGATTGAGACCCTTCAGCTTTCGGACCTCTTACTTGACGAACCGCCGCAGATCGACATCAATGACTCCACAATGGGGATTTCGATGATCCGTAGGCTGTTGGAGGTGCATGACAATGCCCTCGCTCTTGCAGGTACCGCGCATCTCGTGCGCCTTAAGGCGTACACTTCTAAGTTCTTGAGCCTGGTTTCGCAGAAATTCCCGCCTGAAACCAACCTTCGGCTTCCCTCCGTGCTGGAAGCTCAGCAGGCGGACAAGCATCTTTGGTCGTGCATCTTTCAGTTGGTGATCGAGAAAGAGTGGCAAGTGAACGACGCTATCTACGAGTTTACAGAGATCCGCGGTGACATGTCATCATGGCTGCAGCCTCGCGCCAAGGCGGCTTCCGCCAACAATCGCAGGCCGTACACGCCAGGTGGCCGCGACAACCACCGCCCACCCACCCCGCCGCCAGGTCGTGGCATTGGCAAAGGTAAGGGGAAGGCCAAGGGCTCCACCAAGCAAGGCACCCAGCCTAAGGGCGTTCAGTGGGTTCGTGAGTTCAAGGAGGGCAGCCAGGTGAAAAGATTGTGCATGGGGTGGCAGATCGGGAAATGCCAGCGTGGAAATTCCTGTGAGTTCACGCATGGCTGCGCTTTCCCCAAGCCCGATGGCTCACCCTGCCTCAGCAAGGATCATGGTGCACCACAGCATCCAGAGAAGTGACAACAGGCGCTCGACTCGCCACCAGGGGGTGATCCCGAATCAATCCACAGCTGGGGTGAGCTGCCTGCTCCCCCGCCGCTGCCGCCTTCTGTCCCGCCATCGCAACAGCAAGCTCCCCAGAGCTCGCAAGTTTTGGATTGCAGCTTTCCGCCACTGCCGCCACAGCTTTTTTCTGCCGATAGTGCAGTTTCCGTGTCACCGCCTCAGGAGGCCGTTCCCTCCGTGCATCATTTTGCTTCAGTTCCCTCGGAGGACGTTCCTCCTTCCTCATGCACTTCAAGCACTTCAATTTCGTTGGTGCCGCCCATCAGCGACACTGCTTTTTTGGGCTGCGCAATTGAATTTTCTGATTTATGTGGGCCTGCCTTGGAAGGCTTGTTCGATTGCATTTTGTGCTCACTGCGGGAGGCCCCTTGGCCCCAACAGGTTCGCCGTGCCCACATCATCTCCGGAGCCTCTGCTGACTCAGGTTATTTTAATTTCGGGGTTCAGCTTTCTAGGCGTTCTTCGCTCACTCAGGTTACTTCCGCCCTGCCCGAACTTTGCAGGGACCTGAATGCCCTCTGCAGGTACCTCTTTCCAACGGAGCACTGGAACACTTTGTGTGTTTCGCGCAACGGCCTCAGTGCGCTGCATTCCGACTCAGCCAACATTCCGGGCTCACGCAACTTGTCACTTTCACTGGGCGCCTTCTCAGGCGGCCATCTGTGGATTGAAGACCTCTCCTGCCTCTCACGAGGCCAGCCGACATCAATCGCATCCGGCTCGGGCTGGCTGCATGGCTGTGCCATCGACACGCATCGCAAAGCCATCAGCTTCGATGGCCGCACTAGACACTAGACACATGACACTTCCGTTCTCAGGTGAGCGTTGGGCCCTCACGGCCTTTTCACTGCAGGGAGTCTGTTTCAGTGATCTTGAGTTCTTGGGTTTTCCCTGGCCGCCCCCACGTGAGACTGATGCCCCACCTTCTCCCCTCTTGGGTTCTAGTCTCGCCCTAGATGCATCAGCCTCGCCCGCCGGGCTCGAGGATGCAACTACTGCTTCGCCAGGCTCGCCTGCATTACTGCCCCAGCATCCGGAGACTGGGGTCAACTCAAATCCCCAGCAGCAAATCAGCACATCGTGCAGTAACCCTGACAGTCACGTCACGCCAGCACCCTTTAAGCTGCCGCTTGGATGCAAATTCTGGGGGCAACGCTCTGCGTCGGGCACCTTTCGCTCCCATAAGCTGCAGGTCCCTCGCCCCCTCTCACCGACGGATGACTCCTGGCGAGCTGACCGTTGCAGATCATCTCTCTCGCGCCTGTTCCTTGAGGTCACCTGGCTCGGTGATGCGAGCATTCAGCTCAGCAGAGCTGTGCGCACTTCAGGCGGCGATTCCCTCACCCTAGACCCCTGCCTTGATCCCGCCCTTGACATCCTTTGCCCAGATCTCTTTGAACAGGTCCTTTTCTTATGTGGGTCGGGAGCGGTTGCCTACCTCGCGGCATCGCCCCTGAATGCGTCAGAAAGCAGGCCCTTCCTCATGGCTGCTGTCTGCCATGCACGAGCAAACAATGGCGGCAAAGGTTTCCCGCTGCACCTGGCTTCTCAGCATTGTGCACACTGCCGGGGGTTCTGCCGTTTTTGGGTCCTCCTCGCGCCCACAAGACTGGTTGCATCAGGGCAGCAGTGCTCTCATTTTGGTGCCTTCTTTGCTGCATGCAGGTTCGGCCACTCCGACCCAACCCCAGCTTTGGGCCGCTTCCTACCGCCCTCTGTCTATCCTGGCAGCCGACTTGTGCGCAACCGCGCTCCCACAAAACGGTCAGGCATACGCATCTTCGTTTGCCAGTATCGCTGCCGCTCTGCTACATGGGGAAGGCCGCGAGCTCTCCTTGCAGTCAGCCGAGGCTGCCGTTCCACGCAAAAGCCTCTTTACTGGCCCGCACGCCCTCCACGATGGGGCGGGAAAATGCTCCATGGCTGATTGGAGCAGCCCGGCATTTGCGGATAAACTTCATGGCTTACGGAAGGCAATGCTGCAATTCTGCATCTCCCTTCGTGCCGATAAGCGCTTGCTTGCCAGAAGCTCATGCCCATCGCCGGAGCCGCTCTTCAGCTCCACCGAAGTGTCCGCAGCTAGGGATCTGGTGTTTCCTTCCTTAGGTCTGCAGACCCCTGACAACGCCTGGTATGTGCATCCATATATCAGCCCATGTGCCTGCATGCATTTGAAGCCCTGGCACAGCACTGCGGTGATCCGGACATTCATTTGTTCCCGCACTTGAGGATGGGTGTACCGACGGGACACATGAACGATATCCCTCCTTCAAATTGCTTCTGGCCTTCGAAAGGCCAATCCGGGGAGCTGATTCCGCTTACGCTCAATCTTGAGAACTGGAAGTCGGCTGATGTGGCTCCGCGTGTCACATCGCGCCTGCTCCAGGAGGAGTTGGACGCTGGCTACTGCTTTAAGTTTGAGGGTGCACTTGAGGAAGCGAAAAGTAGATGGCCCGTGGGCCTTGCACTTGGCAAACTTGGTGTGGTCAGGGCGCCTGGGCGAGCCGAACGGCTCGTTTTGGACAACAGTGTAGCTGGGACAAACTCTCATGCAGTGTTCAGTGCCGGAGCGTCAATGTTTCCCGAGCATACAGGATGTCTCGCAATCTTTCCCTCTTCGCGAGACTTCAGACCGCCAGATGGCCATTTGCATAGATGTCAAGCAAGCGCACAAGCGCTGCCGCATCCGCGACTCCGAACAGGGCTTACTCGGATTCACTTGGCGCGACGAGCTCTATTTCTTCCGCTGCTGCCCTTTCGGGGCAGTTTTCTCACAGCACTGGTGGGGCCGTGTGGGGGGGTGCACACTGCGCCTGCTGCACATCCTGCTGTTCCTCGCCCATGTGGGCCTCCTCTTCGTGGATGACTTCATTTTCAGCCAAGCGGCCAGCCTCATGCCGCTTTCGGGTGCTGTCATCTGCCTTTTCCTTCAGGTATTGGGCATTCCAGTCAGTTGGAAAAAATTGCAAATTTCTTGTCGGGTCGATTGGATAGGCTGGCGGTTATGCTTCTCTTCGGGTACGGTTAGTCTCAGGGATGAAAAACGCCTGCGCCTCCTTGATCAGGTGCGTTCCCTTCTTCGTCGTGGTGGCCGCATTTCCACCAAGGAACTTGAGTCTTTTCTGGGCCTAGCCATGTGGGCTTGCGCACTCTTCCCCACTATGCGTGCCATGCTGCACCCTTTCTACAAGGACTTGTGGTCTCCGGCTGCCACTAACTTCAGCATTGCTCCGGAGTCGTGGCACGGCATTCGCAATTTTCGGGATGCTTCACTCAGGTTTAAAGTCTCCCCGCCTCACACCGCCACCCCCGCAGGCGCCAAGCTTCTCTCGGCGCGTCATGTGCCTTTCGCAACCCTTGCAGACCTGTCCAAGGTCGCCGTGACGCATAAAAGATTGTGGCTCCGCGTTGAATGCCTCAGCAGTTCGAGGCGGAAACTCTCGAATGCCTCCATTCGTTCGTTGCATGCCTTCGAGCGTTGGTTGCAACACGTTGCACCACTTGCCAGTATGCGCCCATTACAGGTCGCAGACGTTGAAGCCTTCGCCGATGCATCGGCGTCCGGCCCATCTTGCAGTTTGGGGGGGTTTCGTTTTCTGTCCGGTTCTAGGCCAGGTTTGGTTCACGGAAACCTTCTCGGTTACAGACTTTGAGGCGGCAGGCATTCCCTTCGGCAATGACTTGGCTAAGGAGATCGCCAGTTGTGAAGCCCTGGCTCAATTCTCTCTCTAAGCTGGCTCCTTGCAGCAGGGTTCCTTTACGCCTTCCGTCCCTCTGCGATAACTCCGGGGCGGAGGCGGGTCTGAACAAGATGTTTTCCACAAAGCACCCCCTCCGCCTCGTTCTTGCACATATATCGCCCTCCTTGCAGCCATGCATCGCATCTCTATCGATGTGTCTCATGTTCCAGGTGCCAAGAACTGCAAAGCTGATGCACTCAGCCGGCCGAATGAGTACCCTACTCCCCCTGACTGCCTTCCGTGCCAGCGCATGCGCTTCGGGCTCTCAGACCTCTGGGAACCCCGTCCAAGCGTCCAGATCTTCCCCACTGGCTTCACCTTACCTTGGTTTCGCTGAAATCTGCCACTCCCTTCAGCACACACTTTCTTGGCCTCTTGAGCGCGCCGTGGGGTGGCAAATTTCCTTGGTGCATAAGTCGCCACCCCACAGCAGGCTGAACTCGGGTGAACTCGTGATGCCCAGCCAGCCGCTTCGACTTTCGTGTTCCCACGGAGAAGTGTCTGACCGAGTGCGGAGTGCTCGTATTTTCCGTTCTCGGGTTTAGGGTTTAGGATTTGGTTTAGTGCAACGTTTTTCCTTAGCAGAACGTATTTGTGGACTTGTCCACTGATGTTTTGCATTTGGAAAAACGGTTGCCTTTCCCTTTTGCAAAACTGGAAAGTTTTCCGTATTCGCTTTTGCCAGTGCCTGCGTCAGCTTGCTTCAGCTTTTGCCTTGGATTACACCGTCTCCTTGCATTCCATTTTGGATCAAGTTGCGGCGAAGTCGCTTCGCAATTTTGATTTCCCGCCCAACCCACCCTGTGTGCAGCCGGCCTCCGTTGGGCCCGGCAACTTGCAGAACGTGCTGCTATCCTTCTTGAGCTTGAACTTTCTCCTGTGTGCACCGCCGCCATCTTTCGGATGGCCCCGTACTTGCTGCATCTCACCCTGTCGGGTCACCATATCCTCATTATGTTGGTGCCAAAGCCAGCGCGCTGCTGCTGCACCGCTCTGCCTTGTCCTTTCTTCTGGCCCGCCGGCGGCCCCCTTTCTGTTTCACCGCCGTAGTCTGCAGTTAGCCTACGGGCTCCTAGCTTCGCCGTTAGTGTGGACTGCTCAGTCCCGGAGGACTTCTTTGGTCGCTCCCTTAGTCCGAAGCCTTCACTCAAGTGTTCCAGCTTCGCTCGTAGAACTTTTGTTTGTGGGGTGGTGCATAAGTCGCCACCCCATAGCAGGCTGAACTCGGGTGAACCTGTGATGCCCAGCCAACCGCTTTGACTTTCGTGTTCCCACGGAAAAGTGTCTGACCGAGTGCGGAGTGCTCGTATTTTCCGTTCTCGGGTTTAGGGTTTAGGATCTGGTTTAGTGCAACGTTTTTCCTTAGCAGAACTTTTTAGGAAGATCTAGATGTAGAGACTGCATCAAGATGCTCTCTACTTTGTTCGTAGCGTGCTGAGCTTCGGCTCCACACTGCTCCGGCGATCGGTCCCAACAAGCGGACTCGCCCGCCAGACTCGAGACTCTCGTGCGGCGCTTGAATGAAATGACGCTCCGTCTTGAAAGGAGTTTCGCAATCTCTGCACGTCCTGCCTAGGCCCTGTGCGTGGGGTGTGGAGGGCCGGATGTGTTCGAGCAGTGAGCTCTGCGACCATCCGTGCTTCTTCTTGCAATTCAGACTCTTTGCGAGTCCCACTGCAAAACGAAGGCTTCCGGTGTCGATTGAGTTTTCTTAGTATATATCTTTTGATGCGAGGGCACATATCTTGCCCTATAACATCGTGAATGTTTTCATAACTTAGGGCGACAGGAATCAGAAAGAAATCAGTGCCACCGAAATGACTCCCAGATCCTGTGTGGGTAAAGATCTGCCCCTCGGGTCTATCTCCTCTGTCGCCGATCGAGGCGCAGCTTCCTGTATAAACGGAGATCGTCGGAATTGGGACCGACACGGCTGAGCTGTGGTCATCACGGTCCGTGCACCGAGCAGCTGCAAGCAGCAAGTCACAGAAATCACAGCTCGCAAAACCATGCCGAGACGAAAACTGCCAGCTGCTCTCCTTCGCTCAAGCCGAGACCCTTGGTAGTGGTTAAAAGTAGTAGTAATAGTAGTCGTCGTAGTAGTAGTAGTAGTAGTAGTAGTAGTAATCGTGGTGGTGGTAGTAGTAGTAGTAGTAGTAGTCGTCGTCGTCGTCGTCGTAGTAGTTGTCGCCGTAAGAGTTGTCATTGTGGCAGTGGCAGCTAATGTTGCAGCAAGTTCAAGTCTGACATGATTGACGACATCATTTGGTTGGACGTTTGGGACTATTAATCAAGTTCGTATTTGTTCAACGTGTTTTGTTGTAAATAAGCAGCCATCATTATTACAAACAACAGCCAGCATTGATTTTATCATATTGTTATAAATAACAGCCAGCATTGATTTTATCATATTTTGCAAAACTTTCATTGGGCACAAAGGTTTTGAAAGCAAAACCCATGATTTGTTTTGCCAAGTTGTTCCGGTGCCGGCAAGTCGGCGAGGGCTTTCGAACAAACATCCGAGCTTTGGGTAGGTAGTGCGCGCCACAGTGCTGAAAAAACATGCCAAGAATCTTGGAGGCTTCGAGTCTGAAAGCAACCGCATTTGTGGCTTGATGCGGTAATGCGTTCAGTCGTGACGGTTCCGGCTCCCATCATGGCAGACAAAGAGGCGGCTGACTTCGCCTGAGAATTTGCCGTATGCGAAGGAGTCAGCCGGTGTCAGGTGTCTGAAGAACTTCCCTCCTTCGAGGCTGATCAACAGCGGCCTTGCAATACATGCCTGCACACAAGTGCTTGTTGCAAACACGCTCAGTCAGTGCAGGACTTTGGGGACACACCGAAGGCAAAGAATGTTTCTCTGCCGTCAACATCATTGTCACTAGAAGTATGTGGGCCGCGTTGTATGTGTTGTCGTTGTAGTTTATGTTACAATGATGGTATCGTTCCTCTCGCTGAAACTTGCCTCTACAGCACTTCGGTTACTCTGCTGCAGGCTGCAGCTTCACAGGCACGTGCAGCAATTGACAATTGATGAAGCATGATGAAAGACAGGTTTGCACGTATTACCGACAGTATCAAAACGCTTGCGCAAGGATGCTGCCGCAGCGTCGCAGGCGGGTCGAGCTTCAGTTCGGTCATCGCTTATACGTCGGGCTGGGCGATTTACTTGTTTTTGTCATCGTTGTGCCGTCATGCTTGTTGAGGCAACCTCTTCACAGGGAGTGAGCCAAGAGGCTGGTTGCTAATTGCGGAGTTGATGCTTAGTGTGCAAAGCTAAAATATTCTGCCCCATGTTCCCCCTATGAATGCAGCGTTGGTGAAGTCAGGAGGCAGCGACCAAGGCATCGGGGTTATGCCTCCATGTCAGCAGAAGCTGCTTTTCGAACCAGTTGCAGGCTGCTGAAAAGCAAGCCGCAGAGGCAGGATCTTTAAACAATTTCGTCGAGAGCTGCTTGCGGGCGCGTTGAGAGTGTGACTGCTGAGGCCAAGACATCGGCTGAAGAAGCAAAATCTGCCGAGGTAGCAACGGGTAGTGGAGCTTGAATGCTGCGGACAGGGACAAATACTTCTTGCACGAGGCCGATGAAGAGAGACGCAAAGCTGAAGTAGCGGCAGAAGCTGCAGCTTTAGATCCTGCCGAGAAGAAAAGAAGAGTCTGAATCTCATGTCTGGCTCACTCGTTACTTGAAGCTGGGAGCATTCGTACTTGCTTGTAACCAAGGAAAAGGAAGCAGCTGAGAGAAAAAGGAAGCAGGACAAAAAGAAGAAGTTGAAAGAGAAGAAAAAGGAGTGCCCAAGTTGTGCATGTGGAACAGCTGGCTGTGAAGCTGAGCTTCGACCACAAAACCAAACAGGCTGCAAAAGCCGAAGAGATGAAAGCCTCTGGTTTGCCGACCAAGGGCAAGGGTGGAAAAGGCAACAACTGCATGTGCGCTTCATCAAAGCTGGGGCCTTCCCCACTGAACAAGTCAAGATGTGATTCGAATCATCGCGCAGTGTTTGAGCTGCCAGTCTGCTTTGATGTGCTCTGGTGTGGGAGGTGCCAAGGGAGGTGCGAAGGGCAAAGCAGCTTGTTCGCAGATGCATAGGTCTCTTAGAGAGTTCCATAGCTTCTTGGATCTTCTTGGCTTGGGCCGTCACCTGTCGTGATTGGTGCCAAGGTGGCCGTGCCTGGCCGCACTCCAGGTGCCAGCAGCACAAAAGACGACGATGAAATGGAGGCACACATCGGATTGACAGGAGCTGAATTTGAGCATGTGCAAGCGATGCATGTGCAGGTGGATTACGTCGTGGCCTCGAAGATCCGCTTCTCTCAAAGATGCATTAGCTTGGCACTGCAAAGGTGATACCAGAAGTTCTTGCTGGAAATGATCAGCCTGAAGATGAAACATTCGCGGCGATCATGGAAAGGTTCAAGTATGTGGAGCCGGAGAACAAGGTCCGTTGACTATGCTTGTATTGTACACCTGAAACTGCTGACCAAGATTTGAACATAATCCTATCGTGCACAACTGCAATTTGTGCGGTTGTTCCCCAAACAGTGTGGTGGTGCTGTTTGCCAGCAAGAGGAAAAGGATTAGATCGCTGTTTGCACGGCGGCAGGATGCACAGCAGTTTTGCCCTCCTGCTGCTCTGTGCACCTTTCCTGTGCCGTGCATATTGTGGCTGCAAGTCGTGCTTGCACCCGCCACATTCACACGCATGTTTTGGTGTCAATCGTGGTCGTTGGATATGTAGGGTTCGGACAGCTGTGTGCTCTTCGAGACTGATGATACGCCATGAAAAGTGCATGGGCTAGGCTGTGCCATTCTGTTTTTGGGATGCCAACAGGATCGTGAGGGCTTCATTGGCTTCAGCGCCTAGGTCTAAAATGCTTAGGTGTCTTCACCTTCATTTCACGGGAGACTTGCGGGAGACGTCAGGAGGAGGCAGACGAGGACGAGGAGAAGCCAAAAAGGCGGACAAAGCCGAAGGCATCTCTTCTGGAGGAAGCTGAGGACTGTTGAAGTCGCGATCAGAATCTATGATGTGTTTTTTTGATGACCGCCATTGATTGGTCTTGCGATGCTCTTGTGTTTATTGGTTCGGCCACAGGACAGCGAGGATGAGGAACACGACGCCGGAAAGATGTCTAAGAAGAAGCGGCGAGTACGCTGGCGTTTAACTGTATATCGCACGGGAGTACGTCGGTGCTGACTTGCCACCTCAAGGTTCAGAATCGAATGTCTGTCGCAGAACTGAAGACTCTGGTCAAGAGACCTGATGTGGTCGAAGTCTGGGCGCGCACCTCAACCAGTATTGCTGCAGATCAGTTGTGTCACATGAGACGGTGTGTGCGCAAGTTACAAACTGGTGCAGGACACGACGGCTTCTGATCCGCGACTCTTGGTGTACCTGAAGGCTCTCCATCGGGAAGTGAGTGTGTGCAGCTTCTAGTTCGAAAGTCTTCGAAATCAGGCATATCGAAACACCGTTGCAGTTCCAAAGCATTGGAGCAGTTCCGAACTCAGACTTAGCTGACAGCATGTGGGGATGGAGTGAGCTGTCTCAAAAAGTCGCGACGCGAGCGAGGCAAACGAAAGTACATGGCAGGAAAGCGTGGCGTCGAGAAGTCTTTGCCTTGGGCAACTTGTTGGTCCCTTTGAGGCAAGGATCTCATGTTCAACCAAGGCCACCTTTCCGGCTGCCGGAGTTTATCGAAGCCACGGGCATCGCGAAGATCCGTCAGGCCGCAGCTTCATCGCCCGTCCGGAAGATGTTCGCGGCAAGCCTTCCGTCCATCGAGCACTATCATTTCTATTCAGGCGATCATGGAGAAGCAGGCCACATGGTGGGAAAAGCGTGATGGACTGCTGGCGAGTGCCGAGAGATTACAGGTTCAATCACAGCTAGATGCTCGTTCAGGCAGACATGTCATTCAAGCAGCGAAGCCGAGAACGTGTCCATCCGAAGATGGGTAAGTTGGACATCGATTACCAGGCGGGATGAACATGAAAGCACAGATTCGTTGGTGCATATTGTGGATCCTCTGTTGTGACGCAGATAGTTCCAAGGTGCTGCATGATGCCTTCTTCAAGTTTGCATCCAAACCGAAGCTGTCGATGCTTGGCAGTATCAAGAGCTTGCCCGAGTGTCCGAGAGGGACACCGTCTTTGTGCTGCCATGCAGGGGTGCATTCTAGTGATTGTAGTGTGATTCGAGGCGCATCGACCGTATGACATGAAACTCAGGAAGCACAATGACATGTACTACGAGGGCAAGGTTGGAGTTTCTTTCATATTGCGAGAGTGAGTTAGACAGACTGATATGTTCACCAGGAGTACGAGACGAAGATGTTAACGAAAAGGCCACACGTGTTGCCTGTTTTTTCAAGTTTTGCGTTATTTCGAGGCCCTCAGGCAAGCCAGGTGGGAAGCGATTGGGATGGGAAGCTGGAACCGCTTGCGAGTATTTCTACATGTCTTTTCCAGCTGGCTGCATCCGAAAGCAAGATTTCCGGCCACTGGATACTCATTGCCGTTCGAATGTTTTGGAGCTAACCGGTTTCGGATGCTTTGGGCATTTGTCACCCAATAAAGGCGCTTCCATGCACAGGAAAGCAAAATGGCAAATAGCTGGCATCATTCGACAGGCGGATCAGGTCAGAGGCTAGCCTTGCAGACTTCTGCAGGCCTGGCCACTTGAGCGCCGCACTCAAAGAGGCCCGCTGCCAAAGTGCCATGCTGCTGAGTCGGTCGCCATGCTGGGCGGCAAGGCACTTGGGATTCACGAAGGAAGCCCCCCGTCAGAGCCCAAAGACTGCAGGCGACTGACTTGCACCTTCGGAACCTGCTCTCGCCTCTGAGGCCTTGGCTCTTCAACATGCAGCGCCGAGATCTTAAAGTCTTAGATCCTTCGGATTGCCCAGCTCCGCTTTGCTTGTAATTAATTATGCCAGCGCAGCGATCTCATGCGATTTCTGGGAGGGTCTGGGAGGGGGCATCGGGCTTGCCGAGCCAGCCCAACATGCCACGCGTCAGTGTTTTGTTTCCTGTCTGCTCGGGCGCTGTGGAGGAACAACAGCCGTGTGCAATACGCGGCACCAAAGACCCTGTACTGCACTCACCGGGCATGAAGAGGAAACTATCTGCCTAGCCGAATGGCCCTTTAGTTGTCGAAAGATGGTACATCAGTGGGTGGCGCTCGTGAGTGTCTTTTGACATCATACAACTTTACCACGTGATTCCGGAGTGATCGGCATTCACCAAGGTTTAGGGTTTAGGGCTGGGATGATTTCGGGAAAAAATTCAATGCCCCAAGCCCTTTCAGTGAGCTTGTCCAAATCATTCCAGATGAATTTAATTTCGGAATGATTTTCAAGGTTTCGGTGAGGTCATCAAGCGTCAGGGGGCTTGGTGTGGTTCGGATCACTACCAACCAACCAGTCCTTTATCTAAGAACCCCAACTATTGACGGCCGACGCGCTTCGCTATCTACTGCGGATTCAAAGACATGACCACCAATGTACCGGCGGGATTCAGGATCACGCTGCAGATTTTTCTCCGCATATATTGACGGGGTTCGGAGGCACGACCAAATTACTTCCCTAAATACATCGGACTTTACAACGGATCTGGCGTTCAACCCTGAACGGTAGAACCCCGTAGTGTATATATGGGTTCCGGACCCGTGCTTCTTCATATGCGCCTACACTTCCCGAAGATTCATGATGTCCCCCATCCCGACCAGTCGTACCGAGAGCAGTTTTTGCAGTTGGGGATCAAGTACGATGCGTCTTGTGTTGCGAGAGTCGGCAGGCTTGTTTCCGTGGACTCGGCCTGGTGCAGGGTTCATTCAAGCACTTGTTCAGCAAGCGAGGTTACGGGCCTCCTCCGGCATACCCCAATTTGAAGATCCCGGGGCTGAATGCACCCATCCCTCAGGCAGGCTTCCGCACGTGGCTTTGCTGGAGAGCTTATCTCCATTTTCCATGCAGGGCGCGGAGTATGGATATCACCCTGGTGGTTGGGGGAAGCCGCCTGTCGACGAGCTAGTGCCCAAGCAGGTAACTCTCAGACGGCAGTGACGTTGCAGCTGCCCATGTTCCTTGCTGCGTTGACAAGGTTTGGGAACCCTTTGTACGGCGACTGGAAGGACCAGGCCAAACAAGAACGCCGTGACTGGCAGTGGTAGCTTACCGCATTGCTGCCAGGCACCAGCACCCTCAGGCCCAGAGGACTGGACGTGCTAAGACAGGGCAACTTCAACGACTGCACAAGTGACGGTGCTCTGAGACATGATGGCTGTGCCTGGTTCTCAGGACCACACTCTGTGGGGTGAGGTCGATGATTTTGAAGAGGAGGCAAATGCCTTGATGATCCTCGATGCAGAAAGCACAAGATTCGGGTGTTCGTGCTTGACAGGAGGAAGATGAAGAGGTTGAAGCTGAGAGGCCTTGTGCTTCACTTCCTTACAGTACTCGGAGTTTGGGGCGAATCTGGGCCAGGGGAGATGGCACCGCCACCCCAATGCTTGGCACGGCCACTCCACTGGTTGGTTCGGGCTCTGCAACTCCTGTTGTGTCCGGATCTTGTTGAAATGTTGTGGACAGCTTGTTGCATAGACTTGGCTATGTTCGGTTGGCGAAGGTCGCATGGTGTGCACAGCATTAGCGGTGTGTCCTCGATCACCAGCGGCATGGACACGTCCCGCTCTTGGCCAGCACTGTGCAGTGCGTCCGAAGACTGTAATTGTAACAGTCAGAGTGCTCAACCCATCCTACTTGATCAGACCGGGCACGGGTACGCGAAGCAAGAAGGGTGGGATCGCCTCAGCACGGAGCTGAGTTCTGTGGCTGCACAGCTGCTTGGATGTTGACTGCAGCATGCTACTCTGACACAGTCCATTCATGGGTGTTCCACATGCATGCTTGGTTGGACGGACAAGTTGTGGCCGGTGCAGTAACTGCTACTCACTCGTAGCTACTGTAATCTCCGTGTCAAATTACGGCAGTCGTGGGCTTCACAAACGCATTGAAGCGGTGAGAGGAAGATGCTCGATTTCGATGACCGAGCCAGGTGAGTGGCATCAGCTCAGCTTCCCTCACTCCGACGCCGCAGCTTTTCCAGGTTCAGCAGGTTCGGCTGCTGTGGAGAAAGGTAGAGTTTTGCTTGACAGGTGCTCGAGGAGCAAAAATCCAAGTCCAAGAAGGGTGTGGACCGCTTACGAATGGGGTTGTTGTGCATTCTCATCTGTTCGGAGTCTGTTCGAGTGCAGGTTTACCCATCTGCACACACATACAAAGTCGGCAGCAGGACACACTTGTAGCACCTGGAGTGCGCAGCTTCGGGATTTTGGGGAGCGTTCCGGGGGATTGAAAGGAGTGGAGGCGGCTCATCGACGCCAGTCGGAGGTGTGGGCAGTTCTGGTACCGGTACTCCGCATCTCGGCGAACCGAGCAGCCCACAAGATCTGCACCTTCAAGCTCTATGGCGGACTAAGGGTGGCTGGCATTGGCACTCCGATTGGTGGCATTGGTGCCCAAGTCTTTGGCTGTTGTGCGTCTGCAGCTTGTTGCTGTTGTCGGGTGAATACTGCAAATGGGGTTGATGTAACGGACACGATACCGAGTCAGGTACTCCAATTGCTGGCATCGGCACTCCTCATGGGATTTCCACGTATGGGCCCGAGGCATTGTCAGGTTCAGTATCCGCAAGATGTGGCAGATTCTGAAAGAGGGCTGGGTGAAGAGAGCTGCAAAGAGTCACCCGGCTTCCGAGACCGCACGGTATTGGAACGCCAGGGATGGGCACGAGGAGATGGCAGCTAGGGAAGTATGCGACGTTGCTGGTTTCTGCAGTACACCCCGACAGTTGCAAGGACACCGCAGGGCATCACCACCCCGCTGGGTATGGGATCTGCAGGCAGTGGCAGCATTCTCCTCTTCCTGTCCAGTGACGTCTGGTTGCTTAGGTCATGGAACTGGGACCGGGACGGGGACTCCCGGCATGGGCACACCCGGAGCGGGGACTCCCATTGGCGGCATCGGCACGCCTGTTGGAGGTGGTGTTCACACGCCCGCGACCGAGTTTTCGTCGAGGGTCCTTCGCCTCGCACGCTGTTCGTAAGCCTTAAGAAAGGCCGGTTGGCGGAATCGCAACCCCAGTCGGCCTGGGCCCAAGCAAGCACCACCGCACCAACAAGGGGTCATCCATTCTTCATGCTTCTGAAGCGAATTGCGCGAGGTGGTATTGCGACGCCAGTGGGCGGTATCGCCACTCCAGTAGGTGGCATTGCTACTGGGCTGCATGGTGTGTTGATGTGTGTTGCATGATGTCTGCCTTGATGGCTTGTGATATCCTGGTCCTGACGTTCGTGGCATGCCTTGTCACAAGGCTACACCAGTCGGGGGTATAGCAACGCCTGTGGGTCAGCATACACCTGCGGGAATTGCGGCCAGCCCAGTTGCCGACGATACTTGAGTCTGTACCGCATCAGATATCTCGGGCATTTCGCAGCCAAGGCAACTCCGGCTGGAGGCGTTTCCACTCCAACCGGCATTCCCGGTGGCATGGTCTTGCTCCCACTGTCACTTCTTGCGACGGACTCGTCGGGATGAGACATTCTTCTGATTGAGGCACCGACACCACTCGGAGGAGCAGACACTCCTGGCCCCGTAACCATGAATCTGAATCCAGAGCAGGCCCGGAGTATTGTCGACATCTCACGTCCTCCAATCTCCCCCCGTTCTTTCAATAAGTGCATGTGTACGCGATCACTATCCATCTGGCTCTGTATGTATGTGTGTATCTATCTATCTGTCCGTCTGTCTGTCTGTCTGTCTATGTTTATGTCTATCAATCTACATAGCATGTTATCCACCAGTCTACCAATCTAATACCAATCTAATAAGCGAGCGATCTATCACTCACTGAACCATTCAACCAATCAGTCAGTCAATGAATCAATCGATCAATCGATCAATCAGCCTCCCCATATATCCATCTGAAGTATGTTAAACAGATATATGTATGCCATACATGTATGTGTGCGACGACGTATGTACACATGTAAATGCTGACAGTTCCAAGACTTGCTCAACGCTAACGCTTCTGTGAAATAACTCCAATCCAACCCAAGTGCGACATGGAAGCTGAGAGTTAGAGTAAATTCGAACCACCGCATGCATGGCAGTGGAGGACGGGGCAAAGCAAGACACGAAAACGCTTTAGGAGGTGAGACTGGACTCGGGGCACCCTCTGCACTGTGTTTTTTTGGAGGACATTGGATGTCCTTGGATCGAGCGCTGTGTATTCATTGGGCCGGTGCACACCCGAAAAGTCGTCTCTCTGTTTGATGAGCTTACCATCGCTGCGAGAGGACGGCCTTAAAGGAAATGCACAGCTGTGCAAGTAACTTGCGTGCAGCTACATTTAGGGCTATGCATGTATGTATGTATGTATTTATGTACGTATGTATGTATGTATGCATGCATGTATGCATGTATGTGTGTATGTATGTAATCATGTAAGTATGTAAGTCTTACATACTTACATGATAATGTAAGTATGTAGTAAACAACCGGCTCAATTCGGCTGTGGTACATTGGGCGAAGCTCCAACCCACGGTCACTACCAATCACTGCTCTATGATTCTGTTTGCTTTGAATTCTGGTTTACTGATGACGGGTTTCTCCCTACTCCTGTTTTGCGGGATAGTGTTGATATGCTTAGCTCGGATGTTTATCTCATCATGTACCATCAGTGAAGTGACCGGGCCTGCTCAAGGGTATACGTACCGGCGGCGGGGTTGCCGCTCGACAAACCAGGGCACCCAAGGTCGGTTTTTATGCCAGCAACTTCGTGGCAGGTCAATCGCACACTCGATGCCAAGCTTCACGGGGCAGGAACCAAAACATACTGTCAGACGCCACGTGTGCACAGCAATGGCGTGGACTTCTTGAAAGCGCTCCGCGCCTTCTGGCGGAGGAACGAAAACAAACGTTTTGAGCTGAGGGCTCCTAGTTCCTAGCCTGGACTGCCGACATAGGGAAGGAGAAAGAGCATAGAAATAGCTCAGATGTGCCACGTGCAAGGGGGGCAGCACGTCGGTGCTCTTCCAAGCCTGCAAGACAAATACATAATTTAGAACTTCTGATCTGTTTTGAGCGTGTAAGACGGATGTCGCCGGAGGCAGAATGTGATGAATCACACGGAGAAAGAGACAGGTTTGGAGAGTGGACAGCTCGCAGGTTGAGACAGAAGGCATTCTCACAGCGGACATCATTCGTCCCGGTCTCGGCAGCAGCGCGAGCTTTGCGGGGTGGGGGCTTGCCACTGATCCCATCACCGCCACAAGGTCAGCAGCTCAAACAGCACGAGGAGGCCGCCGCCAAGGCCAAGATTGCAGCCGGTCAGAAGGAGGCAGGGGAGAAAGTGACGAAAGGCCAAATTGAACGCTTAAGTGACGGCTTAGTTGAAGGTGGAGCAGAAGAAGACGGTGGCTGCCAAGCCGACCAAGAAGCGCAAGGCGCGTTGGGCGATGGGCTCAGTCGAGGAGTTGAGCTCCCGAAGCAGTGTGGTGTCAGGAGAAGACAAAGTTCAAGTTCTGAGCAGGCTCTCGTTGTTTCTCGTTGGTGGCTCGTGCATCTTATATCGATGAATGTTCGTGGTCTCATCACTCGACAGACACTAGAAAACTTCGTCCAAGACTTACACATGACTTTGACTTGGTCGGCAGATTTTGGAGGCACAGCCCTGTAAACTGGAGCCTCCATCCAATGGCGATGTCACCGCGTGTCGAAAAAGGGATTGGCATGTTTCAGAAGTGAAAACCTTCGGCCATGGCATCCAGCATCGACCGAGATGTTCCACCGGAGTAGCATTTCCAGCAACAGACGGGGGTGAACAGCCAAAGCAGCAGGAAAGTTACACTGTTACACTCTTCTTTCTTGTCAGTAGTAGTGTGCATGTATGCTTCTTGCAACACCTGCATGCCTTCAGCAAAGCAGAGCACAGGAGACCGGGTCTGTGGAGTATCGTCAAAGCAAGATTCGGTCTTGATGACCGATGAAGGGCACCAATGGTGATGTGACTGAGGCAGCTCAAGATACGTCGCGCCTTGTTCCAACTCTTGTTGTTAAACCATCACTGCAGCAGCTCTTCGATGCCATTCTGAACACGATGTTGCTGAGGCAATATCGGCTAAAAAGCCGCAGGTCCTTCCATGGAGTAGGAGTAGACGCTTGCCTGCCACGAGAGGAGTTTTACGCGAGTTACGAGTTACTGTGTCGGCAAATCTTTTTTGTGCACGATTCCAGGACCGGGAGACAGTCTCGAAGGAGGCTTTCCACGAACAGGATAAGGACTTCTGTAAGGTATGGTCAGCTTCGTGGTGAGCTTTGCGGATCATGAAGGATTTGAGCCCGTGCATTGTGATTTTCGCAGGATGAGTGCTTTGCCGACCTGCAAGACGAAGTTTCTGAACAGAATTTGCGCCGTGTGTGGAGCAGCCTGAAGCTCGGCAGCAAAGAGTATCTAACAGCAACAGCGAAGTGTCGGCCATTAGATTTTCACTCGCTGACTGCAGCGGCCAAGCCCACACGCACTTTGCAGGAGTGGCCTTTGGCTCGTGCCTTCCTTATCACCTTTGTATGAAGGAGTGCTGCAGCATGAAGCATCACCGAAAGTACTTGAATTTTGAGGGTGTGGCATGAGTCCCGCTTACAGCTCGAACTCTCAGGCACACAGCAGTTTCCCAGCAGCCAGCGAGGAGCCATTTCATGTTCGCGAGGTGGCACTGCTGCCCAGGTCTCCTGCCGCGAAATCTGTGTGTAAGACAAGCAGAAGAAGGAGTTTTTCTGGTTTGGTCCAAGACCTTTGCTGTGGCGCCAGGTCGAAAGAGTCGGGAGAGAGTGTGCTGGCAACTTGCCCCAAAGCGCTGTCTCGCCGTCTCCTTTTCCGTTTGGAGAGGAAAGGGCTCGTTCATGCTGGAAGCGTCATACAGATACATGAAGAAAGAAAGTTTGGCTAAGGCGAGGCACAAGATCGCGGTGCGGTGTTGCAAGGGCTGCAAGTATCCGGATGATCGTGCCCCAGGTCAGGACAACTTCAGCTGCGCCAGATTGCCCGGAGGTTTTCGCTTGCATTGCGTGGCTGACGGCCATGGCGAAGAGGGGAACTGGGTGTCCGAGCGAGTCGTCCGGGCATTGCCTTACTTCCTAAGCTCGCGTGACTGTCGGAAGATGCTCCGCGATGGTGCGGTGGAGACAGCCTTCACGTCGGCCTTTGAACGGCTTCAAGAGGATATTGTCTCTGCATCGCGTGATGCAGGTGTAAATGTTCAGCTGTCGGGGACCACTGTTGCATGCATCTTGCGGCAAATTCACAGTACCGTCGTCTGGGTGGCATCCACAGGCGATTCTCGAGTTATCCACGTCGGCCGTGATGGCAGCGTCTCGTTCTCTACGCAAGACCACAAGCCTTGCAATCCTAGCGAACGTCAACGCGTCATCATGAGCGGCTGTGAAATCACCACGAGCGATGCTGCCAACGGAGAAGTTCTTGAAAAGATCGTCGGCGGCTTAATTATGGAGGGGGACATGGCGCCTGTGACATCATATGTGATTTTCTATGATCAAAACCCATGGAGCTAAGTGCCTCCTTGGTCAGCGTGGCAAGCTCCCAGAGCTTGGTTTCACGCGCTCCATCGGCGACCTGATGCGCCTCGGAGTGATCCCAGCAGGCCAAAGGCAAGAAGCTTCCAAAAGCTGAGGTACAAGAAGTACGGTGTCACCGCCAGGCCTGAAGTCTACAAGCTGGAGCAGGACGCCATATCTGCAAAGTGTTGCGAAGTGGCATGCGCACGCCAACCCGAGGAGCTGGGTGATGGCTCTGGTCATTTTCTTCTGGCCAGCGATGGGATTTGGGAGTTCTTGAGCAATGAGGATGTGGCCGAAATCGTCCACCGCGCCCTGACCTAGTGTGGGTCCGCGAATAGCCGGTTCGTTGCCTTCGTGGATTCAGGGCGATTCGGTCTTTTTTGAAGACTACCGCAACCTATCTTTACGGAGACTTGGTGTGTATGCCTTCCATACCTCTCACGCTTGCTCCTTGCCAGCACTGAGGTAACCTCCAGGCAGGTGTAGGAAAGGATGCCATTGTGGAGGAGCTTGTGAAGGCGGGGCTTGTGTTTCTAGCTTCGTGTTGTTTGCTTGAACAGCTCCAGGTGGCAGAAGGCAAGTGGAAGGACTTGTGGTGAATTGCACGCTTTCCAAGCAGAGTGCGTGTTGTTTAAATCGACACGAGCTCCCTAAGTTTGCTTAGCCAGATCCAGTCGAGGCTACCCACCATCCAGGTTATTGGACACATGTCTGCAGGGCTCTGTGTGGGGTTTTTCACCAAACAGGTACGGTTTGGGGTTCTCTCCTCAGAAAAAAAGGTGGGCCGCGGTGGCTGGATGGGTGGGCCGCGGCGACGGGCCTAGGCTCCCATTGGGCTCCCTTCATGTTTCCCTTCTGGGCTCCTGGATTGGACTGTTGGGCCGCATGAGTGGCCCCCACAAAAAAAACCTTTTGGTCACGGCATTCTTTTTCCCAAAAAAAGAACCCTTCTGTCTCGTGCAGATGTCATCACTCCAACACGTTCCAACTTGAACCTGCAAGAAGGAGCATGCTCGGTGCAACTATGACTGGCCACCACAAATAAAACCTTTTGGTCACGGCGTTCTTTTTCCAAAAAAAAAATCGCTTCCTTCTCGTGTGGATGTCATCATTACCCGTTCTTCTTTTGCACAAAATAGTCCACATGTCTGAACATTTGTTTCGCAGCGTCTGCTTGCGAAGCCAGATTGGGTTTCAACACGTTCCAACTTGAACCTGCAAGAAGGAGCATATTCGGTGCAACTGTATATGACTGCCCACCACAAACGAAACCTCTTGTTCACGCCGTTCTTTTTTCAAAAAAAGAACGCTTCCTTCTCGTGCGAATGTCATCACTACCCATTCTTCTTTTGCACAAAAATAGTCCACATGTCTACGCATTTTTTCGCAGCATCTGCTTGTGAAGCCAGATCTGGTTCCAACACGTTCCAACTTGAACCTGCATGATTCGATGCATTCTGTTTGGGGTCTACGCTGGTGTTTTTTAGAATGTTAGAGAGCACAGGTATTTTGCGGATCGAAAGCAGCACAAGTGAGGGAGAAACAGACGTACAAAACACCCTCAGACTGGAGTTTGCTGGCCTGTACATGCCTGTACAACATAGCTCTGGACTACAACCAACAATGCACTTCTGTTCACCATTGCACAGAATGATTGGCTTTGACGTTAACTTGCCCGCTTGGCTCGAAGGCTCAGGGTTTAGACATCCGCACGGAATGTTGATCACCATGGGATTTTTAGTGGTTCTCATGTGCATGGTGCCGGGATTTGGCTCCTGTTGCTGTAGGACGCACCGGTTAGGCGCACCCAGCGGTTCCACGGCTTTGCGCTTACGCTGGTGTAGCACAAAACGAACTAACGCCAGACGCCCCTGTGGAGGGCCGCCACCAAACCCAATCAAACCCATTCCGAAGCATTGAAGGGCGGGTAAGATCCTTCGAAAAACTTCAAAGTCTGTCGATGCAGAAGGGTGTGAAAGATTGTGAAAGTCCCTGCAGCAAGCCAAACCAGGCCGGACCGGAGCGTGTGAGGATTTCCGCACGATCTCAGAACCTGCAACACCACGTATTGCACGATGCCAGCGCCCGGACCTCCATGGCCGAGGCAGATTTTGCTACATGCATTTGTATCTTCAGGGGAGTCTTTTCTGCCAAGGCTCGAGATTTTGCACATTTGCTGTTTTGTCGATTCGGGGCTATATACGAAAAGCAAATCTGAGCGATTCGACCTCACCAGCCCAACAAGCTCCTGCCTTCCTCAGCTCTTGTCCACCTGTATGGCCGATCCTTCCGTAACTGTTTCCAACTCGAGTGCGCGCTGCGTCAGCCGGTTGTGCTCCGCATTGACTGAACCCGAGGAGCATGAGTTTGATTATTGCGATGACATAACCCTGATCATGGTAAGCGGCTCAGTTGCTTCAGGACCAGGAGAGGTCGGCAAAAGTCGCAAAGCAATCTGAGTTTGTTTGAAGCACTTTCAGGTGCCGACGCGGCAAGTGACCGCAGCCCCTCCTGCTCCTGATGACAGTTGCTTGGGAGGCAGCAGCTTCGTGCACAGCGGGTATGTTCTCCACCTGATTTGCCATTCAGGTGTCGTCTATGCTTCGGAGGAATGCTTAGCACGTGTAGATAGACTCTGTACGATTCAGTAGTTGTAGTCCGCAGCTGCCGGTAACTTTGTCCGAATCCTGCCCATATATCGAGTCATCTCTTTCGTGTTGACAGCTTTTGCCGCGAGCATTCCCCGACCCCTTCCTGTCACAATGTGCGTCCTGCCTCGATGCAAGCTGAAAGCATGAACCGTACCTTTTGAACTTACTGCAGCTGCAGAGTGCAGATTTTTCCGCCCCGACAAACCCTGCGTGTGTCGTGTGGTCAAAGCAGTGCGGTCGGCACAGTCGTTGACCTGTGCCACGTCCAGAGCTTTGGTTTGCTTTGCCACCGTGATGCGGATTGCTGGGCTTTCCTGAGCCTCTTCGTTTGTTTCCTTGTGTTCTCTTTCGCCGCTGCCTTCCCAGTCATTCTGACAGCAGATAGCAGGGATCGAACGAAGTCTATTGCTTGGTATGTAGTGGGTTGGCCATGCTGGACGCCATGGCGTGATGACATGTCGAAAAGTCCGCCGCTGAGGCACCTCAAGAGCTTTGGAAGCGGCTTGCTGGCACAGCATGGCTCAGGTCGCAAAGCGGCCAAAGACCCAACAAAGTTCGCAGAGGCCCACCACGGTCTTCCTGGCGAGATGTTGTGACTCCCGGACGAGTTGGATTGACGGGTCAGGCAGAGCAGCGTCTGGCCGATCTTCGGCAGCGAACTGCTTTCGGTGGACTCACTGCCTGCGTCCAAATCTTGTCTCTCCGACGGCGCATGGCCGGCTTGCAGTCGCCACCAAGGCTGAATCGGAGTCTGAAGAGGACGAAGAGGATGAAGAAGAGGCACCCCTTCGCCGTTTGACCTTGCTCTGCAATGTTAAAGCAAAGCTCACTCAGCATTAAGAAAGTATTGAAAGAAATAAGAGTAGCAGGATGTCTTGTTCGGAACGTGGAGGAGCCCGGCTACTACTACTACTACTACTACTACTACTACTGCTACTACTGCTACTGCTACTGCTACTGCTACTGCTACTGCTACTGCTACTACTACTACTACTACTACTATTATTGGACGCTGAGCGAGCGGGCTCTGCTCATTGCGGGCGTGTGAGACTGCCTTTGCACCTGAGCAAAGGTCTGAGAGCAGAAATGCAAAGGGCCTGGGCCTGAGAGCACTGAGAACAGGCTAACGTAAGGAGAGAACCCTACAAGCTACATCAGAGGCCAGCTCATATTACTCAGGCGTGGGTGAGAAACCCTCCGACACCCTCAGTGTGGACTATGGCGTCCCATGTCCACGAACCAATGATTGATGAGCCGTACCCCGCGGGACCGTGCCTGTTGCGTGGCGTCCCACTCATGGTCACTCTCAATCAGAGGCGATGGGCCGTAAGGTCGCAAAGGTGATGAGCACGTGGAACGGCTGCTAGTGCTGTGATCTGAGGTAGCTCCGCTTTTGTGGGCAAGCAGATTGCATCGGTGAACGATGTGGCACACCCTGGCGGTTAGCACACTGTGCCTAATAAGGCCGATGTCAGCCATTGGTCAGCTGTGTTGCTGACAGGCGTTGCCTTTCTGGAAAAGCAGCGAGCGTTGCCCGACTAGCATGACAGGTATAGGCCGCTATTGCACACAAACGCTGAGTAGAAGAGCTACGTCAGCCGTACAACTTGAGCAGCAAAACTGAGTGACAGCGTTCCTGCTCCCTGCCGTGCAGGCAGGTCGGTCGATCGGAGCCAGTGGGTCGCCCCCTCCCTGTAAAAGGAAGTAGCCCTCAGCTTAATCATCAGAAACATGGACTGGCATAGGGCCAGCCTCCGCTGTGCGCGGTAATGAACCAAGTCGCACTAACAGCACATAACAGCCGTGGCGTGCTTGCCTGAGATCGGAACCGGAGGCCGGAACCGACGGACGACCATCGTCCGTGCTGAACCAAGGTTGATCGGGGTTGCTCCTCCAAAGAGAGCGATAGTGTCCACTGTGCGGAGTGTCTCCTATATGAAAGACACAGGACTGGACCCATCCGTGCTCTAGTTGAACGGAGCCCGTCGGGGCCCACTGCGGGAGCTGAACAGGGCGATGTAGACCTGTTACGGCATAACTGAGCTTGCGACCTTCAACGAATCGTGCCACCGAGAGAACCACCAGCCGTTGCTGCCCTCGAAAAGCAGCGTACACTGGCTGACCGGACCACCGAGAGATCAGCTCCTGGAGTTCGTGAGAGCCAGCTGCAGTCGGAGCCGGCAGCAGGGCGAGCGGACCACCCTCATCCGTTACTTCAGTAGTGTGCCCATCCCTGACTTCCCAGGGTCTTGCGATTGGAAACCCAGTAATTCCAGCGAACAAGGCTACCAGGAACTCCGAAGCATCTTGCTGTTGACCATCATAGCGCCAGGTGGGAGTGAGATTCTGCCTCTGGATTCGGCGGCAAGGGGCCTGCAGGCGCTCCGACAGCGGTATTGCCGTCCTGTTTGGGAGCATGGCCCGGTGTCGCGCCAGCCATTGGCATGTACCTACATAGCGGTCCACCCTGACAGCGGGAGAGATCATGAGCCAAGTCATAGAACAGAATCTGAAACAGTATCGGACACTGTGCCGGATGCTGCCTCCTGTCCGTAACCTGCTTGCGACAGCACGACAGGGCATGCCCTTGACAAGGACCAGACCTGATTTGCTGCTCTGTGATGTGGCAGCTGTCCCATGAGCCGCCCATTCGGGCTTGTGGGCCTGCCTGATGTGGGATTTGAGTTTGGTGTTGTCTGGAGTCCAGAACCCACACAGCAAGCAATAAGACATAAGGTCCTGAGACTCATCCAACCTTCCTAGTTCAACAGCTGTGTGTGTAGTCAAGGTGTCATGCAAGCGCTGCTGCCTGGGATGCAACCGGGGCATCAGCTGCGAGTCTGAGGGAGGGTGTGCCGCGTCATCCAGCTCCTTTAACCTAGCTGGCTCCGAACAGGCGCCAGATAGCAGGTGATCTTTTAAGCCCTTCATTTGATTGAATTGCCTGTTGCAGGCTGCACACTTGGGGAGCCCTCCTACGGAGAGAGTGTGGGAAAAACTTCGAGGGACATATCTAAGAACCGAGCCTGGATGCTTGCGGGCCTGGTGGGTGCGAAGACCAACCTCAGTGTCGAAGGCCTGAGCACACGTCGGACATGCGAAAGAAGGAGGGGCCTCCTGCTGCGCTGTGTCCTCGGAGAGTTGTTGCAGAACGTCTGCGTACCTGGCAGGGAGCGCCTCTGCTTGATGAAGCGCCTGCTCTGCTCAGAGACATCACCTGCAGGGGTTGTCTGCTGGCGAAGACCTAGGCGCTTGACACGATTGGCTTGTCTCGCCTGCAGCTTACAAACAGGATCCATGATCTCGTGGGAGGCATAGAGGTCAGTGGTCGATATGTGTGTAAGGTGCACTGGCTTGTTCAGTACAGCTCGGATTTTTCGAGCGTGCCAAGCCCGTAAGAGTTTGGCTGTCTCCAAAGTCAAGCCCACATCCACCAACCCAGAGGCCACGGTGGCCCAGACAGTACTATGCCAAATATGCAACCGCGATGCCGGCCCTGCCGTGCGTCTGTTGTGAACGAAGCGACGTACCTGCTGCAATTTGGCATTGCTCTCCTGCAACCGAAACTTGAGAGTAGCCTTCTCAAAGTTAGAGTAAGAGAGCACGACTCCGAGATACTTAAAGGTCGTCACCATCGGGAAGCCTTCGTGAGACTTGGACGCTCCCAGCCGCCACATCTTGTGGCGAGTACCGTCAGGCGCGGTGCGCCAATACGTGTGCTTGGATATGGCGCGTGGCGCCTGTTGGCCCTCGAGCTTTATCATGACGATGCATTTGGCACCATTGACAGCAAATCCATGACTGCGGACCAACTGCAATAGCTGCTCAATCAGAGCATGAGCGCGGTCCAGGTCCTCCAATGAGTGGATTTCGCGGTAAAACGTCAGATCATCCGCGTAGCCTGTGAGGTAATCCAGCACGAGCACCGACAAGAGCTATGAGCTCCCGAAAGATGGTGCCCGTAAGCATGGAGAAAAGAGTAGGGGCAAGCTTACAACCCTGTTTAATGCCAGCTGTGGATTGGACTGTGTCCTCTTCACCCTGCGTGCGAAAGGTGTAAGCACTACCAGCATGTAATGAGGCGACTAGGTCCATGAGGTCCTGAGGGACTCCCGCACCCCGCAGGGTGTTGAGCAGGTCTGTCCTGCTCACCATGTCAAAGGCCTGTGATTTACAAGTCCAGGGCAAAACAGATACCACCTACCAGCTGGGGGCGAGGTCGCCCCGAGTGAAGCTGATGCCTGGTACGTCGGGCCTCCTGGCAGTTGCTGCGTACCTGAGTGACATGGCCAACGACCCTGCTCAAGGCATCGGAAAGACCACGTTGGGGTTGGTAGGCAAATTGTGGGAGACCCCGGAGATAGTCAGCCGTGTAGGGAGACAGCTGGTCTCTACAAGCCCCCGCCAAGCCTTTGCCATCCGGCCAGCCGGCTTGTTAGGCTTGGGAATAAAACACAAGTCAGCATCCTTTAGAGGCGGCTGGAGAACCTCAGCAGCCGGCAATGGGCGTTGCCCCTGAGATTGCAGCGTTGCTGCTAGCGCCGCTCCCGCATCTACCGAGCACAGCCGCCAGGCAGCCGCCGGAGCCGAACCCTGCGGGACCGCCTTGTGCGGTCTAATGGAGCCGATGTGCTTGGCCAGCAGACCAGCCGGGATTTCCGGTAGCGATCCCACTTGGTGTTCGAGGGGAGGATGTCTAGCAAAGACCTGTTCCACGTGTTCGCGCAGCAAACGAAGCTCAGAGTGAGAGTCCAAAAGCAGGCCATCCGGTCTAGGGTCTTATGCGCGATGTACGAATCGTGTCTGGCACACGCCTCATCCACCTCTGCCTGAAAAGCTCGGTAACGTTCCTTCTTGGCTAGGTAGAGAGCCTGCTTATGCCAGCGACTCAGGTCCTCCAAAGACAGATCCAGGACGGATAAAGTGGTGATGGAGTCCTCATGCAAGGAGCGGATGTGAGCGACTCTGTTCCACATGCGCAACGTCGCGCGATGCTGAGCAGTTTCCGGAGCTTGCTGTGGCCGAGGCTTGGGAAAGAACAAAGCAGAGGCCTCCAGCAGCACCTAATTGACTTCATCAGGCGTGTGATTCCGAGAGGACAGACGCTGTCCCACCCAGTCCTGCATGCGGCCGGCTATCGGCAGACCTGAACGGACAGCCGTCTCTAGAGTCTCTAGAGCTTCCTTATGGAAGGTCAGGGGGGGCAAGTGGGCTTAGGCAAATTCCAGTGCTGAGTGGGTCGGAGATGAGCCAAGACGGGAAGGTGGCCGCCTCGCTTCCACCTGCCGAGCTGAAGATCCTTGCATGGCCCAGACTGTTTTGCCGGACCCTTGGCCGAAGCCTCGGAGGTTAGCAAAAAGTCAATTTGCGAGCCCCGTCCATTCAAGAAGAAGGTGTGACCAGCGCCACAGGACCAAGTGTTAAGAGCTACCAACCGATGGGAGGAAACCAAAGCCTGGAACGGCTCATCCTGCATTTGAGCATGCTCCTGCCTTGTGCTACACTGGCCCACCAGACCCTCCTGCGGAGTCAAACGAGCGAAAAACTCGCCTGCCAAGAGAAAGGTATCCCTCGCCGGGATTGCCCGGATCGCTGCTGACAGATCGTGGAGCAAGTGTGAGCGGTCTTCCTTGTTCTGCTGAGGAGACTTCTTAGAAGACACGCATGTTGATAGACCGCAAAGACATGCACGCGGGCCCCAAGCCACGGGCAAATGACCTGAATGAGCCTGCCGCGGCGTTGCTCTCGCCACCGAATCCGTTTCTTGTCTATCTGAGGAGAAAGGAGAACCATGACACCGTCCGCTCGACTTGTGTCATGAACAGCTGGCTGCGTGGCAGCGCCTTGCTTGGAGCGTTGCCCGGGAGCAGTTTTAGCTTTGGGTGCCCGGGCAGCCCCTTTTGTGGCGGAGCTCACGCAGTGCCAACCCTCAACATCAAACTCTGCTGTTTCATTCCAGTGAGTTTCCTGCAAGACCAGAATGTCGCAGAAATACTTGGCCTCCGTGCGAAGCCACGTCTTCACTTCTGCCCAGCATGCCAAGGTGCCCAGCGTTCCAGGAGAGAACACGAAGAGACTTGCTGGCACGACCGCCTCTCGGGCGCGAGCGGAAACTGGCGGAGGGACCTGAAGGACCTGAAGGAGAAATCGTGGAGCCAGATAGCACGGGGAGGGGAGGAGGGGAGGGCGGGGTGAGTCCACTGCGGCGCAAATGTTCGGGCGTCAACGTACCATTCCGGTACGGGATGCTGTCTTGTGTTCTATGTACCTTATTGCAAGCCTTGCGAAAGGCCTTCTTGCGAATGCTCTCAAAAGAATGCTGGTGCATTGGCGATTGCGCCGTCCGCTAGTTTCGCCGGAAAGAGAGAACCCAATCCGACTCCGTTCACCCTGCGGAAAGGTGAAAACCACTACCGCTTACCTCATGCCAAGGTTGTATAACTGCAGACAGAGGCCCGGGAATTGGGACCCGGCAGATCACAGCGGCACGCGGCTCCGGGAATAGCTATGGCTCAGAAAGAGGACAGTCCCTTAAGCTTCGCAGAAGGGGGACGTTGCGAGCCTCTAGCGTTGGTACCCAGAGGCTTGTTAGCAAAGCTACACAGCCTGCTGTGATCCGTAGCGGCTACTACTACTACTACTACTACTACTACTACTACTACTACTGCTACAACAACAACAACTACTACTACTGCTGCTACTACTGCTACCACTGCTACCACTGCTACCACTGCTACCACTGCTACCACTGCTACTACTGCTACTACTGGTACTACTGGTACTACTGGTACTACTGGTACTACTGGTACTACTGGTACTACTGGTACTACTGGTACTACTGGTACTACTGGTACTACTGGTACTGGTAGAACTAGTAAGTAGTACTGATTAGTAGTAGCAGGCATCTGCTGTTGTGGGGTGTGCTTTTGCTTTCTCTTCCAGGTGCCTGTGGAAGGTCGATGAACAACAGGATGTCCAAATCACACTCACATGATGCTTTCAAGATGCTGGGCGTTTCAACTGCCTGCGAATCGGGTTCGGAGGCCATGCCATGCTAACGGGCACTCGCAGCTGCACAAGCGTTTTCGAGACGGGTTCTGTTGGTGCTGGCAGGCCGCTGCATGACAAAGCTTGTGCAGCCTGACAGAGGGGAGAGGGGAGGGTGCTCGATCGAGGATGGCGTCGTGCCACTGGAGCTAGTCAGCAGCTCTGGCAGCCAGAGAACAGTGTGGGGAGAGGGTGGCACGAAGTGCAGGAGGCTGTGGAGGCGACAGCCACCCACACATGCCGGTGTAGAACTTCGGTGGAAAGGCTGTATTTCCATGTTCTTAGCGCCTGTGCCCTCTGAATGCAATCACAATCTGCCGTGTAGCACTATGTGAATGCGTGATGTAAGCTTCGTCTTCTCGGAAGGAGGAGTCCCGTGAGTACCGCCAAGTATAGCCGCTGAACAAGCCGATTGTCACTCGTCTTCGGAGTGAAGGTACGAGTGTGCATGTCGTGTGAAGCTTCACACTGCACACCGGTGCCGGTGTTGTGACCAGCGTGGGACTCAAGTCTTTGGGCATTTCGGGGAGCGGACCGCGCGACAGGGCGGCGACAGGGACGCGAGGTTATCGTATTGTCACAAGCGTGTCCTTCAGGAAGCCCAGCGGGACCGGCGAAACCGAAATTGAGCCGAGCCTTCCACCCTCAGTCCCCAAGTCGCCGCGAAGCCTGAAGCTTGTGCAACCAGTGCAACCAAGTCTGAAAATGCACTGATTGGGTGTATGACCTCGGCAGTCGCTTCCGAGACATGCAGGAATCATGAGTGCGGTAGATTGTCTCGGTTGCTGTCTCGGTCAGGAGAAGGCGCCGTCGGTGAAGTCTATACTTGCGGAGGCCATGGGTTGAGAAGTAAAGCCGGGACAAAGTTGCTTGCAGTTGCTTCAGGTGGAAAGTGCCATGAAAACCTTCAAGCAGTCCCGTACTGTGCAGGCAGGTTGGGAGTGGAGGCTGAGAGAAGATGGCAAGATCCAGAGATGTCCTTTTTTTGCTTCCATCTTGACAGATCAAGCTCCTGCGACTGAGCCTGACAGACTGTGAATTCCAGGAACATGGCTGCGCTATCATTCGGAATCTGGCTTGCTCTTCCGAATGGTTTGCTCTGCCCTCATATCTGGCAAGTGTCCGCTCCTGCCCTTGAACGTGTTTCTCAGTTTGCCTCGAAGGTCCGCTCAGGCGGCAGGCGTTTGTGCTTGAAGACCCCGGCAACCAAAATACCACCTGCAGATTCCAGTCGGACGATTTGCTTTGTGACCCTGCAAGATAAGTGCACCCCATGTATCCCCACAAAAAGCATACATGCATCAACTGTAGGTGCTTAGAGGTGTGCATGCCGCTAGCAGTTAAACGCATTTGAGATGATCAGCTTCGGTTACAGACGAACCAGAACAACGGTCCACCCTGACCAGCTTGAGGCCGCAGGAAGGAACGTTGTAATCGGGATGGAGCGGGATGGAACGTGTTGGAACTCCGGATTGCTCAGAAACGTTCTCCCTGCCGGACAATGCTGATGCTGTTGTTGAACATCTTGGTGCAGCTCTTGCATGCCTAGGAGCTCATTGAGAAGGTCGACGGCGTGGACTTGATACTATTGGCCCTACAAAGATTCAAGCTGTCCTCTCTGGTTCAGGCCAGCAACTCCTGTGAAAAATCATGCGGGAAGAGCGAAGTGTATGTGCCCTGTGTGCCCTGTGTGCACGCGTGGATGCAGGAGCAGGGCTTGGGTGCGTCTGGAACCCGAAGCATGATGCCTGCCAGAACGTCTGTTCGAGTCTGGTGGTGATGGTCTAAGGCTGAGCAATCTTGCATGCAAAGTTTCGCTGAGAGAGAGGTGGGGCTGGGATGGCCAGCGGAGGCTTTGCTTCTTCGCAACCATTGGAGTTGCCCAGGCTGACTCAGGCTGATGCACTGCACCTGGTGCTGATTGCGCTTCAGGCCCGAACTGAGGGTGCAACATCGGCCTGCCGCGCGGCGAAAGCTTCGCGATCTGCTCAGGAACATCCTGACAAAGCTCACACCTGTGCTCAAGCATGCCCTGCGCCTAGCATCCAAGACGTTACCAGGTTTGACCACGTGCATGTGACAGTATCACGCAGCTGCTAGAGGTTCAGCACTTTGGAATCTGGTGGCCGACCACAAGCAAAATCAGGTCGCATCCTAGGCTAGAACTGTAAACTGGATACTTGCACGGAGCCAAGGCCACGGTGCATGGCCTTGGCATCACAAAGCTGGTCTGCGAGGCGAAGCGGCGAAGCTGGCAGTGAGACTTTGGATATCGGCTGATAAAGTGTACGTGGAGGCAATGAACACGCATGTGGAGAGCGACGAGGTGTTGGAAGGTGCCTTCGGTGCGCACACCCCAGGTTCCCATCGAAATCTGAAGGGAGATGCTCCAGGGTCGTCTTCTCAACTGATTCCCAAGGCCTTGAGCAACATCACCGCTTTCAATCAGGAGAACAAACAGGCCGTACTGCTCCTGATTTGTCTTTCGAGAAAGACAAATGCGACCCTGGCTCGAGAGGACATCGTGGATGCCGGTGGGCTAGAGCCTTAGCATGTCTGTTGAATTCTTCTTGGGACTGACTGTCTTGGAGGGCTGTGGAAAGCCTAAGGGCAGCGAGCATCTGCCGCGGTCCGCCCTGCCAGGCCAGTTTTGAGAGGTGGGGACGTTGCAACAGCCGCAGGAATGCAGGAGCACCTCACAGTCACAGGGGTACGGGTCTCGGTCCATGCTGCAGCTGCGACGAAGTTGTGTGCTGCAGTGCTGGCCATTCCTGTCTCGGAGGTTCAACGGGCTGGATGTGCGGCCCTCTGGGGTCTGCACTGCCATGTTTGGGATGCAAACAGACCTCAGAGTCTTTGTGATTTTGTTTCACTTTGCTAAGTCGCGACGGCTTTCAGAGTTCAAGTGCTCGAGCATTCCCTCCAGCCTGTCGATTTTTCGGACGGGCTGTCGGCACTGGGTTCGAAGAGCACTGTTTCTGGGGTGGACGCCTCCATCCCGATGGCCCTCCTCCCTCCAGCAAGCTGTTGCGAGTTTGAGGCTGTCCGTCCAGATCTTAAGACTCGCGTTGAAAATACATGTCTTCTCTACGTCCGCTCCCGCAGCCGAGGAGCACTTCCTAATGTCATAGCTTGAACCACTTTTAGTCTCTGGTCTGAATCTACAGGGCCATGTGGGTTTTGAGGAAGCAATGCAGGATGGTGTTCCTATTTGCGACATCCTTCGACACTCCTACTTGAGTGAATCCAGCCAGGCTTAACAGCACATCATCATGAAGCGCAGTTGGCGGCTATAGAGGCAAACGCACCAGCAATTGTAGGAGGCTCAGTGATTCAGTGATGCTCTGGTCGCATGGCCTCCATTTTTTGATGAGCACGTATCTTGAACAAGGTTTGTCAGGCGATGCAGTCTGAAATCGTGGGGCTCTGAGCACCCTTCCTCTTCTCGCAACAACAGCCATGGCCATCATTTACTCCGGAGAGATGCCCCCACTACCGTCACTCGCTTCTGTTGCATCCACTATATAATGGGATGTTGAGACGTGCGAGATGAGAGACGAGTTGGCAGGACGGTTCGGCGTACATTGCTTCCGGTTCTAGCTGGTCGCGACCGCCAACATAAGGGATATCGAATGATGATCACCTGGTGTAGTCGGACTAGATCTGACAGTGCGATGTAGAAAGGACTGGCACGCTCATCGTGTGCAGAGCGTATCAACGCACCCGACCATTTGGCTATATAGCACGTGAGAAGCGGTGGCTCAGGCATGCTCAGGCATAGAAATCCACAGAGACTCGCATGCCACAAAAAGGTGGCACTTATGTCGGCCACACAACGAGTCAGTGTTGCATGTGCAAGTCGCAATATCGTGAATTGTCCGTGACAATTTTGCAATGTTGCTCGTGCGTCGAGTACAGTGCTGAGTGGGTCTTGAAGCCTTGGGTGGTGGGGAGATGTACACCGCGCCTCATGCGTGCTGCAGGTTCAGGCAGGGATCACCAGCGCTATCGAAGATGGTAGTGATGATTCCTTGATAAAGTCGGACTAGTCTGACACAAGCTGTAGAGATGACCAATCTGAACCTAGCGTGCGAAATGCATGCGCTGCAAATCGGCAGCCCGTGCTTGTGGCCTGATGAGAAGTGAAAGTTGGAGTCTTGTGATTTGCCGACGAAGCATCTCGTCAACGTGGTGTGGTTGGTTTGGTGTGGCGAATTTCGTCGACAGTTTTCTCGAGGCATGCATCGTCGTCCTCCTAGGGTGCAGCGTGTAGCACCAGCAGGCAGTGATTCATGGCAGATATGAGAATGGCTGGCACGAATTGGGAGGGGTTGACACATAGGTGAGGACATGAAACCGGGCCTAGTTTACCAGGACCGTGCAGCACGCAATGTTGTGTTTGGAGGCTCGTGATATTTCGTCTGTCTGAAGGAGAGGGATGTCGTCCGTGCGTGCGTGTGGGTGCGTGTCGCCCGCTGCTTTTGGCTGCTACAGGTTTTGTACTGTCTGCTCAGCTCTGGACTCTGGACGGTTCGGCGTGCGTTGCTTGCGGTTCTAGCTGGTCGCGACCGCCAACGCAACGGATGTCGAATGATGATCACCTGGTGTAGTCGGACTAGATCTGACAGTGCGATGTAGACAGGACACCATTCGGATCTGACATGCTCATCGCGTGCAGAGCGTATCAACGGACCCGACCGTTTGGCCATACAGCACGTGACATGCGGTGGCTCAGGTGTAGGAATTCACAGAGATCACTTATATAAATATGTCTGCCACGCATCGAGTCAGTGTTGCATGTGCATGTGCAAGTCGCATCATTGTGAATCGTCCTTGACATTCTTTCCATGTAGTTGGACTGTGGCGCGTACACGCGCGCGTAGTTTCCGCCACTTCTGGGACTTTTTCGGGGTGGGGTGGGGTGGGGGGGGATGATTCCGTGCTTTTGGACTTCTGCAAGCCCAAAACGCCCCAGCTCGACTGTCTCCATCCAAACCCGAAGCACGTTATCCTGCTTGGCACATGGATGTTCTGCAGTAATGGCTGGAGTCTGATCTGGACCTTATCCTGCTGGGCTGGAGTCTGATCTGGACGCTATGGCGAAGCATGCCCGACGGGGCGCCGAGCATGCCAGACGACGAAAAGGCCACTTTCCGTAACAACTACTTGCGATCAAGTACTCAAACAGCCTGCCCCCAAATGTAGGAAAAAGTTGCCCGATCTGCTGAAAACCCACCCCTGCCGATGTATTCTGCACGTCCATCACCCAGTTCAATGCGAGCAAGTAGTCAAATAGCTCCCCCCCGCTAAAATAGGCATGCGTTGCCCGAGGTGCTGAAAACCCACCCCTGCCGATGTTTTCTGCACGTCCATGACCCTTTTCAATGCGAGCAAGTAGTCAAATAGCATCCCCCCCAAAATAGGCATGCCTTGCCCGACATGCTCAAAACCCACCCCTGCCGATGTTTTCTGCACGTCCGTCGTTGAGAACATGCCTTTTGTACCACGCGCGGGAATGCGCCACGAACCATGTAGCTGGGGCGTCGCTCAGTACAGTGCTGAGTGGGTCTTGAAGCCTTGGGTGGTGAGCAGGCGTCCACCGCTCCCCCGGCGTGCTGAAGTTTCAGGCACGGCTCACCAGCGTCATCGAAAAGGTAATGATGATTCCTTGATAAAGTCGGACTAGTCTGACACAAGCTGTAGAGATGACCAATCTGAACCTAGCGTGCGAAATGCATGAGCTGCAAATCGGCAGCCCGTGCTTGTGGCCTGATGAGAAGTGAAAGTTGGAGTCTTGTGATTCGCCGACGAAGCATCTCGTCAACGTGGTGTGGTTGATTTGGTGTGGCGAATTTCGTCGACAGTTTTCTCGAGGCATGCATCGTCGTCCTGCTAGGGTGCAGCGTGTAGCACCAGCAGGCAGTGATTCATGGCAGATATGCGGATGGCTGGCACGAATCGGGAGTGGTTGACACATAGGTTGACAAGTTGGCACCGATGAGTGTTCCTCCATCACTGCGGCACATTTCGCAGAGAGGACATGAAACCGGGCCTAGTTTACCAGGACCGTGCAGCACGCAATGTTGTGTTTCGAGGCTCGTGATATTTCGTCTGTCTGAAGGAGAGGGATGTCGTCCGTGCGTGCGTGTGGGTGCGTGTCGCCCGCTGCTTTTGGCTGCTACAGGTTTTGTACTGTCTGCTCAGCTCTGGACTCTGGACGGTTCGGCGTGCGTTGCTTGCGGTTCTAGCTGGTCGCGACCGCCAACGCAACGGATGTCGAATGATGATCACCTGGTGTAGTCGGACTAGATCTGACAGTGCGATGTAGACAGGACACCATTCGGATCTGACATGCTCATCGCGTGCAGAGCGTATCAACGGACCCGACCGTTTGGCCATACAGCACGTGACATGCGGTGGCTCAGGTGTAGGAATTCACAGAGATCACTTATATAAATATGTCTGCTATGCATCGAGTCAGTGTTGCATGTGCATGTGCAAGTCGCATCATTGTGAATCGTCCTTGACGCTCTTTCCATGTAGTTGGAGCGTCGAGTACAGTGCTGAGTGGGTCTTGAAGCCTTGGGTGGTGAGCAGGCGTCCACCGCTCCCCCGGCGTGCTGAAGTTTCAGGCACGGCTCACCAGCGTCATCGAAAAGGTAATGATGATTCCTTGATAAAGTCGGACTAGTCTGACACAAGCTGTAGAGATGACCAATCTGAACCTAGCGTGCGAAATGCATGAGCTGCAAATCGGCAGCCCGTGCTTGTGGCCTGATGAGAAGTGAAAGTTGGAGTCTTGTGATTCGCCGACGAAGCATCTCGTCAACGTGGTGTGGTTGGTTTGGTGTGGCGAATTTCGTCGACAGTTTTCTCGAGGCATGCATCGTCGTCCTCCTAGGGTGCAGCGTGTAGCACCAGCAGGCAGTGATTCATGGCAGATATGAGAATGGCTGGCACGAATTGGGAGGTTTTGACACATAGGTTGAGGACATGAAACCGGGCCTAGTTTACCAGGACCGTGCAGCACGCAATGTTGTGTTTCGAGGCTCGTGATATTTCGTCTGTCTGAAGGAGAGGGATGTCGTCCGTGCGTGCGTGTGGGTGCGTGTCGCCCGCTGCTTTTGGCTGCTACAGGTTTTGTCTGTCTGCTCAGCTCTGGACTCTGGACGGTTCGGCGTGCGTTGCTTGCGGTTCTAGCTGGTCGCGACCGCCAACGCAACGGATGTCGAATGATGATCACCTGGTGTAGTCGGACTAGATCTGACAGTGCGATGTAGACAGGACACCATTCGGATCTGACATGCTCATCGCGTGCAGAGCGTATCAACGGACCCGACCGTTTGGCCATACAGCACGTGACATGCGGTGGCTCAGGTGTAGGAATTCACAGAGATCACTTATATAAATACGTCTGCTATGCATCGAGTCAGTGTTGCATGTGCATGTGCAAGTCGCATCATTGTGAATCGTCCTTGACGCTCTTTCCATGTAGTTGGAGCGTCGAGTACAGTGCTGAGTGGGTCTTGAAGCCTTGGGTGGTGAGCAGGCGTCCACCGCTCCCCCGGCGTGCTGAAGTGTCAGGCACGGCTCACCAGCGTCATCGAAAAGGTAATGATGATTCCTTGGTAAAGTCGGACTAGTCTGACACAAGCTGTAGAGATGACCAATCTGAACCTAGCGTGCGAAATGCATGAGCTGCAAATCGGCAGCCCGTGCTTGTGGCCTGATGAGAAGTGAAAGTTGGAGTCTTGTGATTCGCCGACGAAGCATCTCGTCAACGTGGTGTGGTTGGTTTGGTGTGGCGAATTTCGTCGACAGTTTTCTCGAGGCATGCATCGTCGTCCTGCTAGGGTGCAGCGTGTAGCACCAGCAGGCAGTGATTCATGGCAGATATGCGGATGGCTGGCACGAATCGGGAGTGGTTGACACATAGGTTGACAAGTTGGCACCGATGAGTGTTCCTCCATCACTGCGGCACATTTCGCAGAGAGGACATGAAACCGGGCCTAGTTTACCAGGACCGTGCAGCACGCAATGTTGTGTTTCGAGGCTCGTGATATTTCGTCTGTCTGAAGGAGAGGGATGTCGTCCGTGCGTGCGTGTGGGTGCGTGTCGCCCGCTGCTTTTGGCTGCTACAGGTTTTGTACTGTCTGCTCAGCTCTGGACTCTGGACGGTTCGGCGTGCGTTGCTTGCGGTTCTAGCTGGTCGCGACCGCCAACGCAACGGATGTCGAATGATGATCACCTGGTGTAGTCGGACTAGATCTGACAGTGCGATGTAGACAGGACACCATTCGGATCTGACATGCTCATCGCGTGCAGAGCGTATCAACGGACCCGACCGTTTGGCCATACAGCACGTGACATGCGGTGGCTCAGGTGTAGGAATTCACAGAGATCACTTATATAAATATGTCTGCTATGCATCGAGTCAGTGTTGCATGTGCATGTGCAAGTCGCATCATTGTGAATCGTCCTTGACGCTCTTTCCATGTAGTTGGAGCGTCGAGTACAGTGCTGAGTGGGTCTTGAAGCCTTGGGTGGTGAGCAGGCGTCCACCGCTCCCCCGGCGTGCTGAAGTGTCAGGCACGGCTCACCAGCGTCATCGAAAAGGTAATGATGATTCCTTGGTAAAGTCGGACTAGTCTGACACAAGCTGTAGAGATGACCAATCTGAACCTAGCGTGCGAAATGCATGAGCTGCAAATCGGCAGCCCGTGCTTGTGGCCTGATGAGAAGTGAAAGTTGGAGTCTTGTGATTTGCCGACGAAGCATCTCGTCGACATGGTGTGGTTGCGATGGTACAAAGGAAGGTGGCACTCACACCTAGTGAAAGTCTCCACCCGCCTGCCTGGAACAGATCACATCATGTCGTAAGGGTGCTGCCCTGCTACAACATGTCCTCATGCTTCCACGTGGCAGGCAGGCCGGCGCTTCTGATCCCTTGAGAAGTCGACTATTGTTTTAGTTGATCGACGCCCCACTGAATAAAACATGTTGCCCGGTGTTCCTGCTTTGTTTTGCTGTGTCCGTGCGCTTGATGTGCTCTTCTCCTTGTCTGCTGGGTGCCTTCTGCCACGCTTCTCGCCCCAACAAGACTTGCGTGTCGTGTCCCCAAACGGGAGTGACTTGCTGTACCTAGATGGATCCTCGACTTCAAGAAAACGGCTGTGGAGCCCTACGGAATCTGTGCGCCGACAACGACGATTTTAAGGCTCGCGCATCTTTGATGCATTCTTGATTGCATTCGAGAGAGTGGCCGCTTAGTCAGATCCGCGCAGTCGCAGCCGGTGGAGCAGAGCGTGCGCCGGCCTCAAGCGCACAACGGCGCACGGCACCCCGTGCGCGCGCGTCCTCGTCTGCGCTTTTTGTCCGCAGGTTTGCAATGCGCTGGCTCGGCACGAGGATCTCCGAGTGCAAGCCCGGCGCGCTTGTTAGGCGAAGAGAAAAATCTGCTCCTGGCCTGGCCATTGCGGGGCCTCCTACCTGCCAGGCGGCGGCAAGCGTGCAGCGCTTTGATGAACATGTCATCCGTGAGCCCGGAGCATATCGAGGACCGATTCTTATGCCGGATGGCTCAAAGCTGAAAGCTGACGAGCCCAGTCCAGATCAGTCCAGGACTGCCACGACGAGATTCTGCAGGCGGATGCCGTGAGCCGACTCTGCACTGCCATCGAAGCCCACAAGAAGGCGAGGAGCAGAGGCATTTCTGAGGTGAAGGAGGATGGCCGTGCATGGGTGTTGGGCGCCCAGGAGCTCACAGTCGTGGAACCTGCTTGGAGCCCAGCGCAGAGGGCCTATCACGTGTTGGGGTTCCTGGAGATGGCAGCTCGTCGCCAGGCTTGTGCGGCTCTTCGAAACGTAATCGCCGGTGCGCAGGCCGATGGTGCATTCGATGCATTTAGTGCCTTCAATGCCTTCGCCAAGCTTTCGGAGGTTGGCGAAGCACGAGGCTGCAGTCGATTGATTTCGCTTCGCTGTGCACCTCGCATCGAAGCACGTCTTGTGTAGAAGGTCTGACATACAAGCAGATCCTCGATGAAGACTTGGTCAGGACCCTGGAATAGGACAAATGTGTGTCCGTGGCGGAAGGTCGGCTCACTTGGTTCCAGGGTGGTTGTAGGAATTCTCGACACTTTCCAAGGTCAAGCGTCTGGTGCAGACTGTTTTCTTGAATCTGGATCACAACCTTGTGCTGCTGCCCGAGCCATGCCATGTATCAGAATTTTGTGAGAGCACCTGCCATGGGCAAAGTCTTTGAGGCAGCATCATTGCTTGGAAGCACTTCGTCATGTGTTTGAACCCCGGGCACGGGCGGTGCCTCGCTGCCTGCTGTTCCCTGAACTTCCAACTTCCAGGTGCAGCTGGGAGAAGGGGGCCCTTTTGTTGGAGCGCAACCGGGGTCTGGGCCCCGGGGCTCGCCTTGACGTGGAGTAGAGCATGCCCCGACAGGAGCGCAGGCCGTGAAGCGATCCTTGGAACGCGACGAGCAAAGGCCGTCATGCCCCGGTGCTGTGAAAACGATGCGATGGCAAAGTATGATTCGCAGGAAGGTCCACGACCCCGTCATACGGGAGCGAGGCTGCAACATCTTGAAGGGTGCAGGCCTTAGCCGTGAAGAAGCAGTGGCTCCGACTCTCATCGCCCGTTTGGAGTTAAGCCCAAGGCCTGGCCTTAGGCCCCGGCCTTACTCTCGGATAGCCTTTCAGGACTCAGACCGCAGCTGGCAGGCACAGCCACAGGGTCACAGAACATCCTCGAAGATGACCGGCCTGATGGGTCGGGCGCCAGCACGTCGGAGGATCTTTGAGCCTCAAAGGGTCATCATCTCAGGTTGAAGCGCATCAAACATGCGATGGAGAGCTTCCGGAGCCTGAAGGAAGTGCAGACGTCTGCACTGGAGGCCTGTCTCCGTGTACAGCATTGCCAAGGGGGCCAGGGCCTTCTTGCAGAGGCTCTGATGGCACTGGCCAAAGGCTGGCCCAAAGAAGGAGCTCAGAGGATCAAGGCCTTGGGGGTTCCGGTCACGTGCGCATCGTGCCTGTGGCGTGCTGGCGATGAGGCTGTTGGATGTTTCAAGGAGCGCGAGTGCTTGGGAGAAATTGGGATGAAGGGAAGTTGTGGCTGTGAGCTTGCAAAGCACCTCCCCGAGCTCACACGACCCATGCGCAAGTGCAATATGGAGCACCCGATATCCTGAACACGTCCGGTTTGGTTACCTCGTGCGCAGATTGACAGCCTCTTTGCATTTCAGGACATTCTGGCCGCAATGTCAAATCACTCGCAGGACTTATCACTGCTTGCCGGCATCTCATCGGACTGTGGAAGGCCGCTCGCTTGCTGCTTTCTCGAGCAAGGTCAGTGCTTGTGGCGTCATTCGCCAGCTCGCTGTCAATGGCATCTTGATCGAGGTCTGGGTGGCCTTTGCCAGCAACTGCTGTTGCTCAGTTGCCAGCTGCAAGGAAGCAAGGCCAGTTCTGGAAAGGTACATCAGACAATTTCAGGAGGAGGTCAGCAGAACTGTCCAATACCAGTTCTCATGATTGAGCATGATGAATCTTAGAGGTGCGCGTGCTCGTGCCGGCGATGCACTCGCTAGCTGAGATGGTGAGCCTCATGGAGCCCACAGCACCTTGACATGACTGTGGCTATCTTTGCAGAATCGCGACGCAGATGCAAACAGAGCTGGAGCTTAGGATGCAGACAAAAGCTTTGCACACGACGTGTCGAATTCTCTGGCATGGTCCTTGGCTGCCGCTTTTTGGAGTTGCGTATCTGACCGAAGACGTTTCAGTGTTTTGGGCGTTTGAAAGGGCGTATCAAGCGACAACTTACACTTACAAGGTACAGCCTGAAAGAAGGAAGCCACAACCCTGAACGAGCGACGAAGCCCTCAAACCGTAAGCAACGCAACATCAAGGAGTCTTCCGTGTCGTAGAGCCCAAGTTTGTATTTGCCTCCGATGAGCTGTTGAACAAGGTTGAAAGAAGCTGACCAAAGCAAGCCGGGGCAAAGCTGTTAAGGTCGCGCACAAGCGGAAAGCACACGTGCAGGCCTGGTGGGCGCAGGGTGAGATGCCCTTTGATCCAACATGAACCAATGCAGGCGGCTGGCCTCAGCATACTTCGTGGTTGGGCTACCGTCGGTGTGCGCCCCATCGCAGGAACGGTCGCCAGCGTCCAGCATGTCCAGCGCGCGTCGTCGCAGACGCGCAGCGCTTCTCGTTTCAGGTGGCATCGGGCTCCTCGCGGCCACCGAGGCCAGGCGCCGGGAGGGGCAAAGACGCTGCAGCAAAGGGCTGCTTGCGCTTGGACGTGCAATGAGAACAAGAGCAACGGCAGCAGCTGCCGTGGTGATGGGCAGGTGAAGAGGAACGGAACGATACTCACGACTTGACGAGGAGCAGGATTATGAAATCCGATCGAAGGGGAAACCGAAGAGAGCGTCATCTAGGGAGATGCCGTTGAGTGAGGCAAACATATGCCATATCTGAGCCGTCAGCTGGCCAGTCTAAATGGTGTCATGGGAAGGCTTCGAAGCCAAGGTGCAATACTAAGCTTTCACAGTTCCCGGTACAGCAAGTCAGATCAAAACGAGGTCTGCATGCAAATTCAGGCAAAACGGCAGACAGAACATCATGTTATGCTGACACGAGAGAAGCGCAAAATAGTGCAAGGTACCGTAGGAGTCGAGAGTGCCGCTCCGCATGAAGCACATTCCACTGGATGAGTTGCAGCGGCGAGCCCTGTTCGTCTGCTGTTTGCAGGCCAGAAGTGTGGAGCGAGCACGTGCTCGCCTCGTGTGCATCACCTTTCGTTTCCACGACGGCTTCAGCGGGTGAGGTGTGGCCATGCTTGAGCACAAAGAAGACGAGGTGCCTCCCGGCCAGTAGGAGCTTTGACGTGACAGAACATCTCTCATTGTGCAGCTGGTAGGCCGTGCAGGGAATAGCTTGCGAGGTCCTCCGCCGCGTGGGGCTCTGAGACCAGTGCATGGTGTCTTAGCACATGTTGCACATATTTGCCTTCTCGGCGGCTTGAGTGGAAGCTTGCACGAAACGTAAAGCCAAGGTGGCGGCCTCCAGCACGCACATGCGCCCGGGATCTTGGTTTGCAGCAGTACTAGTATCACTTGTGAGAGCACGCTCGAAACGCCGTTAGGCGACAACATCATCGAAGCTGGGCTGTATTCTTTGATAGTGTCAGCGCAGGACCCATGGCAACCTTAAGCTGGAAGTTTCGAGAGTCAGTTTGCTGCTGGTGAAGGAGACGTGTCGGGCCAGCCCACAGGTGCAATGTTGTAGACTTCACCTGTTCGATCAGAAGCAGCTGTTTGCAGGTCTGTCGGCAAAGCCTACAAGCGGCAGGCACATTGCTGGGCTTCATGGCCGGGAAGGGCCAAGGACGGCAGGCCGGACAGTGCCGCTCTGATTTCCCCGATGCATAGAGCGTTGTGCCACAAATGCAGGAGGAACGAATGAGGATGATGATGCAAAGTGCTGCGGGGTGCCAAAATGCTGGGCAGTCCCCATGCAGTCAGCCCCTGAGTGCCCCAGGCCAAAGCCAAGGCAGCTGCCACGTCCCCAGCAGACTTCGCAAGCGGCGCGTGAGCCCTGCCCTGCCCTGCGCGTTGAGGCCGGAACACCGCCGCTCCCTTGACGAGAGCCTGAGAGCGGGCCTTCCCTGGGCCCCAGTGGCTTTGCCTTCCGAGGCAGCGCAGCGGAGCCATAGCCTTTGGGAAGTTGGTCAAAGAGACCGAGCCGGCCTTAGAGTGGTCTATGTGGTCTGCTGTGCTCAATGACAAGAAAGCCCTTGAACGCATGTAAGGACATGTCCCAGTTTGCCACCAATGCACGCCCAAGCTTGGACCGAGACAGCGCTACAGGTAGGCGATGCTTGCCAGACTCCTCAGGTACAAGAGCTGCTGGTCCTGCACAAGTCGAGTTCTCTGTTTGTGCAGGATGCCTGTCATGTGCGGCGGGCTTACTTCTCGTCTCGATGTGGTGTGATCCCCGAGCAGCCAGTCTCTTGGGACCTTTCCCTGACCTTCGATGATTTGGGTTCGACAGCACGAAGTAGTCTGGCAAAGCTAATCTCCCAATGCCTTCTGGCACGGCCGTCAAGATGTGAAAGGGCGGCGCCAGGCTTTCTGCCTTGTCACAAAGTGTCTCGTCCGATGCCTCACGACAGGCAGGCCAAGTTTCTCTTCCTCATCTTAGGACATGCTGTGTGTGCCGTGCGTGATGAGATGCAGACTGGCTGGAGTGATGATGGCGACTTGCAAAAACTCGATCCTGCACGCAGTCTCCTGAACATTGGTCCTGGTCCTCATATCGGCTATGTACAGTGGCATGAGGAGCACCAGCAGGACGCGCCGCAGGATTCCTACAGAGACGCGGGAAAGCAGCGGACTTCCGCTATCCGACACAACGTCGGCATGGAAACACAAAGCCGTGGTAATTCCTTCGAAGGGGTCAGTCGAATGCAGCTTCTGAATGTCGGAGGCGGCTCCGCAGCGAGCCAAGCCCTGCACGGAAAGGCATTCAACGGACGGGACACTTTCGCAGGTGCAGGCTCTAGAGGGACGTCCTCACCCGCCGCCTGGCAAGTCGCAACGGTTCAGCGGAAAGCAGAAGATCCGGGAAGCCAGCAGCACAACCAGAGTTCGGAGACCGGCAGCAGTAGCGACGATTCGGAGACGGGCAACGGTACCCATCCCTATCCGGGAAGAAGCCACGAGTGGGCGAAATATGACTACAAGAAGACCACGGATGATGTTGAAGGAATGCGAGCTGTGGTGGAAGCCGTGGACGCTGCCAAGGACTGGACTGCTTTGAGGGGTGCTCCCTACCGGACCGACAGACTGTGTAAAGTCTTTCAGTATCAGGACAAAGCAGTTGACAAAGCCCGTGCAGTCCAGATCCCAGATTGTTCGCACTGTGTAGTCGGTGTGAGGAGCATCTTTGTTCTCCGTCCATGTGAGCTCAGGTAGACAAAGCGTTCCAGAACCAACAAGAGAAGGTGAAAGACCTGGGACGAGTTATGGATCACCTGGACGTGTCCTATGAAAAGTACAAGACAAGTGTTGTAGATTACTTTGTGCAGCAGGAGGACAGCACGTTTTCACCACTTGCAAAACGCGCGGAATGACGGGACGTTGAAAAATGAATAGACAGCACGGCATAATGAAAACAGAGGAGTGCTAGGCTGAGTCGAAATGAATTCTTGAAGGCTGCAGAGCCTCGCTGAGTCATCCGACGAAGGCTGCAAGGCGACCGCTCCAAGCAGCTCAATTTATCTGTGCACTTTCGATCCCGTCGATAGGCTGTCCAGTCTATCGGGGTGCTCCCAACGATTTTGGCAGTGCTCAAACAGCACCGACGTACGCATCCCGAGCTCCGTTCCGCTCTCTCTGCTTCTCAGCTCGCAGCATCTCGATCTCGCATTCGGAGGCAGCGAGGCGGCGAACTTCTTTGCGCTGAGGGTCATCTGGAGCCCGGAGCCCGATTGCGAGAGCTCTCGCCACAGCGCCTTGCTGAAGGGCGAGAAGGCTGAAGGGTGGCCTGCGCATGCCTGCACTCAAGGCCTTTTGACAAACACCACCTTGATTCGCCGGAACCTTGAATTCCCTTTCCCTCCGGACAAATCCACAGCCATCTGCACTGTGCTTCCTGAGGTCACGCCATTGAGGCCTCATGCCGTCCTTGCTTGCTGCCACATGCCTCGGGGTCTTTCTGCATTGGACGTTGCTGCAGGCAGGCCTGATTGAGCTGGTCTTATCGTGTCTGACTCGCTTTCACGGGTGTCCAGCTGTACAGAGTGCGGCTCTTTTGCTTGTGAGTCGTACATCCCTCCAAAACCAGGACGCCAAGGCCATGTACATACAGGCAAACATCATCCCGCTCATGCGGCGACTGCTGGAAGAAGATGACGAATTTTTGCGAGGGCGATGTCTCGGCGCACTTGCGAATCTGGCGAGCAACAACTCTAAAGCGGTTGAAAGGATGCCGGACATGGAGGAGGCGGTCGTGGAAATGCTATGCCAGCACGACTCTGAACAGCTGCAATGCCGCTGTCTGCAGCTCTTGTGGGCACTTCTTCGTGCTGCCAGAAGCAAGAGGCAGAAGCCACAGGTATTTTGCAGTTCTCGGCTGCTGGATGCAGTCCTCGATGCCCTGGCCAAGCATTCCAAGAGTGAGAACTTGCAGGTCCAAGGCATGGGCTTCTTGTGGAACTTGACTGCGCTTGGGCAAGAGCAGAAGCGCTGGGTTCTTGAGCACAGTGGTCTTCGACTTGCCGTGGTTGCCCTGGAAACCCACGCAGACAGCCGCCCCGTCCAGCATCATGGGTTGGAGCTTTTGCGGAGCCTTTGCTGTCTCGGACCCGAGGCACGGAAGCAGGTTCAGAACGCAAGAGCTGTGGACTTTGCAAAGACTGCACTTGTGATGAGAGGTGACCCTCGGATTCTTTGTGCGGCTACCGCCTTATTGGGAAATCTTGCCTGTGGGGATCCTGCTGTGAAGCGCCAGCTCTTCGATCAGGACATACCGAGAGAGATACTGTCTGGCATGGAAGACTATGCACGTGATGTTGGCGTGCAAGTTGTCGGGGCATGGGCATTGGGGAATTTCGTAGGAGTCAGTCGCAAGCGTGCTCGGCAGCTTTACGAGCTTGGAGGGAAAGACCGCGTTTTTTTGGCCATGTCTGAGTACCCGCTGAATGACAGCATGAAGATGTATGGAACAGCAGTAATTCGTAGGTTGGAGTTGGTACAGGATCTGACACTGAGTGCCGACAAAATGGACGAGGATGACGAAGAGGATGCGAAGGCAGATGAAATCACCGAAGGCAAAAGTTTTGCAGAACTGGACAAAGAGGAGCCAGAGGATGCGGGCTCTGCGAGTGAGTCTTCCTCCGAAGATCCAGAGCTCCGGGCGAAGATTCAAGCGTTGGCCAAGCAGACGCAAGGGCAAAGCGATGTTCGAGGTGGGGTGAAACTCGGAGACGACGGAGATTGAGCTCGATCCCTGGAGCTCATGTGACACGTCCACCAATCTCACCAGTCTTTGAGATCCTGAAGGTTGACGAATCCCCCCGGAAGCAGCGCCGTCACGCACAAGCACAGGCATCAAGTGTTCATCAGAGTATTGGTGTATTGGTGCCTGATGAATGCTCGAGTATTCTAATGCCCACGGACACACCAAGCAAAACAAGAGCAACATAATTTAAGCTCTTGTGTCATGGGCTAGTGGTACAGAGGCCAGGACCCACGGATCCACGTGATTATCTGGGATGCAGTACATGGACGTTTCACAAGTCAGATGACTACAAGACCCTGGCTACAAGACCCTGGTCCTGGGATGCACGGAATCTACGAGAAAAGCCTGGCCTTGCGAGATCAGACAGCCTTTTTCGGCTTGGAGCACTCGCAGCACCGTCGCGCGGCGGCCTTCAACAACCGTGGACATGGTCAAGGAGCCTAGGATACCCTGGGGCCGCCTCAAGAACCGCAGCACTTCTCGCAGGCCTTGGCCCCCAAGGCATGTGCACTGCGTTCCACATGCGTTTCATCTTCTGTTTCGAGAGCGGTGATTTGAGAACTAAGAAGCTGAAAAAAGGTGGATGTAGCGGACCGGGCCTAGGGACGCTGCGTCAAAGTTTGCTTTGGAACATTTTGGAACTGCAGGAGTTTTGAAGTTCTGGCTCAAGTCAATCCTCGTATTTCTCGATCTTCAGGACGCTAAAGGCAGACTGTTCTGCACTTTTCCATGAGATAGCGAACCGGCAGATGCACGCAGAACATACGGCAACAAGGTCAGGCTCTCAATGGAGATCGGCGCATCATGCTTCAAGGCTTCTGGAAGACTTTGAAAGTAATGCCGGGAGTCCGAGGTGTGTGGCCGGATGCAGCGTCGGGATAGTGGGGAGCATCTTCTTCGCAGAATGGCTGGCCTTCCACAGCTTTTCCAAGCCGCCTCCTGTGTGGGTGCTTGTGTTCAATGCCACCTGGTTGTTGGCAATTTGGAGTTATCTGCAAACAGCTTTGACAAATCCTGGCACACCCACGAGCCCCGAGTGGGTCGACTGGGCGCGAGCTCGCAAAGGGAGCAGAACAGTGCAACAATGGCAAAAGGACGCAGAAGAGGCGGGGTTGTAGGCACATCAGGGCGGCCACAGTCGCGCGACTTCTGGTGCTTGGGGGCCATATATTACATAGATATGATATAGAGGTGGACTATCAGATATCTCTATATACATATACGCACATACACAAACAGATGAATTATGCATCAGACATACATACATACACCATGCTTTTCAAGCTTTTGGGGCGTAGAGCCATGTCGACGTGGCCCTTTTGGGATGCACCTAATGAAATTTTTTAGTCCAGTAATCTGACTGTCACCAGTGTGGACTCGCACTAGGAAACGGGATTGAGCCAGCGAAGGAGAAGCTGTCCCGCTGCTTCAACAGAACCAAAACGATGGCACGTGGATGATGCCTGAAAATGCACGGCAAGCAAAACGTGCTTCGTATTCCGTAATCGGCGATCAAAGCACCACACAATATACGATCCACATATCGGATCTTGAGAAGTGCGGGACGTTCTGCATGGTATCAGATGAGGCCAATCTCCACACGGTTAAGATAGCCAGGATGTCTAAACACCTTCATCGACGTCAGAAACTGCTATGTCAGGATAGCAGAGTCAGGGTCATCAGATCGAACGCCTCGTTTGCATACCTTTCCGTAAGACATGCAGTAATTGCCAGGTGATTGTCCAGATGCCCTCGCCTGACGAGCCTCTGCTTTGCTTGATGCCGCGCGTCTGGAAAACCCACATCTCCTTAGAGCCAGAAGCGTGTCCTCCAAACCTATGTTCAACATTGCCACGTTGCACTGCGTGCTCTTCGCGTCCGTGAAAGCCACCCCGTCGGGTGAAGTGCATTAGCTGCTAGATTTGGTGATCCACATGCCGGCGATTGACGAGCCTCTGCTCTGCTTGATGCCGCGCGGCTGGAAAGCCATCGTCGTCTTCAAGCTAGCCACAAACTCTTCTACGGTGAAGTCTGCGAACGTGTCCTCCTATGTTGAACATGGCCACACTGCACAGCGTGTCCTTCGGGCCATAAACGCCATCACGTTGGGTGCAGTGCACGAGCTGCCTGTTGCCGTTTGGTGATCCAGATGCCCTCGTCTGACGAGCCTCTGTTCTTCTCTACGCCGCGCAGCTGAAAAGCCAACCTCTTTTTGAAGCCAGTCGCCAATTCCTCTGCCGTGTTGTATGTGCGAGCGTGTCCTCCGAACCAATGCTGCACATGGCCACCTCATTCACAAAGTGTGACCCGTGCGCCCATGATCGCCATCATGTCGGGTGAAAGCAAAACCTGAATGCCCAGCTTGTGCATGGCAGACGCTCCCATGGCGGGTGCTGGGGCCCACAACATAGCTGCTCTACATGCATAAATTGTTGTCCTGACATCGTTGGAACCTCTCAGAGTTTTCTGTTTCAGCAAACATGAGATGTCATGAAGCAGAGGAGCGTGTTCGGGAGGGGGGGGGCAGCCCGCCAGGCTGGCAGGGTTGCTCCGAATAGCCAGATATCTCCATCTGGGGCCCAAAGCAGACTGCAGGAAGCATCGGCTGATGCGAAGAAGTCCTGGTCGCCGGGCAAGCCGACTTGGTGTCGAACCTGTCGAATGGAGCGGCCCGAACGACTGGACCTCAGACCATTTCAGACCGAAGCACAGAACCGGGGCTGGGAGCAGGCGCCCATCACTGCAGCGCTTGCGGCACATGTGTGTTGCGAATGGTTTGTCTCCCAGCTGTGTGAAGAACAAATGCAACAGGAGGCACTTCTTGCTCCCTGGCCCAGCCAGGACCATCACTGTCCCTGGGTGGGAAGCTGCGGTGCTCTCAGCGTGCCTTTTGCCGAACCACCGAGAAGCAGAGTGCCGGGCTCAGGCGTTGGTTGGCGAAACCACAAGTACTTCCTGCTCCTGAACTGGCACTTGGCTTGAGATTCCGCCAAAAGAGTTGCTTGACAGCGGGTCTTTCTGTGGGCCGACTCAGGTGGTGCTTTTGGGCTTGCCTGTGCTTCATGCTGACAATGTTGGGCCCTTGATTGCCGTTCTAAGCTGACGAGTTCCTTCAAGCCCTGCAAAGATGCCGCCCGTCGATGATGGATGCGCTGTCCATCGCTCCTGGCAATCTGGATCTCAACAGGCTGCCCTCTGTGGTCATTTTCCGCTGTGCATTCCTGTCGCTGGAATTGCCATTTCCGTAGAACCTGTGCAGCTGGCAACATGCTAAGCCTGTCAGTGTGCTGGCACTCTTCTCGATGCTGGGGATCTTGGTCTTCCTTCTCTTGACAGGCATGGCTGTGCAAGTGTCTGTTTGCTCCCTGGACTATCTTGATCTGTGAGAATGGGAGCAGGTATTCTCTTCATGGTCTCGTTATGGTCAGCAATGAGGATTGTGGGGAGCATCTTGATCACGAGAGCATGGGCATTCTCAGGTGCAAGAGCAACTTGCAATCCTTCTCACCGGTCGGGGGTTCAGAGCAGCGGGGCAACTGATATGACCCGATATGACCCTGCCACACTGGGTTCGTTCTACCAAGACGTATGGAGAGCCCTGGGTGCGCACGATATTTGCGCACGATATGTGCTTCTACATCAGCATTAATAGGCTTCAAAAGTTCGCTAGCCGAGCGCAGATCACAGCTGTGCCGCTCGTTGCCAGTACACCAGGGAGCACAGGCTTCCAAAAGATGGACGGCAAGGCATTGACAAGAAAGGCTGAGCATACGGGTATGCCGGTGATTCCTGTACCTGGGAAGTTGGACACAGGGTCAAAAGCGGCATACGCAAGAATGCACGCGCAATAGCAGTTCAAGAAGCGGGAAAGGCATGATTCCATGGGTCTTTGCCGAATTGAAAGGGTTTGCTCTGACTGTTTGTGCAGATTCAAGTCTCGATTGCTCCAGGAATTGCACGACAGTCGAGGATTTTTTCGTGGGCGACAACCCGTGCCCGCGACGGCTTGCCGAGCTGCATTAGGAGGCAGTCTTCCCGGCAAAGCTGAGGTACACCTTGCCCTCGTGCATAGACAACCTGACACAGCTTCTGGGCAAGCCGGGAATCAGGCGATGGTGCTGTGCAATGAGTGCGAAGAATTTTCTATCTCGAGCCTCGGGGCTTCTGATTCCGAGGTGGCTGGTTCCCGTGCCCTGTGACTGCAGGCAACCGCCTCGCTTCGTGAGATACTTCTGAGTGCGAGACTTGCGCAAGGCCATCCGATGGCACATACTTCGAACTGAACTGCAGCCTGCCCATCGAGGTGCGCTGCGCGTATCAGCCCTATTGGAAAAAACAAGTGTTGACGTTCAGCGCAATCGCTTTTCAGATTGTAATTGAATAATTAGTTCTCTTGGCTGGAATACCCTCAACTGTCTCTTGCAGGCGGTGCATGGTGGCGGATATGGCACCGTGTGAAGCATATGCCTCGAGACAGAGACCGCCTCACGAAAACCAGTTCTCGAATGCCTGTAGCTATCAGAGCATGCTTGTGCACCGTTTGCGAACAAGCCCCGATGCATCATCCGCCGCCAGCTTGGATCAACCAGTGAACTCGGATGCCCGTTGCCGGTGGCAGGCTTGTTGTTAATCTGGTAACATACAGAATCGAACTCAGTCGCTGATGCTGTTCAGGATCACAATATGCCTGAATCCTCCGCATGGAACTTGGAGAGCTTTGCTGTTTCCTTCGGAGCATTTCCATTCTGTGAGAAGCCAGCGCTGCCGATTCTTGAGGTTCTCCTCAAATCTGCCGGGCGCAGAGCCTTCCAAACCACCCCGAGGTCTTGCGACATCGTACGCAGCGTGTGGCTGTTGTGTTCTGTATCAATGAAGTGAGCTGTGTTTGGTCTCAGGAGTCATCAGAAGGCCCAAGACGACCAATCTCTCCTGGCTGCGTGCCCTGGAAACTCGACCTGCCCTTGGCTTGCCGTTATGAGCAAGAACGGAACATGGCAAAGATCATGCACCAGGCCGCGACCCCTCGCTGGACGTCTAGGTGGCATTTGCCCGGGGTGCGAAGCTTAGGCTAGAGAGAGGTTCACGCAAGCATTGAACTTCGCCCAGTGATGGCAGGGGACAGTATTGGCCGCCGCATTATGCCGCAGGAAACTACCGCAGAGAGGACAGATTATTGGGTCGTGTCCGCAGAAGCAACTCCGGAACAGCTGAAAAGAGAACACACGGCAGGATACGATCTCATCTATGCAGGCGACACACACCTCTGAAGCTGTGAAGCCGCAGACGGCAGAAATTTTCAGGCCGGACTCGCGGCACCACAAAGAAGATGCCGTGTGCCTCCGTGTGCCCTGTGGCCAGGGAAGGGTTTCGAAGCCATGGATGGGGCCGTGGCACGGGCTACTGCTGCAGCCTTAGAGCCTTGGAGCTTTGGAGCCTTGGTGTCGAAGCGCTGCCAGCTAACAGCGTCGTGAGGTCCCAACACGAACTCCATTCGTGGTGTTGACTGGTCGCACAAGGAGTTTTCAAACGCTTTCAGACGCCTTTCGAAGGGTGCCACGAGCAGGAGACGAACGATGTTTTCCGCACGACGTACGGGGACACGCTGTGTTTGAATCGAGCCAGGGCCTGATCGAGGGGCGGGGAATGTTTGGAATCTCGGAGCCTGGGATTCGCTGAAACGACCAAGTCTCCGAACTCATTGGCATCAACTGCCTCCTCCTTCATGCCGGGCTCTCAGATTTCCAAATCCAGCCTCGATTCGCTGCCCGCGCAGTGAAGGACTCCACGCGGGAGGCAACGCCGGGGGCCCAATCACGTTTGTGTCGTTTCCGCACCGTGGTCGCTATTGCTCTTGTGTTTTTCGCTTCAGGCTTAGGAGCTTGCTATCGTCACCAAGGTGCATTCGCAGCGTTCCACTGACGCTGATAGGGCTGAATGGTTTAGTATATCATGATCCAAGTCGCCACTTCTTGATGGCCCCTGATTCATGCAGATTGTGCGATTGGAAGCATAGCTAGAGAGACAGTTGCTGAGATGCTGTTGCATCAAGAGGGGCCGGTCAGTGAAGCTGACATATGCCCACTGCCACAGCAGGACTCACAACTGCAACTTGCTTCTCAATTCAATAGCATCCTCCAGCTACGCCTGTGCCCGAACGAGAATTTCAATCGCCTTTCATCACAAGTTTTCCGAAGCCGTTCTGCAACAGAGAGCACCAGATAGATGAGAAGGCTTTCAATGACAAGGCATTCTGAACCAATGTCCTGTTGCAGATCAGGCTGGATTATGACCGTCGCTATCCTAGCATGCGAAGAACCTTAGCCGTATTCTTTGCAAGTCTCTGTGACCTCCTGAGGAGCCAACCGAGGCGACTGCTGCTCCCTCCTGCTCAAAACCCTCTCACATCGATGCTTAACATCTAGAATCTAGATGACGACTGGTGGGAAGGGTTGGCTTGGCTGCTTCTGTGCGCCAGCAGGCAGGGATGAGGTCATCTAAGGTGACAGCACTAGCTCGAAAAAATAGTAGGGGCTGGAGCCTCGATTTAATGGCGGGCCGCCCATGAAAAATCGCGCGAGTGATCTGAGCATATCTGGGCTGTCGCACAAGACTACATCTGAACGTGTAACGCATGGAGCCAGTCCTGCACAGTTACTCCAGTTGCAGAGCAGAGTGTTCTCAGCACTGTACATTCGCAGTTTTTGAAGCCGGATTAGATGCCATGGCGATCATGGAATAGCCAGATCCACTGGGTAAGTGACCGCAGGCTTAATGCCGAATGAAGCTGACAGCACAATCCAGCAAGCACGGGGTGAATCGAAGGTTACTCACAGTCTTGTGCAAACAAGGTTCTAATTTTTCCGTTGCGAGTACCTTTCTGGATGCTAGATAGGGAGCGCGACTTTGTGTGCAATGCGCTAGACACGCAAGAATCACAGCGGCTGGGATGCTGGGAGCCCAACCGTGCCGAGACCTTGCGTGTGTGGTCCGAACATGTCGGAGGAGCATCTCAGCCAGGTTGGGTTGCAAGGGCTTCCTTGGTCAGACCGATTTCTGGAGAGAAGAAGGTGCCAGGGCTGGTTCAGGTGTTTCATTCACGTTGAGTTGCGTGAGAAGAGCTCGACAGGCGATGCTCCGATTCTGAAGCCTGGGCCTTGCAATGCAGTTTCGCAAGCACTGGAGTGGCCGTCTGTCTCTTAGGTTTGACTTCGGCTGGTTGGAGGCTCACAGGGAAGAGGCTGCACTGTTGATGGGTGTTGCAGGGCCAGGGCAGTCTCCAGTCTACCTACCACTGGAGTTCAGTATTCAAGCGGACTGCCTTGCGGGTGCGTCAGGCAGTCCGCAGAGCCACAGCTTGGCTGCCGCACATCGGTGTCGAGGCAAGCCGTGTCGCCACAGCCCCAGTGGGAACGGAGTCGCCTCCCTCTCCTCGCGTGGCAGCTGGGACCTGACCAGGATGTCGACACCAAACCCCTCTCCACGGAGCGTGGCTGATCTGCAGACTGGTCCTGCAATCATGCAGCATTCTGGCAGGAAGGGGCCAGGATATTCCGAGCAGATGCCAACCGGACCTTTCGAAGTGAGCAGCCATCTTAAGGAGTTGAGAGGTGTGATTGGTGCTTGGTTGTGCATGTGACGCATGTGTGACATTCCCTGACAAACAAGGCCGAATCGTCTCGTCTGTATCAAGCTGCTCTCCTTTTCTGCCGGGGCGCTAGAGTACTTGCATCACCCTCTATCTCTCCTCTTTTCTGCATCTGCTGATGCAAATCTGCATTGCTTCATTGCTCATGGTCGCTCAGCAGCAGAAGTTCGGAGACTACCAGCAGTCCCTCGGGCCCCTTTCCCAGAAAGCCATGAGCCTTGGGCACAACCGTGGTGAGTGTGGGCGATGTCTGAGGTACGTTGCAGGCTTGCTCCTGCTCTTCTTCGACCCAGCCACCTGCTTCAAAGCCTTAGCCTAAATCCGACGTTCTGAGTTTTGGTGCGGCTTCGATGAGATGTTATGGCAGCTTAGCAGGTCTTGACTGTCCTCAACGACAGTCCGAAGTACCTGCCGGGATACTGGCGTGGAGAGGCCACGGTATGCCGACAAGAGCTGCTACGCAGAACATGGCGAACACACGATGCGCACGAGCTGCCCTGCCAGAGGCAACTGCCTGCGCGGTTGATGGGTATGTGTGCGAGAGTTTGCTGAAGCAGCCCGTCAGACAACGCTTGAAGGACTCAGTCAGAGCGTTGAGTGCGACTCACCGAACACTCTTCAATGACTACCGTGACTAGGGGGGGTGTCTCATGTTGACAGGAGCTTGGATTGCTCCCAGAGACCTTCGTGCAGAAGTGGTTTGCCGGGTATGGGTCCGAGACATTTGTGTTCAAAGGAGAGCAGCCACTACTTTGAGTAGTGTGGGATCGTGCCCCTTCCAGGATCTGCTTATCAGAGGATCCCGTGCTGCAGGCTCTGCATCCACCATCTCCCCTATGGCATTCTTTTCGACTTCCTGGTACCTGCGGCATGGATTGTTCGATGCTCTCGCCAACTAGCAGTTCGAGTCAGGTTGAGACTGGTTTTAGTCTTGAATGTCAGGACAACTTCTTCGAATCAGGCAACTCCTATTTGACCCGAGCCCAGATGTCCAGCTGTCCTGTGGCAGGCTCGAGTGCCATTGGAGATGAGTGTGTGAACTCGAGGTTTCAGTTCTTTCTGGCCTTCTTTGACGAGTTTGAGGCCTCGCCTGGGTTTTTTGCACTATCGTGATGTGCTGATGCAGGTAGCTCTTGTGACAGGCCGAGATCCTGAATGCGGCTAACAATCCCGAAGTCCGGCTCCAAGTTTGAGGAGTTCAGGCGTTTGCAAAGGGCAAGAAATCGGCAAGACAGGCGAACATGCTGATACGCTTCGAATCAGCTCCGCAAGAGCGCCTCAGCAAAGTGGTTCAGGCCGGGCCGGGCCGGGCTGCTCTGCACTGCATTTCTGACAGAAGCCTGCAGTTTTCTGCCTAAGTCGAGATGTTGCTGGTGTTATTGCTATAGCAATGTGGTTTTTCTTGCAGTAGTGTTGCGAGCGTGTGCATGTCGTCGCGTTCGTCGCGTGGCATTGAGCGATTTTGTGATGCCGATGCCGATGCTGTTTCGTGATAGCTGCCTGTCGTTGCTGCTGCTGCTGCTGGTGCTGGTCGGCTTGCTGCTGCATGCTCCTGCCAGGTTTTGTCCTTGCTGCAGCTGCTCTCATTGTTGCCATGCAGGCAGCGACTGAGGAAAGGTATGCCGGGAGAGTGAAGTCGTCAGCTCTTCAGACGCGACGTGTTCATTCCTGTGCCGTGCAAGCTTAGACCTGTCTGTTTGTGCCATTGCCAGGCTAGATGTTCATCGATGCCGCATTACAGCCTTTCAGGACAAAATCGACAAGCGCACATGATCGCCGATAGCCGATGGGCAGCCGGGCCAGGACACGCTGTCAAGAAGGCTCCAAAGTGCGAACGAAGGTATGTGGCCGGCCTGGCGAAGTTTTGGTCCTCTCGCGGCCTCTCGCCTCTTCGACAGACGACTGGAGTAACATATACTGCGAGGCAAAAAAACGACGATGACATTACGTTCTCGGATGAGGAGGATGGATGATATGTCGCTGATAGCGAAAATTGAATGTGCTCCATGTCTCCATGTGATATTGTGAAGATATCGGTTGGCCGGCTTTACGTTGCTCACTTATGCTGGACCGATGCATTGTCCCTGCCTTCCAGCCAAAGCAAAAGGTAGAGCAGGAGCGCATTTCTGCATTAAGACATGTCGCAGAATTTGGTGGGAATGTTTTTGGATTGAAAGACTGATCGACAACAAGCCTGGCAGCTCTTGACCTTTGCAAGAATTGCATGGCTTCCAGCCTCAGGCACCGTCGGGTCCAGTATCGTCTCGTCGTAGGAGCACACTAGCTGCTTTTCAGGCCTCTTTGTACATATTGCAGGCTTTTATCATGGAGGGAGTTCCTCCCTTCTGCGGGAACTTGAAGGCTGGGTTGATTGGTCTGTTTCCGTTGTTGCCAAATGTCAGGTGAGCTCAGCCACCTCGCCATCTTGAGGCTTGTTACCATGTCTCATCCAAAGCGCAAAGCTCTTCTTTTTTCTCTGGGATCGCTTTGGGATCCCTTGAAAACTTGAAAGGATGGTGTTTTCGCCTGCCGCGCTCGCTCCCGAGTCTTGGCAATGAGAAGACTCGGGCTGGGCCCCATCCAGGCAAGGCACGGGATGCGCGGGACGCGGCGGATGGGTTTTGATCGGGGAGGGGGGAAAGATGTGTAAACGTTGCTGAGCCCTTGGCCCAAGATGACAAGGCATCTGGTCTGCTCAAGCCGGATTTGGCGCTACAATGAACCATTACTTCTCATCTTGATCTGAAGACCCGCAGCTCGCCAGCCGGGTTCAAGACTTAATGGACCAAAGTTTCCAGTTGCAGCAGACTGGCTCATACCATTGTAATTCTGGTGAGCGTGTTGTCTATCAAGCTCTTCTCGGAACTGACGCAAACAGCAGAACAGCGCATCGTCGCAACAGACTTGCCGGACAGCCGGTAGAAGCTCGAAACAGCCATGGTGCATGGCAGAGCTTTGTCTGGAGTTATTCTCTGGGTGGTGTGCCGGGCCTATGTCGGAAACACGCCTCTTGTACATCCTACGTTGTAGGAACGATTAGGAACGACGACGAGCAGCCCCAGGTTCTGCGCGACTTCAGCTGCAGTGGATCCTGCTGCGACAAAGGTGCATGAGCTCACTGGAAGCCGCTTGGCGACTCGCATTCACGAGCTGGAGTTTCGCTGTGCAGACGGCCCCTTGTCACCTGAGATAGCTTGGCTCGTCGCGCTTCGCTATGCTGAGGCAACTTCGATTCCACTGTCCGTCCCTTGATATCTGAATAAAGGGTTTGTGGTTGCTTAATCTTTGGTGATATTCGGTGATGGCTGGTGATGACGGGCAAGATCAGATAGCGTCTCCAAAGCCAAGCTAGCGCTTCTTAAACCCCTTCCAGGCAATGGACACGAGATGCCATGGTTCGCGAGGGACTCAGCATAAGACAGACCCAGCTGTGCAATCCAAGCAGCACAATTCCACAGTGCAGGATGACAAAACACCATTCTTGGTGAATTCTGAGGTGAAGTTCCATGCGCCGTGGTGTGGGCATTGCAAAAAATTGGCCCCGGTGTGGGAAATGCTCGCTGAGAAGCTGGAAGGCGAGGCTCGCTATGAGGCTTTCTGGCGCATGAGCGGATGCATCCGTGCAGGTACGGTTGCATTGGCCAAAGTGGATGCAACCGTGGAGGACTCATCCGGGCCTTGCTTGCCCATGCTTCCCCATTCCCCGTGAAATCTGTTCTTGACAAGTCGCGAAGCATGGCAGGAAGGCTTAGCCTACGAATGGGAGATCGAAGGCACCTTCTCTTACCTTAGTTCGGCTGCAACACCGTCACCGGCTCAGAGGCTATCCTACATTGATCCTGGTTTCAGACGGCCACCGATACAGGTTCCGAGGATCGAGGCACGCCTTCGACTTTTGCGACCGTGAGCATTGGGTTCGGGCCGGCAGGACATTGGAGAGCTTGGAAGCGTTCGCTGCTGGCGGCTACCGAGAACTTCCACAGGCCCGGCCACTGAAGAGGGGCTGCCCGGCTGCCCGAGAACACAGTGTGCGTCTGCGTGGTGAGGAGTCGCCACAGAGCGAGGCCTCAACAGGAGCGATAGCCACACCCGACGAATCCGTATGATCGGATCGATGGCAGCGGGTGTTGGTATGCCTGTCCGAAGGCGCTGACACGTTTGGGGGGCCAGATGTTGTGGCACTGTCAGGCCATTGTGCAGTTTCGTGGAAGAGAAGCCTCCGAAGCGCTTCACTTGGAGGTAACTTTGACTCGGTGGTAAGAGTGCCAGCCGTGACCGTGTCGGCGCCTTAAGATGCATCGTTTGATTCTCTTGAACCTGTCCGACGGCCTTTAGACCCTGCGCCGAAGGCTTATTGTCTTCTATCTTCGTGGCTGTGGGCATTGCAGGAGAGAGTTATCCGCGAGCTTGCGTCCGATTCAGCTCACTGACTTCTGCAGGGACATGGAAGGCACCTGGGGTGCTTTGGCCAAAGAGCTGAAGGACAAGGACGGAAATCGCATCCAGGTATCGCCGCATCGCCGCATCGAGCCTCGCGGAGGTGCTGGTGGCGAGCGTCGATGCTCTTGCGAACCGCCCCCTCGCAGAGCTCTGGGCAGTGGAGCGCTTCCCAACCATCAAGCTTGTCAGAGGCACTGCGCCCCCAAACTTGACCGGTTCACGAAGGCTGCCTCCCAGGAGCTTCGTTTACGGTTTTGCATTGCTAATCAGTACAAGGAGAACCCAAAATATCGAGCCAATGTCGGCCGAACTTCAACTGTCGGGGAAAAATCGTCGGGTTACTGTATTTGTGCATCTAATGAACTCCAGCACCCAACCTCTGTGTCGTCCCCTCCACACCCCGCATCCTCCTTTGTTGAATGTTGTTCCCCGTGGGCGCAAGCGAAGCCAAGCCTATGCACGGCCAGCTATCTTTTGTAAGTCCTGACCCCACGGTGCAAGTACCTCACTGCGCTCGTAAAATGTCCGGCATAGCACGTTGTCTGTTCAGGTGGACAGGTGTATGATTTCGAGGGCGCTCGGACAGTGGAGGACCTGCAGGTGTGAATCGCGTGCACTCCCCATTCCCGAATGTTTCCCTGACTGCAGTGGAAGGCCTTTGCGCTTGAGGGATTCAGCTTGCTGGAGCCCTCTCCGCTGCCGCCACTGGAAGCAGCAGCCAAGCAAGGCTCGCTGGCCACTGTACGTTGTGGTGCTTTCATGGTATCTCGTGGTCATGAGAGATACACGACATCAGATGTCATTCTGACAAAATGGGAATGCGGTACTGGTGCGGTAAACAGATAGCTCAGAACCTCTAGCAGGTTTTTACGGATGGTGCCCGTCGGTCTCTCCGTGTGCGTGCTACCTCGGCAAAGGGGGCAGACTTTTCGGCTAAGTCGTCCCGAACTTGTTGCACGAGTACTGCCTGTTGAATCAGACGCTCCCTTTAGTTTACCGCGTGCTTTCCCTCTTCCGTTGCCTGACACGCTTCCATGCCTGATCCTTTGCCGCACCTCACGCGAGTCGGCCACGAGTCTCCGGTCGGCGGGCCCAAGCAGTTCCCGAGCGAGCGGATGGCAAAGTGGTGCGATCGCATGCTTCCCAGTCCCTGTCAGAAAACTCGTAAACCGTTGCCAGCCAGCGAAGCAGCCGTACTGGCAGGGGGGGCTTCGTGACTACCGCTCCAAGCATAGAGGCTATGTTCAGGTGCTGGGATGCTCAGGCGGGAAAGACCTTCTGCCCTCCGCCGGCTTGAACCCAGTGATGGCGATGAGGAATCTTGCTGTTTTGTTGCGGACCGCACCACAACTTCTGCCCTCCGCAGTGCTTTGGAGACCGCCTGCCTGGAAGGATGGGCAGCAAATAGCCGCGTAGGGCGCGTAGGGGGAGGTGGAACCTTTTCAACGATTGAAGCCCATCATCGGCATGTTCCGGCCTTCATGTCGACTCCGTGGTTTTGTTTCATCTGCTCTCGCTGCCTCGGATGCCATCTGCACCTCTTCCCCAGTCGAGCACGGATCTGGCGGCAGTTTCAGACCTTGACAGCATAGTCAGCACAGCGTCGAAGATGCAAGGCCCCTCTCCAAGTGAACCCGCCTTGAGCACGTGACCCTTGGTTTGGTGCAAAATGCACCCAGAGGTGTGCACCGAGCGTGCAGGTGCGAAACCTCTCAAACATCAGGTCGTGTAGTTTCCAGACAGTAGCCGGTTGTGGGTGCTGCGGCAAAAAGGTAGTGCATTGAGCGATACTGAGCGGATGGGACGATCAGCAAACCGGGCCATGGGATGCGTGCGTGCATTCGGGTTCCGGCATCGTCCTTATACATGTTCGACAAGCGGCATGTGCAGCCAAACTTTCCTCCATCGAACGACAGTGGTCACACAGTAAGCACGCTGCTGCTGCAGGAAATTCTCAAGACGCGAGTCAGATGCACTTGGTCCTTGCGCTTACTGAAGCCGTGACGATTCACAATCCCTCTTTGGGAGATTCAGCGCGTGCTACCTTACTACATTGTTCAGGTGATTGGCTTCGTCCTTGGAATGATCTTTGCAGGATGCCTCTGGGGTTTGTACCTGCGCTTCAGGCACGGCAACGCATCGGATGTTTCATGCTCACCCCTGTTGACGTGTTATTTTCGGCATGACATCCACAATGAGCGCCCTTGTCCTGACAGTCGAAGTTCATCTGAGATCCAGACGCAAGCCACAAAGAGCACGAAGTCCGAATGAGCGGCATGAAAAGCGTCGGTGCATTGGCGTGTGCAGTGGACTGCATGAGTCCCTAGTAGTTCCTGAAAGGCATGGGCTTGTGATTCTGTCCGCGTGTGGTGCAGGCTCGAATCGCCTGGACGGCGAGGCGTGTTGCCTCAACTATGCCTTCTTTCCTTCTGCCCGTGGTGAGTGCCAGTGACCAGGAGACTGAGACGAGCTCCGGCCAGTCAGAAGTTCTTCAGCAGCCGGGGTCTCAGGACTGGAAGCTGCTAGCAGCCCCCAGAAGCAGAGCACTGTCCGTGACGTATCACGGCGAATTCCTGGGAACCCAGGCCAGAAGCGTCCTCGACAGGCAGCTTCGACAGGAAAGTATGGTGTCCATTCCATTCGTGGTGCGACTTTGCCAGGAAGATACGAAAGGAATTTCCGCAAGCAAGTCGACTGATTTCGCAGCGTGGTATACGCAGGCCAGGTGAGGCAAGGTTTCAACCTGAGGGTGTCCAAGTCAGCGCTTCTGGTGCAGGTCATCACGCGTTCTGAAATGATTGAATACTACGACGTGAGCGGGTGCTGCTCCCACGCTTGAGTATTTGTTCTGCTGCACAATGGCGCAACGGGCATAGAATACATTGGAGGTGCTACATCTTGCGACCGTGGTCCTTCTTCATTTGGCAGGAAGTCTCTAGGTGGTTGCAGACTGAGGACAGGAGCAACCTAAGCCGAAGCTTTGCCCGGATGTAGCCCGCTGAAGCGCTCGCCTCAGGCTTGACAGCAAGATCCAAGAGCTCGGTGTTCAGAACGCTTACTTTCCATGCTTTGTCAGCCAGGAGGGATACTGCTGCTACTTCATACAGTGTTTTGTGAGTGGATCTGCAATCACGCGCAGACAGGAGGCGCTTTCAGCCGAAGAGGATCATTTGGAGGATTTTTCTCCAGAGGCAGGTGGTTATGGTTCAAAGTCCCCCTTCCTTGGCCTTGGCATCAGTGTCGACTGGAGGTCGCATGGGTTACCAGATCGGGGACTTCGGAGCTGACGAAGCCGGTGCCACGTGCCACCTTCCTTTCAGGGGCGCCTCGCATGTGCTTCCTTTAATGGGTGCAGATTGCGATACGGCCGACGAGTGAGACCATCATGTCCGCAGTCTCAGGCTCTTGCCGAGGAGGGCTCTGCTGGGCATGCGTGCAGCTGAGGTATCCATCGTTCGCCAAGTGGATTCGATCCCACCGGGACCTCCCCCTGTGCCAGTCTCATGACCACAAGTGTGGCAATGCAGATGGTGAGATTCTGTAAGCAGGCAGCTGAACCAATGGACCAATGTCGTTCGATGGCGCCTTGCCTGAAGTCATCACAATCAGGGCTCTGTCATGCGACACAAATCTGTGCAGGGAGTTTAAGCAGCCGACCCCCTTTCTTCGAACCCGGGAGTTCCTGTGGCAGGTGGGTCATCTTTGGTCGCCGCATGTCTGCAGCTCGCTCTCTCAGTCCTTGTGCCAGGAAGGCCACACCGCACATGCCACAGAGGAGGAAGCAATAAATCTCGTGAGATCAACACTTGATTTGTACTCGTGCGTGCAGCCTGACTGCAAGCACGAAGAAATCTTACCGGCTTCGTAGATTTCATCTCGGCAGAACTCCTCGCTGCTACATTCACAAGGTACACAGACCTTTTGGCACTGCCGGTCATCAAGGGAGTGAAGTCTGTTGAGGCAGATGTATCTCGATTCGTTCTCGATTCATTGGTGGAGCCGTTTCATTTGGGCCTCTTGCGTCCAGGAGAAGTTTGCAGGGAGTGTGTACACAGAAACGCTTGAAGCCTTCATCCCAGCAACTGGACGCGGAATTCAGGCAAGCCCGCTCACGTCCATGACACTCTCTACGTTGCCGGCGAGCAGGCAGCAACATCCCACTACCTGGGCCAGAACTTTGCAAAAATGCGCGGGCACCTGGCGGCTGTGAGTCTAAGAAGCTGTCAAGATTCGAAGTAGCTTAAGTAGCTTTGCATTACATGTCTTGCAGGTTCGGAATTCGCTTCGAGGATGACTCAGGACAGAAACAGCTTGTGCATCAGCAGCGCTCTTGGCACCAGTCATCATAGAAGCTCGCGAAATCGGTGCTGCCAAGGACCTGTTGGGGTTTCACCACCCGCTGCATTGGCATCATGATCATGGTCATGAGCTCACGGCCCTGTGTCAATTGAGCGGCAGAATCGTCGAGTTTCGAGGTCCACGGCGACGACAAGGGCCTTGTCTTACCCCCGCGGGTGGCTCCGACGCAGGCATCAGGTGCCTAAAGTGACCCCTCAGTTGGATGTTGAATGCCCCTGGCAGGCGGTTCTGATTCCAATTCCAGGCAAGGAGCATGCAGGCCCTCGGTGTGCACCTGCTGCTCAAGTCGCTCAACGCAGCGTGTGCATGTTGGGATATGGCTCTCAGGAAGGTCATTACAACAGACACGAACAGCACCAGCTCATTAACAGACCAAGAAAGTCCTGGGGAAGGTTCAGTATGGGCAATGAGCTGGCACAGCATCCTCGGTGTTGCTTTCGATGCTGGCTACTCTGACATTCGCGCTGCATTCAAGCGGCGTGTACTGGAGGCTCACCCCGACAAGGGAGGCAGCGCACATGAATTTCAAGAGATTATGTTCGCGTTTGAGAAAGCGACATGTGCTGTGCCTACCGACGGCTCCGTCGCGCGGAAAGCTGCATCTACTACACGTTCTTCCCAAGCAAAGGTGCCTAGCACCAGCTGTCGCTTTGTCGGTCGGTTCTCACGATTCTCGAAGGTGCCGCGGGGCAACTGCAGTGTGCGGCAGTCCTGGAACGCTGCGAAGCAACAATCAAAGCCCACGAAGGAAGCATCTACATCGACGGGCCCTCGTTTCGGGGGACCATGGAGCAAACAGCGCATCCTTCGCCAATTGCATGCATGTCTGCAGCGATTGCCTCGTGCGGACCGCCAAGTTGCCCTGAAGAAGCATCTCAAGCAGCGTCACCGTTTGGAGCTGGAGACTTGGATAACTTCACACCCGATGCGGGACAGCGTGTGCCGGACTCCAGCTGAGAGGATGTCAGGCGTTGCTGTTTTCGGTGGTGATGTTGCTGAACTTCCTGCGGGCGGAGCGGATGACAACGGAGAAATGCTCCTCGCAATCGCGGATGTATCTGAGCACTTCGACGTCCAAGAAGTTGATGCAGATGTTGTACCCGATACAGGTCAGCGACTGCGGAAAGGGATTATTCGGCGGAATATCAAGCGCCTGAAACATGACCCGCTGTATGTCGTCCTTGTCGTAATCAACAATCTGGAGCTGTTCTCGGCAGGCACGAATGACTTGGCAAAGGCAGTTGACCTGCACATTGCACTGACATCACTCAAGCGGCGTATCACCAAGAATCCTGCTCTGATGTCGAGATTCGATGCTGAAGTGGTACATGCCCTGCAGGAGCAGGATATTTCCACCAGCCAGGCTCGGCTGAGTCTGCGCATTCACTTCCCTGTGCATCACTGGACAGGACGGCACCTGCGATCTCCAACTTACCCATGGGCCGAAGTGCAAGCGACACTGGCAGCGTGGAAGACGATGCAACGAGCCAGACTTGAGTACAGCGGCTTGGGTGCCAAGAAGGGTGGCGTGTTTTTTCTTCACACGCCTGCTTCTGTCGAAAGCGCGTGGCGCACGATTTCAAGGATTTACATCGACACGTGGGTGGCCGCAGGTTGGGACGATCAAGACCTTCAGACTCAAGTGGACTCGATGCGAAGAGCTCACGCCACTAGCAGTTGCTGCCAGTTGACGGTTTGGAATCAGTACAGGATGGAGTGCGAGGATCGCAGGCATCGTTTGCTTGAGCGTTTAATGCGGCAATCAGAAGCACGGGAAAGGCGAGAACTGGCTCGAGAAGACCGACGAGCTGCGCAGATGGAAGCGAAGACTCGCCGACTTCTAAGCCAGGTCGATCGCTTGATCGTTCGATGGGAAGAAAGACGAGCAAAAGACAGGATGACAAAGTCGCGCCGTCAGAAGAGATGGGTGCCTAGGTGGACAACTGTTCCATAACGAGGACGAACAGCGACTTGGACACAGGCATGGCCGTCGTTAATCGTGGATGCTCGCCGGCTTCAGTTGTCGAACAAGGGCTGCGCTCGCTCGCCAGCCGTCTGGACGATTCACAAGAACATGAGCTCACAAACCAGCAGAGCAGCAGGACCAGTGGGTGGGGATGGAGTCGCACCTCGACGTTGTTGGCAGGCTTTTCCATCCTTGCCGCGCCGACGTCCACACCCGGCGCAACACACTAGCGCGATGAAAGACCGTGCAGCCGCTTTAGGCCCTGTGCACAGTTCTGCAATCAGTTTCCGTAGGCATCGAAGCCCGGTGCAGCGAACTTGCGACGACTCTCAAGGAGTGCGGCGTTCGAGCTGAGGCCATAGCAGGGTCGTAGGCATATGTTGGACTCTGCACCTTCAGCGTCGAAGGTGGATGCACGGCGGAGCTACACGCCAGGCTGGAAGTTCAATTGGCCGGAGCCTTTCAGCGCAATGCAGGGCAAGGCCACATTGCCGAGAGCGATTATGACATCCTGCGCCACGTGCCGAGGTGGGAGATGAAAGGTGTGCCCCTGAGGCTCGAGGTGCGACAGCCCTCGCGAGGATCTCATTCGGTTTGTTTGGCTGCGCTCGGGCAGGTTGGGCCCAAAGACATGGCCCAAGGAACCTGCCGCATGGTTTGCCGCTTGGACGGCTCGAAGAAGGAGCTCCGAGCTGCAAGCGCACTGCGAAGCCAGAAGTCGACGGCTACGGGCCTCGAGCCTCGAGGATGTAGAGCAGTGCAAGCTTGCCACTTGCATCCCCGCAGAGCTCCAGCGGATCCATGAAGCCATGCTCGAGAAGGCCGGCGGCTAGGTCGATGCTAAAAAGACCCGAGCCCCGAGAGTTTTTGCCAGTGCAAAGGCGACCCGGGACAGGGATGAGGGAATTGCCACCGTCGCGCATTGGGACGAGGTGGCCCGAGGAGGCATGTAGTTTGTCGCAAGCTGTTTGCTTTCAGCTGGTTTGTCAGGTTGTGCCAATGCTAAACCAGCGGAAGCTGATCATGGCCCCGTGGTGCGAGTCTGCCGAGCCTCTACCTTGGACATCCGAGAGATGATCCAACAGTAGCAACAGTATTCCTTGGGCCGCACAGGTCAGAAGCTGAGATTAGAAGTCGAACGAAGGAGGCTGGCAGACTGTGTTCTCGTCCTGACGGCATGATGCAGCATTGTCACCGCGAGGAATCTCAGACTGGTTTGCCTGCGGTGGGGTCCTCGTCGGTTTCAGTTGATGAGGGGCGTGACATGCCCCATGGAACATGTCGCGAATGCTGTCACAATCACGACACGCTGTTGGGGTAAGCTATTGAATCTCGAGTCTCGACGGGTTGGAAAACACACACGGTGCTCGGACACCGACTGACCATCCAGGGTTGCCTGCTGTCGAGGCCGCAAATGACGAAAAGCCACTCTTGGTGCGCCCAGACTGCTTCCACGACTCGCTTGCCACTGCAGTGATCTTTGCTCGCCCATGCAGACTGGCTCCATGAAGAGTTTATGCATTCCGCCTGAGCCTCCACATGCCGTGAGCATGTGTGCAAGCATTCTGCTCTTGAGAAGCACAAGGCTGATTCAACCTCCAATGCCACCTGGAACGAAGTGCTTCGTGACCGGTGCCCCTGCGAAGAGGCGAAGGGAACGCAGTTATTCAGCGGCAGGTTGCTGACACTGTTGCTTCCTATCTTCATGACAACAGGCATATTACCGACATAGTCGTTCACTTAGCCGTCTGCATGCAGGTGGACTCTCTTCGGTCGCAGCTATTGAGAAGAATCGTGCGAGTCGCACAGGTCTTAGGGCGGCAGAGCAGGGCCCAAAGACTTGACCCTGCGTTGATGCTGTGGACCAAGAATTCTGGTCTCGTCTGTGTTGTCTGTGGGCAGTCCGATTGCTTGGCACGTGCAGTGAACCCAGCACCTAGCAGCATGCCAGCATGATCGCCCGTCTCTCGCAGCCATCGAACCCAGCGAATCTGGTTTCGGGAGACAGCTTCAGATGACTTAGTGCCTTAGTCTATGGCATCCACTGTGCATGTGCAGCTAAGCAGGAGTCCCGAGGCTGGGAGTTGCAGGAACTACAACACAAGCATGACTCACCACGACTATGACGGTCTCCTCTTGTTGCAGGAGGGGCATCCCTGGGAATGCTTAGTGTCTCCAGAATTGGTGCACTCCTCGGCTTGTCAATCCCATATCAGTGGCTCAGTTCAAGCACTGGACAAAGGCAGCGCAGTTGGGCGTGGCCGAAGGATTGAACAACTGGCTCGTGGCATGGGGAGTTTCTGGGCGAGGCAGATGCGTGCGGAGATTGCGCTTCGCCATCTTTCGCTTGCCCGAACGCACAGGAGACTCTGTCCTTGCTGAGGCCTGTGATTTCCTGTGCCAGTAGACTCACTTCCCGTTGCAGAATCTTGTAGCCTAAAGCAAGGCAGGTTTGGCTTGTGGTGTCTGAACAACCCATACGACGATGCGAGACAGCATTGTCAAGCGATGCACGTATGCGGGCAACGGGCCTAGGTGCATTTGGGCATGGCAACGAAAGCGTACCAAGTCGACGTCAGCCTCCAACGGCGATCGAACCAGCTTTGTTCCACGAAGAAAACCTGTCTCCAAAAACCACGAGGCAGGCAGACGATGACAGCCAGGCCAACCAACGCATGCAAACGTCTCGACGGCTCTTGAAAGCCTTTCGTGCGCATTGCACGCTTGAGAGTGAACCGTGAAGCTTGCGATGCGTGCAAGCTTCGCAGTGCTAACGGTAGGTGCGGCCAAACCTGCTCCACCAGCGCTTCCACATCCCCTCGCACGACCACTGCCACCAGAGCCACCACCATCCCCTGATAAGGTGCAGACTTTGTTGATAGCCAGTCACTCCTTTGGGTTCTTTGGGTTTGTTTGCCATGGGAGGTGATGAGTAGTATGACAGTTTAGGTGTTTTGGGACCGCGTCATGGTTGAGACCCACAATCTATGAAGGTTCTGGGGCTTGCCATCACCAATTTCTGTCGAGATTTTGTGTACGCCGCGGATTGCTCCTGTGAAGGATCCTGATGATCCTGATGAAACTATATATATATATATATCTATATATATATATATATATATATGAAACTGAGGAAAACTGAAGCCTTGCCTGCTGAATCCAGGCAGAGAGAGGATTGTTTTCTTTTTTGCTTTTTGCACACAGGTGCCGTCCACATACGGGCCTAGCCAATGTTCGTTTTATAAACACGTCTCGTCTGCAACGTGCCTGCCAAAACTTTCAGACTTGGGCGTGCCCCACTCATAGCATCTGCGAGGCCGCTTGTGCCCCGACGACGTCAGCGGCGGCAGCAGCAACAGCTACAGCCACAGCTACGCTAACGCTAACACTAACGTGAAGTCCAGCGACAGCGACAACTCCAACCACAAGACGGATCCAAGCACGATTGTATTCAGTTCAGGTCTTGTGGGAGCAAAAAGCATGCAAGATGCAATTGAAGTAGGATGGGACGAGTTGCCGAATGGGCCCAAACACTCAGTAGCCCATGGTACTTGTAGCCGACACTTTGCCTTTCCATGTTCAGGAAAACTCTGCCGGACCAGTGGCGCCGGGTGTGCCACGGGCGCTGCTTGAGCAACCGGCATGTACTTGACGTGTTTTTCTTCGAAGCGGGACACCGATCTTTGCTTCCGACCCGAGATGTGACAAAGGTTGCGCCCGCTCGAAAATCCTCCGCTGCCCAGGGGCTCCAGGACCGCAGCGGGAATTTGTTGTCGTGCCCTATGCAGCTAAGTGGCAGAGGTACTGGTCGGCTCGTCTGTGGTACCCTGGCATGGCTTCCAGAGCCAGTCGGAGTACAAGGTCGGAGCGTCGGGCCGGGCATGAGTCATGAGTTTCACCGAAGAAAGCTTGGGCATCAGAAAATCTTCACTGCAGGTTTGCAAAGTGTCGGAGGATGCCTTGCCCCTTGTGGCGAGTGCAGTCCTTGAGGCCTGCGCCGGGGAGCTCCTTCCAACGATCTTGTGGCGGTAGACCAGATCTGTTTATGAGAGACCAGTGCTCCTGCACACTGCACACAGGCCCAGGTGCTGTCCATTCCTGTGCAGGTCGATGCAGATGACTCTTTGCCGTTCCAAGCTCGGAGAAGGACGTCTGACTGATTGACACTTGGGCCGTCTGTTTCCAAGGTCAGGTACGCTCGCCCACTTGCACATGAAGTTGCATCTTCATCGTGCAGCACCATCCCCAGGAAAAGCAACGTCTTGCACGTGATCGGCTTCAGCTTCCTACTGCGCCATTTTAATGCGGCACTTTGACTCAATCTTCCATGCCACAGTTTTTTTCCCGGGGCGCCTTCCAAAACCAGTCTGTCAGACATATCACAAGAAACCCGGAGCTCTTGTTGAGGGATGTTCCGAACGTCTTGGGCGACACCCGGCAGAGATATGCAGAACTCATTTCGCTAGACTCGACGACCCCCTATAAAAAGTTTCAACTCAGGGGTTCAGACATGAAGCAAGTGTTCATTCAGGCAGATCACGCACTGCAAATGAACCGACTTTCCTAGATGGAGTTCGTCAGTGGTTGGATGGTCAGCTCTAGGCCGTCGCCGCATCCACGGAGTTTCCGGATTCCCGGGCACGGTCGAAAGTCTGTGTTTCATGTGCCGACACTTCCAGCAGCCCTTCACAAAACAATAGTTTGGTGCCGCGGGAAAGACCTAGCTTCACATACTGTGCTTCTCGCTGCAGCCAGCGACAAAAGGTCGAAGACCACCTTGTGCTGCAAGTAGACACGTAGTTCACCATGTAACCATGTAGTTTACATTTGTTCTTGCCACCTCATCTGTGGGGGGTCCTGCGAGGGTCAACCTCTTGAACAAGCTTGGTGCCAGGTGCTGTGGCAAGGCCCACGTCACGAAGACAAGGCACCAAGCTTGGTCTGCAAAACCTCCTGTTCCAAGCTCTGTGTCGTCAGGACACGGGCCTCGTGTGGAGTGCCGTTTCAGTGAAGTTTGCAGGTCCCAGCCACAGCTCCTGTTCCGAACGATAATTGGTTTTGTAAGTGGAGTATGCAAGGATGTTGTGGCCAACCCGACGCGACTGAACCAATGGATGACTGGCAGCAGCCGTCCTAGCATTAGGCGTTTGCAGCGCGCTGCCTCCCGAAATGAGACACAGATTAGGCATATCAGGCCCCAGCAAAAACCGTCATCTTTACAATTTCCTGTGTGATTCGCAAGGTCTTCAGAGTGGCGAGGCTGGCTCGCAGCCCGAGGCATCAAATGCTCGCGCTGGAGACAGAGCACTCTGGTCCTGTGATGATCAATCATAGTGCAGCTTCAGAAGTTTCTTCGGAAGCCTTGACGAATGCGTTTTGGTTTCGTGTTCGTAGTTCAGGACACTTTGACATGTGGCCGCTATCGCACGAAGGATTCGGCTCTGATTCGTCATCATCCGTGTCGTCATGGTTTTGCTTCATGTAGTGGGGGCTCTGGTCTTTATCCCTGCATTACCTTGCACGCTTCCCATGTGATTCAATTCTCCCGTATTTTTTTTGAGACCGGCAAGATCTACATCCGGCACGTGTAGCAAGGCAAAGATTCGTAAGGACATCGGGAGAACACTGTTATGCACGGAGGTTGTGGCATGGTGACCGATTCTACTCGCCTGAAGTGGTCCTGCGCAGGGTCAAGCTCGAAGGCAGAACTGAGGTTTTTTGCTTTCCCGAGCAGGGCTTGCGATTCACGGTGGCAGAGGCTCGTCCCGGCATCATTGGGCCGCCGACACTTGCTTGCCGCCTATGCCAGGCCGGGAGGGACCGTCAGGAACACACGAGTGCCTTATGCTTCATGTTCTTTGTAGTCTCAAGACCTACGGTTCTGGTCTGCTGGTTCGATGTTTTCCTTGTCGTGATCTGCCTCCTCCGCCTCCTTTACTGTTAACACAGCAGAGTCTACAACAAGCACAACATCAGCGAGAACACAACAACCACTGCAACTACTGCTGGTACCGCTACTGCCACAAACACCCGCCACGACCACTATCGCGACCGCGACCTCGGTCTCGCTGTTGTCTGTCGCTCCAGTTTGTCGCTCCACCATGTCGCCTTGCTGTCGCTGAGCGGTGTTGCTGACGCCTGTTGCAGCCCTAAGTAGTTATGACGGGTTCTGATGGTACAGAGGCCCCCTATTCTCCCGCTTATCACCCATGCCAAACAGATCAGTGCTTCGAGGTCATTGACTGCCCGACTGCCAGCAGCACTGCGCTAGTGTCAAACCAAGTCTCTCAGCATGAAGGGCCGTGTTCCCCACAGAAGCGGAATGCATTTCGATCGAGGTGGTTGGTCCCTACATTGACAAGGCTTTGTCGCTGCTGCTAGCTTAGATGTTTCATGATTTCGAATCTTGCTTGTGGGGCGGAGTGTGCTTTTGACACCTTCCAGGCTGGCAGCTGCCGCTGAAGGACTTCCTACTTGCGAGAATATTTTCCATTGTGAGCGTGATCCTGCGAGACCTCACAGGCAAGGCAATGCGCCTAATCGTCCTTTCTTCAGCCAGCCTTTTGGAGGTGCTTGTACTTCTGCTTTGTCTGCTTCCTTGCATCACAAGTCCGCGTGTGTTTTCGGACCAGATCGGGCAAAGCTTTGCGGCGGTGCGACGCTGGCTGCTGATGCAAGCAGAAGCGCAGGACTGTATCTGTGCCCCGAAAGTTGCAACAGCTACCCAGCACTGCACGGACTAGAACGATTGTTGCTCAGGCGAATGCGAGTTGTGCAGCATAACTAGCTGATGGCGGATGGAGTCTTCGGAATTGTAAGCTGATCTGTCCTTTGCCAAATTGCCAGGCTGGTAGCGTCATTGTCCTGGTTCGGCCTGTGAAGTGGTTTGTGCCTCTGAGCTTTTTGCGATGGCTTGACCGCAACCGTCGTATTTGTCGCATTCGTTGTTTTGGTCAGTGGTCGTGATGCCACGAGGTTCTTGCAACAAAGGCATGCCAGCGATGATTTCGCAGGCGCCACCCAGAACGAATCGAACGTGGTACATGTGCCTTCCTGGTTGGAAAGCATATGAGCAGGGTCTTTAGCCCTTGAGTAGCCTTTGTCCAAATCCTTCCTGCCGGAATGTGGCCTCGTCACGACTGCTTTGCGCCCATGTTGTGTTTGTCCGTGTCTGCTGGGCTAGGCTGTCTGGACCCGTAGAAGGACCAAGAACCGCTTGCAAAAGCATATAATCACCACATGCCGGATTCTGCCGGATGTTCCCTGTATTGTTCAGTGAGCTGTTGGGCATGCAGAAAGAAACTCCGAGACATTCACACAAAGCCCTGGCAAAGGCCGAAGCGACAGCCCCAACCCCAAGTACAAGTAAATGACACAGAACGGATGTTGCATGCACATTCAGGCCTCCTGCACCAGGTGGTCGAGCGATGTCGGGAGCTTGGGCTGAAGTTGTCTTTTCGGTGGCTTGGGCACCGTGACATTGCGGACACGTGCGTCAGCCGTCGGGCTTGGAGCCAACATGAGACAAGCTGTACAGTGTAATGTTTGATGTTTTTTGTACCTCGTTGTAGAAAACATCACACTGCACAGTAAGACCACGGATCTGCAGGCGACTGTTATTAAGACGCAAAATGCCAGGCAGCTCCCAGCAGTTCGAACCCCAAACACAGTACCCCTTCGAGCTTACAGTCGCGTGCTGCCCACAGCGACCGCCGAAGTGTTGTACGTTGTACGGCTTCTGCCGACATTGCTCGTGCGCAATGCCGACCGTGCCTGTGTGCAATTGAGCACAAGCTCTCCCCAGATGGCGGTGCTGAGCAACGCCGGAGCACACTGCGGCGTGAAGGAATGCTCTCGTCTAGATTTTCTTCCCTTCACTTGCAGCTGCTTGACCTGCAATAGCACAATTCACGGGCCTGCGCAGTCTCGAATGCGCAACACAAGGAACTCAAGGAACTCTCACAAACCCCAGCCTGAGGCCAGTGCCAGGGAGTGTTTTGCTTGGACCACTTCCGCTTTGAAGCTCATGCGTGCCGGCACCTTACTGTAGTGATTTCACTGTAAGGGTGCTGAAGCTAGCACCGTGATGTGCAGGTCCCAACGCCGCTGGCCTCGACAGCAGGGTGCCTCTCTTCCGAGCTCTGATCATCTCTGATCCCTGAAATTCAGAGCTGCTATCTCTTGAATCATCTCGACAGCGCTGGAAAGAGCCATGCAGGTGCTCGTCTGCCCCCTGTGCTGCCAGAGCATTCGCATGGAAGTGGGCGAGGATCCAAACCTGACATGGGAAAGTACCTCGGCGGTGTGAGACAGCAGAGAAGACACTGACATCACGAAGTCTAGATGCCCTGATGCATGTTTGAATAAGTATTGCATTGAAGGACACGTGCAGACCGGCTGCACCAACCCCTCAGGCAGTCAGACAAGAGCAAAGAAGGCCTGGCACAGTGGATGCGAGACATTTCCCTTCCTCCCGGCTGCTGCAGGCAAGGTGTCCGGTTGCCGGCTGTCGAGAGATTCTCTCCGCCAGCAACAGCGCGCCTTGGTGTCACAATGTGTCACTTGCGAGGGCATACATAAGTTACATAAGCATACAGCATCTGCCTGTCGATTTTGCTGCCAGGTTGTGTGCAGACGCTGCCACCAGAAGGTTTGTTTGAAGCACCGCTTTGAGGAGGACGTCGCAGTACATGGATGTGGCAATAAAGTGCATGCAGACCAGCGTCGGCAAAGGAGCACGCGTGTTCCGGCTCGGCGGCATCCAAGCCAATACCGACGGCTTCGAAGCCACCACCGGCACCGGCTGGCTGGCAGTGCGGTCGATGTACACTGGTGAACCCTGCGAGTCGCTTGAACAAAGATGAGAATGAGAGGGTCTTTGACGAGCTGATGAGGTGGCACGTGCAGCAGCAGAGCTTTTGGCGTTGCTCAGGTGCCACGGAGTGCGCCGCCTGCGGAGCGTGCCGTGGAAGCAAAGCTGATGGGACCACAAGGACAAAATCATGCAAACTCAGGATTTCATGTGTCATGTTTCCTTCGCAAAGGTCGCCTACTCGCAGCGTGCCTTCAACAGCGGGAGGAGCAGGGTGGAGATGCAGTCGTTGGAGGCCTAGTTGACAGTAGGTGCTCTGAGATAATGCAACAGTTTTTGGCAGAGCAACCGAGTGCGCTCTGGCGCAAGAATTGCAACGGACAGCTCGCATGCCGCCTTAACGGGAGCAATTGAGCGACGAACACCCATTATCGGCTTAGGCCAAGTTTTGTCTTTGGATTCTCAGATGCTTCGCTACAATTCTCAGAATTCTACGGAAGATTCCGGGACCTCTGCCAGGTCTGCCTTCAGGATAGTGGGGCCAGCGACAAGGGTGGAGTTGATGCCTGTTGATGCTCATCTTCTTCCGGCACTTACGATGTGCACCGCCACCACACACCCTCAGCGGGACAAAGCCGACGGTGCATCGGCTAGGGTGCTCTATAGCAGGTAGAGGGCGCGCACAGGTTATGTGAAGTGGGTTTTGCGCGGTGCGATCTCGCCAGCAGACTGCAGTTGTTGCCGGGACGCCGGCAGCGCTAAACAAAATATTCTATGCGGCCTTTTCAACTGTGTTGTAGGCTTCAAACAACTAGAGGTGACCTGGCGTGAGGCCATAAACGACTCTCCAGATGCTCACAGTTTCGCAGTTGGTCAGGTTTTAAGGCGCAGCAGGAAGTGTTCAGAGTCCAGCTCAAAAAAACGGGTCCGTAGACAGTTGAAGCAATCCCGAGGATGCACGTTGGACAACGCAAGCGCCGCCGCTACCTGCGAAGCCTGTGGAGCAAGCCGCCCTGCCGCGCTGGGTCGTGGCCAACTCACGGCGTCCGACTCCACCAAGGCAGAGCGATGGTAAGATCAAGTTGATGATAAGATCATCTTGTCAAGCATGTGCTGAAGCATTCGCACGACCCAAAATGACGGCAGGCCTGCAGGCTTCGGCCTCAGCGGCAACTCCTGATTTCTTTCCATAGCCTCCTGCCGAGCCTGTCGCGCCTTTACATTCCTTCAGACTACAACGGCAAAACATCTGCCCGAATTCAAGCAATGCAGTTCTGACAAGCGACAGGGCGCAAAGTCCAGGAATCATGAAGCACCCACTGCCCTCAGCTGTGTGTCCTCAAGAGTCTGGCAAGCAACGCCTGCTGGAAGTGCACGAGACTGGTGACAGTTTACTTCGTGGCAAGTACATTAACATAAACCTTTTGTTCCGAATCCGCTGAAGAGCCAAGGATTGCTTGACAAATCCTGCCGGCAGGCGGATGTGCGTACGCGCCGACGAGCAGACGCTTCTAGTGGAGTTTCCAGACCCGCAAAGCGGGGAAGGCGCCGCTAGAAAGAGTTGGCTGCTATTGTGCCCACGGTCATTCCCAGACATAGGCATTAGGTTATGATTTTGTTTTCGTACGCCTGGTCGGAAGGGAGATACTAGTGAGTGTCGGCGGGGCAACTCGCATGTTTGCACAGCTAGCTATTCCGCATTTTGGATCCCTCGATATGTTCCATGCTGGCGATAGTGATGGATGTGATGGCTCCGAGGCAAGTGGATGCAATCCACTTGTGAGTTTCGACGAGGCCGGCTTCTGCGGCTGACTAGATGGGCAGCGAAAGCCGTGAAAGCTTCCTTACAGGACAGGGAATAGTCTTCTTATCGCTTCTCGCGGCGTCGCCCCCAAGCGCATGGCAGAAGGCATCGGACTAAGTGCTGCAAAAGATCTTGCGCTTCTGTGATGCTGCTCATCTCCAATCCTCTGCCACTCCACTTATTTCAGGTCTTCAGTGACGTGATGCACTTGGAGCAAGAGTTGGCGGGTGCCGCATGCTCGGTTGTCAACGAACATGCCGAAGCAGGCAGATTATGGCAAGGCACAGTGCTTCTCAGGTCCGTGACGACAGTAACCAAAGATCGCCAACGTGACTGGCTGCATGTACATAAATGTGTTCAATCCGTGGTTTGGACACTTGCCATGCCGCCAGCGCCAAGCACGCAACGAATTGCTCAAGGCCTGGACGTGTCGGCACGGAAGCTGACGGCGATCCCCAACAGATCGTGTCTGCCTTCCTGTCTTCACTCACAGTGTTGGGCTCGGTGGAGTTCGCTGTATTTCTGTGGCTATGAGTTGTCCTGCGGGCAGGTGTTGCGACCTGGCATATTGGTGCCTGCTGAAGTCAAGGCAGGCACTCTGGCACTTCACGGCCATGCCAATGACGTCCAACATCGAAACAACACCTGCGCAGAGAACATGGAGCCTTGTCCATTATCCGTACAGACAATTCCAACCACAGGACTGGCTAACGGACGCTGTGAAAGAGTGCAACAGCACTGCAGCAGGCCCACTTCTAGCATCAGAGCTTTCATCAAAGTTCATCTTATTTCCGCTCAGCATTTCGAGGCCAACTGCCGTCTTGTGTAGCACTCGTTGGTCGCGACCCAAGGCTCCTCCTGATAAAGGAGTTTCACGGGACAAGTTGTTTACACACTTGGCCTCCGAGGTCCTCCAGGCTGTGGCAAGACATCCATGCTGCAGTGCCTGAAGCACCTGCCGTTTCAAGCCATGTCCTTGGGATGAGAGAAACCACCAGCTGTCTGCATTCAGGGTTAGGTGCTTGTTTGAGGTGTTGCCGATGTCCATTCCACAGCTGATCAATTCTGGCATAGGCGACACACAGTTGGCTGTGCGAAGGCACGAAGGTCAGGTTCTGACGACTGAGATCCAGTGCTCTGGCTTTTGAGAGGCTCTTCGAATCGGCACAGCTGCAGCCTTCCTGCGTCACCTTGGCTGAGTCCTCATCGTTTCAGGTTTTCTTCCGGATGCTTGCAAGCAGCACATGGTGCTGCATCTATCGGTCGTTGCCAAGGATGATGCAGACGATCTGTTCTTGCAGGCACCGCGCAACAGTGAAGTCCGACGAAGCTCGCTTCAGCTCCCGTGCGAGAGGCCTCGTTTGACAGCTGTAACCACGGTGTCTCTGATCTCCTCGTCGAGCTTGTCCATATGCCCCGGGCTGACCTGATGGCCTGATCGATGTGAAGCGATGTAGGGGAAGCCTGGAAGCATGCCAGGCTGGACACATGCTGCTCACGAAGACTGCTTTTCATTCTTACGCCCCATGCCAGTGATTTGAGCCGTGTTTTCCTCGCCCGCACTGGTTGGGGATGTTTTCGGGGATTGCCGCAAGCCTTCAGCATTGGAGGTGCTCGACGCAACGGATCCCTCCTTCCCTGGCATGCCGTCGGAACCCTGATTTCACTTTTCGTCCAATTCCAGCCAGGCTTTCAGTCTGTGTGACGAGGCTTGCATTTCTTCAGCCTGAACGCCTGAATGAAAGTGGACAGTCTGGGTCCTTGGAGTGAGAGAGTTTCGCGTTCTGCGCCGGCCGAGCGGGTCTCAGATCTTGCGCCGGACTGAACAAAGATTGCAGTGTGATATTGCAGTGCCGTAAGCCGTAAGCCTGCACAGTCCCGGGTCGCCCGCCCCTCGTTTGCAGTGCTTTGCTCTCAAGATTCCAATGACTTGACCATGGGCTTCCCGTTGCTTACATCGTGATGGCTTCGCATCTCTGGCAAAGAAAAATCCTCCCAGAAAGTGAGAGCGGACAGACGGCAGAGTTCGCTGCTTCCAAAGCTTCCAGACAGGGGCCCCTGGAAAGCCGAGCTCCTCCGGCTCTTCTGGGCAAGCACCTCAAAGCAGATGATTTGGAAATCTGCGACAAGTGTGACGATGAAGACGATCCACTCGATTCGTTTGGCTTGCCTTACATCCGTCCATCGCATCGCATTAGCGAAGCACAGCGCCAGCCTCAGTCAAGATGTATTCAGATTCTTGAGGGCTTTGCGAACAGTCTAGTTTGAGCTCGTCTTGAGCTCGTCGGCATTCTCAGGTTCCTGGCAAGAGGTCAGTTCCCATCTGCGGCACAGCAGATTCTGCATGATCTGCGGCATGGAGCCGACTGCAGGAGACGGGCAAGTGCTCCTGCAATCACTGCATTCGCTTCCGAATTCACCGGGCCGGCTGGGCCGGCCCAATCCCGCAAAAGAGCCACTGTCTGCGCGCACCACCTGGTGGAGATCGAGCATCCCTTTGCGGCAAATCGCCGAGAGGAGACGCTGGGCCTTGGCCCTTTTCCTATCTTCCCACTGCCGGAGACACCTCAAAACGCAGGTGAGGAATGCAAGTCCAAGGAGGTCCAAAGCGAAAGAAGCTTGGCCAGCAAGGCCTTGGCAAAGCAATCCTCAAGGATATCGGTGGCCACATCGAGCATGCGATGGAGGCAACCGGAAAGTGCTCCAGTCTGCAGGTGAGGGTGAGACTTAGGCTTGCGCGCCGTGGGCTCTGTTTTTCCTTGTACTCAGGCCTGACGATTTGCGCCGGTAGTTGGCTCGCACGTTGACTGAGGCACCCTGATAATCGTGGATTGGGACGACACCATTTTTCCTACAAGCTGGTTACAACACAAGGACGCTCGAACAGCAGCCGTAGTCAGTAGTCATGTCTGCACATGTCCAGATGCCATTGACACTCTGTGCCCGAACTGTTCGTGTTGCATGCATTTGTAGAGAACGGAAGAGAATGCAGTTGTCCGATCCACGTCATAGCTTCTGAGGGTTGGTTCGCACAGTGGCTTACTTCTGGAAAGCTCGGCACCTTCATGGAACGAGACGAGCTGGCTATCCCAACGAATGATTGCGCTTTGATGGATGAGCTAGACACAGTCATGGAAGCCTTCCTCCAGTCCGCCTGTGCACTCGGACAAGTTAGTGCCACGCTCGGAACGATCAGTGATCATCAGAGTATGTCTTCAGGCCAATCTTGCTCGCACAGTCTTGCGAGGGTCGTGTGAATCGATGCCTAAGGCTGTGTAACTTTGGCCCGAAGGCCGTGGCAAGAGAGAACTATGAAGGCTTTCCTGCCAAAGTTGCGCAGAGCCCAGTCAAGACTTTGGTGCCTTCGGTCAGTGACTGTGCAGACAGACACTTGTGGATTGTTGTGGCTCAGCAGAGTTCGGGGGCAAAGGGAATCCCTCTTCATAGTCGAACAGAGGTCAGATGCGTGGGACAAGCACTGCGTTGTCGTGCGATACGCACGTGAAGAGAAGCTTCTTGGATTAAAAAGCACGTTGTGCCCTGGAAACCTTCATCTCATCCGGTTCAGCCGACGGCTTCCCAAACTCGGTGTTTTGGATGGCTGCGCAAGGGAAATCATTCCCTATATTGACACTGCGGAGGTTCGGAGGCTTCAATCTGAAACTCGCTAACCTTGCAAGGCTACAGCCAAATACTTCGTCTGATTACTACCCGAAGCACAAGTGTTCAGCTTCACCTTCGCCAGCGATTAAGACGATAACTTCAGAATGCATGTTTCTCTTGTCGAACGCTGCAGACAGTTATCAAGTTCTAAACTACTCAGATTCGTTCGTGAAGCAGACCAACCTCGCCCGACAGCTGTCGGTACAAATCCGTAAAACAAGGGTTGATTAATCATTACAAGGCTGAAATCATGTTTGTTTGATCGGCTGCAAGCTGAATTTCTAGGTGCTTCGACAGGCTTCGTGTACGCTGACTCAGCTGATGTTCTCGGGCTGTGGGTTCGAGGTCGGTCCATGCAGACGGGTTCACTCCATTGGACAAGCAAGACTATGAGATGGTGCGACAAGTGACCTTTGCCAAGAAAAAGCAGAAGGCGAGGCGGCGCGGATGTGATTGGCAGCTTCGAGTTTCCTCCAGCGTACTTCGCAGAGTCTTCGCTGACTTCTTTTCTCGAGGCCATGGAACGGTTGCTGAAAAAGTTCTACAAGAAAGGCCCAGCAAAAGCGGCATCAAATATCTCTTGATCGCATTGCCCGTGTTTACAGTACCTCACTGTACCTCCCACTGAGCCATTCGTGAGAGGAAGCTGGAAGAACGTGATAAGCCTCGGCGACGGGCCAGCAGAGCGCCAGGCTCTCCAGGAGCTGCTTGGAAGCAAAGAGCGCAGCTCAAAGCGGCTCTCTCTGGGAAGAGTGCCGAAGCGACTCGCCTGAGGATCGGATTCCGCCACATGAACCCAGCAAGTCCCAGAACGGGAGAGCAGAAGTCCTTCAGAACGAAGTCTGCTTGAGACTCGGGGCTTCTGGAGTTTGCTCCTGTGGAGCTACGCCCATGAGTTGATGCAAAGGTCAAGATGCTGGAGGCCAACGGGCGCCTTGTAGCACGGGTTCGTCAGGGTGGGGATGAGCAGACACGGCACTGAGTTGAGGGTGGGGTGGATGGTGGATCGCTTGGCAGAGTCGGCGAGACATGCCCGCCCTGCGCTTGCAGGAGCCCGCTTGCTCTGAGCTCATCGCGGAGCTTCAGATGGTGCAAGCCTGGCTGCCTGCGTTGGCATCTTTGGATGAGGACGTTGACATAGATCTTGCTGAAGGACGGGTTCTTGGCAGTGTCGGAACAGTACCGCAGTCCGAGCTGCGCAGGTGAGGAAGCACTTCTGGACATCCATCAGCAACTAATGGATGTTGTTGTGGGCTTAGCTTACTGCACGGCCAGACCGGGGATTGGCAGCACGGTACCTCCAGCAGCAAATTCTCTGCGAAGGTTGAAAGCGGCTCCAGATCAACAAGTCCAGACAGTTCTGCCAGGACTTCGGCCAAGTTCTAAACGCATGCTGTTCCACAATAACAGCTTAAAATTTGCCGCTGAACGCTATCAGTGCAAGTGGCGAGTCAACCTGCTGCCAGTTGATCGCGGTGCGCTTCTATCACTCAGTGAAGAGGAAAAGACACCATTTGCACAGTTGAAGTTGCCCTCGTGGTTTCTCTTTGACCTATTGAATTGCCAATTGCATGTTCTGCTGGCTTTGAATGCCTCGCAGACCAGTAGGTTGGGGTGTTCTTCATAGTCTGCACCCTTGCAACTGTTTAACTTTCTCCGCCAGCAGCGGAGCGGCCTTCAAACGAAGAGGGACTTTTCCAGCGTGTGAATTCGAAGAAGGAGAATCGCCGCCCGATTTTATTCTCCTGCAGGACCAGTGGGATGTCCAGGCACCGACAATGCAACGGAAAGTGCAGGGCAGAAACACCGCAAAGTTAGCAAAGGCTTGTAGCTTCCGACAGAGTCTAATGGAGCTTTTCTAGGTGCTTGGTGCTGATGCTCCTAACCGAGGACAAGGGGTCGATTCTGCGCATACGTCTCTCCAACACCAGCAAGAATTAGATCCCAGGGACCAAGCGAACCTGAAAAGGTGCGTTGAACCCCGAAGCTGAACCTGGAACGTTACGGCTCAGCAGCAAGCTGAGTAGCATTTCTACTACACCATGTCCTTTCCAGCACGCTCCAAAGCGAAAGGGTTTGTTTTGTTCTCTCAGTCGTAGCTTCCGCCTTGCCTCGACCTGCAGCATTCTGCTTATAAGAGCTATGCAAGCAGCAGACGCTTCATTCGCACATGGGGTTTGCATTTCAAGCTGAGGGCATGTGCAAGATGAGGAAATATTTGACAGTTTGTCATGCTAATTCCTTACTGACCCAGGCTGCAGCAGCATCACTCAAAGACTAGCCAGAGAGTGTGCATTCTTTGCCGTTTTTTGTGTGGAATGAGTCGGAGTAGCGAGCCACATGAAGTATGCACAGTTTGTGATGGGACCGGCCGGCTGTGGCAAGTGCTGGCCTCAATCGGATTTCTGCACTAGTAGGCTGTGCATCTCTCTGCTGTCATCGGGTTCATAGGCCAATTTATTTTCATTCCATTCGCGAGGTCCACATACTGCGCAATCGTTCAGGAGCCGGAAAGTTGCTGACTTTGCCCTACCACAGCCAAGCAGATGTGCAATGCCGCATCCTGTCTTGTGGAGCTCGACAGCACCAGGAGCACTTCAAAGTTGCATTGAAACGAACTTGCAGGCCCGTCCAGGGCCATGTGTTCTGCACTTCAGACGCCTTCTGCTGCCAAGGGTGGTGAACTTAGACCCGGCAGCAGAAAACTTCGCTTACGACTGCTATGTTGACGTGCGCCCCAGGCATGCCAGGCAGATCGTGCAACAGATGCTACGCTGTTCCGAAACACGCAGTCAGGTAGTCTTTGTGGCAGGTACGTGATTTGATTTCAGTGGATGACGTGATGGAGGTGCTTCGGCTGTCTGAAGAGCTACCAAACGGCCAATTCACGGGACGTGGGGTTTGCGTCTCGTCGCGTTTCTCAGCGGGAGTGGAAGGAGCTTGACTACGGACCCAATGGCGGGCTTGTCTATGCCATGGAGTACCTGTCGGAGAACATGTCTTGGCTGGAGGCTTCCTGGGCCTCCATGAAATCTGGCAGACTGGTGTAACACTACCTGCTCAGGAGCAGGTGAGCGATGCGTTAGATGATGACTACTACATCTTCGACTGTCCGGGGCTGCAGTCTCAGGGCAGCGAATCTTTTGCTGGTTGAAGAGCCGGCTCGTTCTGCTAGCAAAGAACTTAGACTTAGGATCTCATGCATGTGGGAGTCTACCCTTAAGTACCCTTGCATGTTTTGCGGACTGATGACTTTTGCTGTCCTGAGTCCTGAGGCAGATCGAGCTCTACTCGCACTTGTCGGTGATGCGGGAGGTCGTGGACATGTTGCAGAACGAGGCCGGCCGGGGGCGGGACGTGGGGCGGGTCGCAGTCGCGAGCCGCAGGACTTCCGAGTCGCCGGAGTTTACTGCATCGACGTCAATTTCATTGAGGATGCGCTTGGGAGTCTTGTGGCGAGCATCGCAGTGGCATGATGGTCCACGGCCGGCTAGACCAGTCCCGCCCCGAGGACGGAGCAAAGTTTCTATCGGGAGTCTCAGCCTTTCCGCGTGACGATGGCTTTGTGCTGTCTTTTGCTGACCTAACAGTGCATGTTTGCCCCTCCAAGGCTTTGACGGCATTAACTGCGATGATCAACCTGGAGTTGCCATGTGCACAGCGAGCGAGCTGTGATTGTACCACACAGACAGCTCCCACCAACTTCAAATGGACTAAATCGTAAAGTTTTGGGCAATTTCTGAGTCTGCGTGGATGCTTGGATGCGTGAAGATGCTGGAATGGCGCTGCCCAGGCCCCACATCAATGTGCTGACGAAGTGCGACCTGCTTCCGGAAGGGGCACACCTTCCTATTGCAGACGCGGTGTCATCGTCTTCGGCTCTTGAGGGAAGCGTCACTGCACCCAATAACTAGAGCAGAGAGCAGCACGCAGTAGCTGCGATCAGCAATGCACACGCCATATGCCAGGCGGATGTGGAACGCTACATCGAAGGCGACTCGGAGGTGGGAAACCCTCCTGCATGGCCAAGCAGGCGGTCGCAACCTCCGCCGATGTTTTTCTCAGTGTTGAGGCCATTTTGTCAGAGCTCCGTGGGTCCATGCATCCCAGGCCAGGTGTGGCAACTGCTTTTGTCGGTGTGTTTCATTCAGTATCGAGGTATCGGAAGCTCAACGAAGCCCTCGGGCAGGTGCTGGAAGAGTACTCTTTGGTGTCTCGGCAGCTCGTGTTGCGTTTCGTGCCTGGTTACTGGTTCCTTGTTCTTGCTGAGGTGAGCTTCGTCGCGCTCAATCGTGACGACGAGGCTTGGGCTCCCATGTCATCTTCGTGCAGACGTTCTTCCGAGCGCATGTGTTGACAAGCAACTCCGGTCAGGATTCGATCGAGCTGTGCCTTGCACACATCAATCATTGCACCTCGGCTTTAGCTCTTGTGACTTTTGGTACGTGCTTGCGGCTTGCAGGTCTCAGAAGCTTGGGTTTCAGGATCCAGGCTTCCTTTTTCGCTAGCGGACGTTTCTGGATCGAGGTATCCAGTACGGAGAGAACCTGGAACCAGAAGGCAGTCGAGCAGCAGATAGCAGCAGTGTTGCTCGTTGAATTCGAAGATACTGTGGCTCAACAGCTGAGTGTGACGTGACGTCTTTGCAGGTTGATAGCTTTCCTCTCATCTTCACTGCGATCCGGTATTGCTTTTTGCTGCAGGTGCCTTCGACATGCCTGATGACGACATGGGCTACGATGAATGAAAATCGGTGCGAGTGGTGCGAGACGATCGGAAGATGCAAGTCTACTTGGATAGCAATCGGGGTTAGCCGTTCTCCATGCTGGGCTGATTTTGGCTTCAGCAAATTAGATGAGTTGCACGAACTCGACATCTGGAAGCTTTTGCGACATCTCGAGCCAAACAGCCCGCCCAGGACGAGACCTCAAGCCATGGCTAGCCAGCAGCAAGGAGGTCAGCTTCAGTTTCACACGATTCGGTTCGATGCTAAACTTTTGGAAAGCACGTGACTTCAGCACAAGGGTTTCTGCCTCTGACTCTCCTTCCAATGATCTCCCTGCCATGTCGCGGGATATCGTCAGCAATGAGCATGCGACTTGTGCCGGTGCCCTTGGCCTCGTCGAAGACGAGCCAGCTCCTAGTCTACAACAAGATTTCCACATTTAATCTGAGCCTTACAGAGTCGGAGTGCGCTGTTACCAGGTGCTGCATCTTCGTGTGCGATCAGCACATCCCGGTCAGCGCGATGCAGACTGTGACTCGCCGACAGAGCTCTTTACTGAATGAGCCGTAGCTTGGACGCACGCTTGTAGTGACGGTTCGTTCAGGCATCAACCTCCTTGTGAGAGCCCCAGTTGCCTGGTTCTTCTCGGCGCCTGGACCGCTGCCAATGCACCAGCTTGATCTAAGGTCATGCCATTCAACACTTGCAATATGATAAAAGCGCGCCTGAAGGCCTGGTAGCCATTGATTGGAGCAAATCTGACTCAGTGCATGATGTCATGACTCTGCCAGGAACAACGCCGTGGCCTAAAAGCTTGTTCCTGAGATCTCCTGCTGTTGCGCATGCCAGTCTTTGATCTTTGACAAGACTTCCTTGTAAGGCTGTGCGCGACAACGATATTAGGACCGCCGTCATGTTGCTTTTGCAGTGATGAGAGCACGATATTGAGTTCGCAGTGCCAGGCTACTGCACAAGGGCATCGAGCTTCGCGGGGGTTATCCCCTGGATTACTATCTTCACAGTGCGAATGCAGAAAGGTGCCTTCGGAAGTTGATGCCATGGTTTTGTCGCGACATGACACCCATGCGACAGTCCGGCTGAGCTCCAATACCTCATCATCAATCACGGGGCAGAGAGGAGCAAGACGGCACGGGCCCCGATGCTACCCACAACAACTGCTGCATGCTTGCAATCCGTAGTGGCAGATTTGCACGTGTATGCAACTTCCCTGCCTGCCCTGCCTGCATCAAGGCACAGGACACTGGCATGTACACTGCCCATCAAGTCCCCACCCCACAGACGCTGCAGGACTTGGCCGCGCTCTTACGAAATTTGCACGCACGTGTACACATGCCGAGCAGAACAGTCGCTCATGGTTCTGTCCACTGGAAGGTGGAAGAAATCTCAGATGCATTGTTTGGCGGAATTAAGCCTTCACTCACGGACGATGGAACGGGCGCGACGTGCAACTGGCATGTTTTAGAAAACACTTCTCAAGCACCTTGGAAGCAACGTCAGATGTCCCAACTTCTCAAGGTACATGCTTCGCGGCCCCTCGTCTCCGAAACCTCTGGCTGTGCCGACCGCTTAAAAGTTGCGAAGCTGGTATGGCCGTAAGATCATGCCTAGAGTCTACAAATGGTCGACTCCTTTTGCTTGGTTGTGGCGTTTAGCAGTTTCCTTTGTTGCTGCAGGTTCAAGCCCAAAGACGAGGAAGCGTTTGCCCCCAACAATCCACGGGGCTATCAGGGAAAGGACCTCAGAAGTTCTGCTGGTGCATGCCCATGGCAAACTGCGCGGGTTTCATGGGCAGGAGAACTCAGTTGGCCTGCGACCTGGCATCCTCTCGACGCAGCAAGCCGCGCGCGAGGTGCTTGCTATCCCATTCCCACTGCCTTTCCAAGATCGGGCTTTAGACATGACGGCAAAGACAATAGGGAGCAGATGTGTATACGCGACTTCTGAGCATGCTGTCGTGGTTTATCATTTCGTGAGCTTGAAAGACTTGCCCGCAGGTTGCAGCTTATCTGCTAGACCACAAAAACTACGCGGGAGTGCCTCCCACTACTTTGGTGCGCCATGCAGCCGAACTGCGCATCTCTCGTGTCAGCGTCTCACATGCATGAAGACTGTGAGGTACATGCCAAGCATGAGAAGTTCGTCAATCCTGACAAAAGCAAGGCCGGGGTCCTGACGCTGTCGTTGAAGCTAGCTTCCCCTACGAAAACGAAGATTTCCTTGGCGCTTAAAGTTCTGAAGCCTCAACAAGAATGAACGCTTGTCGTGAAACAAAGACTCCTGGAAAATTCCATCAGGGGCTGGCCCGATTTTCGATTGGACTCTGGCAGATTATGTTGCATGCAGCTCTCGATGCTCTCCGCCGTCTTCTTCTCTGGGCGGTTGTAGGGCCTGCTCTGCTGTGGGCAAAGAAATTATAGCTTGCTGGAGAGAGTTGTAATATAGAAACCAAGCCGACTCAACGGATGGAGCCAGCCGTATGTCTCAAGGGGACGTTCAAGATGCTTAAAGGATGGTTGAATCGTTTCATCGTCAGCACCTCCTGGTCGCATTTCCCATTAGGGCTCTTGCACACACCAGTATGCGGGGGTCACAGGCGGAAGTGTTGAATTGACAGTGCCGCCTCCAAGCCGTTCTGGTGGCTAGAAAGGTAGGGCTTTGAGCCGCGGCATGCAGGCCAGATCTGCAAGACCAACGTTGGAATTTAACTTTGCTTATTAAGTCGCTGAGTCCCTCGTGAAGTCAAGCCCAAAATCAGAGCCAAGCGAATTCAAATAGCAAGGTCCAAGACTATCGAAGCCCTAAGCCATCGTAACCCCCCATGTACTCAACTCCGATGCTTGACATCGGTCCGGGCAGTGCTGCGCACGAAGAGATGTTGCGACCTGTATTTGCAGACATTGCATCTTTTGACGTTGTGATCCGCTTGGAGGTTGAATGGAAAGTTGGAGCGTTCCAAGAATTTGTGAATTCATGTGGCACCTCTGGCGACTTCGGGATGTCAGTGGGACGCTCACCTTCTGGAGTCTCAGTCCGCATGGATTTCCAAATGCACCGAGGTCTTTAGCGTTTCATCTGTGCATAGAATTGGTATTCTGGATGCCGTGGACTCAGACCTCTGCATGCAGCATGAGTGTTAATTGCTAAATGCCAGCAGGAGCTAGGTTTGGGGGAGCTTCGGGCCTCTGGGGAGGATGCCACATGTAGGAGAGAAGCCGAATGCTCCTGATGCTTATGATGCTGGCTCTTAGTGCGTGAGGTTGTGACATGGTTCGATGCTTTGAGGTCCGGATCATTAATTTGGACAGAAACGACGGTAACCTGTTGGTTACCGACAGCAAGAGGCCCTTTCCGTGTGATCTCAAAAAGGGAAGACAGTGAAGCGGCTGAAGCGCTTGAGCTTTGCCAGGCCGAAGCTCATACCCATTGATCATGGCCTCAGTCTGCCCGACAGACTGGAGGCCTCATGTGCCTCCACGCGTCGGTGTGTCGTTTGACAGCGAAGTGTCGGAGGTGTATACATCCGATGTGGTCTGGATGGACTGGCCGCAGGAAGGGACCTTTTGCTGTCGGAGAGTGGGCGTAGGTCTCGCGCGGGCGGCCAGGCGAAGAAGCCGTTTGCTCAAGCCGAGCTGGACTACATTAGGCGTCCAGTTCTGACAAGATCTCAATCGTATCTTCGGTGAATGGCTTTACCGCCGAACAGGTCCCTGGAAGCGGAGAAAGACGCCAAAAATATCGAGATGCAGCTTGGAATTCGCCGGAAGCCCTGCGAGTGCATTGAGCATGACTGTATGCCTAGATCTAGTTATCTGAGCTGTTCTGTGCGTTCGGAGGCCGAGAATGCCTGCGCCTGCTGGAAGTGCCATGGGCTCAGACCTGCATTGCAGCGGCACAGACACATGATAGTAACTTCAACTAAAACGGCTCCGTCCTTCGGATGGGTTCACATGCCTGGGCTCCACCGAGGACGACGAAGTTGCTCAAATTCGGCGCAGAGCGTGGACTTACACTTCACCAAATAGGTCGGAAGTAGACTCCAAATTCGAAACTACAGTGAACAGCACGCCCGAAAGGCCAGATTCTTTACAGAGAAGATCCGGATGATGGTGATGGCACCCACAAACCCAGCCTTTCGGTAGCATTTTAAGCTTGTTGCGGCCGGCAGTCTCCACCTAGAGAAGAACCGAGGTGTGCTGGAGGGGATTATCTCCAGATGTGCGCTTCTCGGAATGATTTCTCGCTTCCGGAGATGCAATTGAAAGAAGCTTTGGGAGGCGTCGAGTCTGCGCTTGCGGTCATGGGCCAATCTTCCGGCACAGTGCGCCGAGCTGGAAATTCCATATAGCCGTAGCTTGCTTCATTTTGCTTTTGCTTGCTTTGGGAGGCTTCCTCGACGGTGGAGAGCCTTGACCTGTTGTCGTCCTTCCGGCCGGAAGCGCGGGGTTTACGCCGAACCCCCGAGCTGCGAAAGGGACAAAACACAGATATGTGTTCGTCTACAGAGAAGGTCGGCAAGTTTCTGGCGGTGGTGGACAGGATCATCGGCTGCCACCTCAATTCTGTTTTGATGGTAGACCTTGGATTTGGAGTGCTCCCGCTCATGCATTTGGTCAGTCCATCCCCGCTACCGTCGCCGAATATCGGGCCAGGTCTGGTCCTTTCAAGGGTTTTGTTGCTTCCGCAAGGAGATGTTATCAAGACGATGGCAGAGGGAAGCTGAGTCGTTTGCTTTGTTGGAGGCCGGCCGCCCACGGAGGGTATTTTCTCTGCACTGGAAAGCGGTGAGTCTGACTCGTCGGCATCTTGGAAGCGCTTTCGGTTGTTTCGCCCTCGATTTCTGCTCGGATGAAGGTTTGAATTGTCCAGAGCAGCCAGTCCCGATGGAAACGGTCCGAGAGCCAGCAGTGTTTTCCGGATCCACAGAGTGAGAGCTTCGCAGTACCCGCAGGGATATCCATGCAGCTTGATGGACGTCCAATGAGCTCAGGTGGCGCATCTCAAGTTACAGCAAATTGAGAAGCAAGATGATACAACACCACCAAGGTGAACAATCTGGAAATGAACAGATTCCGACCTTCGACATCGAGCCCAAGGCAGCTCCCTGAGCATATTGAGACGAGCTGCTTTGGCATTGTTTTGGAAAGCATCCCTGCGTGTTGTGAGTCGTCCTAAGAGTAGGCAAACGGCTTCACTCCCTTTTAGTCCAGTTGGTTTTGCTTCCATCCAAGTGCTGCTGGCAATTCGTGAGGAGGACAGCCAGGACGAGCTGGCAGAAGCACGGAGGAGAAGGTGCTGCACAATGGACAACTGCAAGACTTGGGGATGCTTCTCGAATGCTGCCAGGCGCGGCACAGCCGGCAGATACAGGTGTCTTTGATGCGCAAAGAAGGCCTGCTCCCTTCGGACCTTCCTCTTTGCGCCGATTTCAGGCACCATCTTTCCGTCCGGCCTTCTGCAGCCCGCGTTGCAGCTAAGGAGGGTTCAGGCCTCCTGCGCATCTCGCCCGCCCGCCTGAAGCTTGCAATTACCTGCATGCAGCTTTCTTCAGGCAGCGATGCATCAAGTGGAATCTTCGCAATACCCGGCCGGGGTGGTCAACACCTCATCTTGCGCAGAGTGGATGGTTCTCGAATATTGTCCGCAACTACTACTTGAGGCTTCCAGTGGGGGACAAAGCTCGAGAAGGCGGGGACTGTGTTGGCACTTATGGGACCGTGCTTTAGTGGCCAGTGGTGACAATTCACTCATTGCAAGGCTTTCTCCCGCCATGTGACAGTCGAACTCTGCCGCTACATTGACAAGCATTTTCCTGCAGTGACAGCCTTAGACCACAGACGTCCACCGAACGATCCTCCAAGCCCTGCTCATCGCCTGCAGGCAGAAGCAGTAACAGCGAGAACTGCCGACGAGGCCCCGTGAGCTGAGTGCAGAGCCTGATGCACAAAAAGGCTGTAGGACCCACAGATCAGGTAACCTTCGCCAATAAGATAAACCTTAAGAGATCTGTTCTTCTGTGTTCAAAATGGTTGACGCTCGCAAAAGATTTCATGGTCAGCGCAAGCGGGGAAGTTTGAGGAGCCACACTCCGCTCCCACAATTCGCTCCCTCCTTTGCGGTACAGGCTCAACATGATCAAACGTCCGACGGAACTTTTTTCGCAGCTTTTGAAAGAAGCCTTTGAGAACAGGTTCCCTTCCACATCCGACGGTCCGATTCGCAACAAAGTCGCAACCTCCAAGAGCAAAAGCTCCTTTCCTGTGCAGGAGAAGCAGTGTTAGGAGATGAAGCAGCAATGCCCACTGTGCTTTGCAGCTGTCCTCTTTCGAATCAAACCTAAGAAAACAGATTTACTAATATATCATTATTCACGATATAGTCTCTAATAAAACGATGTGGTGCTGGTTGCGTCCCTGGTTCTGTGCGCACCCCTGCCGCCCTGTAATTTGGTCCTTTTCCGTGGTTCTTCGTGAAAGCCTCTTTTGAATGGTTGTCTCGCGTGACAAAAAAAACTTGAAATTTTAGTGTCGGAAGCGCTTCTCTCCCAATTCTAAAATCCCGGAGACTTTGGTAGCTTTAGGAAATCTCGCGGTCCACTCGCGGTATCAAAATCTTCCAAATTTTGGTAGCTTTAGGGGGACATTCTCGCGGTAATAGAATTGCATAGGTTTTTGGCGGAGGCTGGAGTGCTGTCCTTGCAATATGAAACCAAGTATCAGTCGATGTCAGGGTTCATGTCCGGTTCGTGTCTGGGTTCGTGTTTGGGTTCGTGTCCGGGTTCGTGTCTGGTTCGTGTCCGGGCGTCTGGTTCGTGTCCGGGTTCACGTCTGGGTTCGTGTCTGCTTTGTGTCCGGTTCGTGTCTGGTTCCTGTCCGCTTTGGTCTCCGGTTCGTGTCCGGT